GTTTTTAAATAGAGCTGATTAATTAAATATAAAAAATTTCATCCAATTTTTTTGACTCATTATTTATTGTTAAAACAGAAATTAAAAATTTACTTAGTTTTTTTAATAATTATAAAACATAAATATAACTTTTACTAAAATTTGCTTTTTTATATTTAAAAAATGATTAATTATCTATTTCTTGCTCAAACAAATGAAAACCTTTACTAAATTAAATAAAATGAGGATGAAAATTAAAATTAAAATACTTGTTAGTATAGAAAATAATAATAATTTGAAATATCTTGTATAATATAATTAGATTAATATAGGGATTATATTAACAAATTTCCGATCTAAATTAAAAAATCAAGTCATGTGGCAAAAACCAGATGTATAAATCAATATGAAGGCCTAAGTAAATAAATTAGTTACAATATAAAAAATTTAAGAGGTATTCAATAATATTTATAGGGAATGTACCAGTGATTGAAGTTGTATCAAACATTGTTTACGAATAAAATGGAATTAATCATTAAGAAAATTAATAAATTTTTAACTTTATTTCTAAAAGTAAACATAATTTGTATAAGAATATCTTATCAGCTTTTAAGAAACATATTATGGAGTGCTAAGATACTCTTTTGATGAGTGTGTATGAAAATTTGAGTGAAAATAAGTGGACTTTTGAACGCATTTAGCAAAGAGTTTCTACAAATTTGGGAAAATGTGGAAGATTCAACCTCAAGATTAAAAATCTGAGTAAAAACAGAAATCTGCAAAAAATTTTCAATTACTTTTTGAAGAATTCTGAAAAGCTATGGCTTTAAGACTCTAAAATTAAAAACAAAGACTAATACATAGAACAAATCAATTTGATGGTTTTAGCATAAGAAAGATAAATCCTTCAAAATTTTACATAGTGTTACAAAAAATATAGGAAAAATAGCATGAAAAAATGATAATTATAATCTAAGTAACTTGTTTTTATATTGTTTCATGAGTTTTGTATTGTTTTTTAAGACTTTAAAATTGACCAAAATTTATCTCTTAAATAAGCTAAATCTGAAATATATTGCTAAATATTATATGTATGTTTTAAGTATAAAAAAATATTTTTATAGAAATACTTTAATGTCATTTATTTCAATTTATTTTCTTTTAAAATATTTAAATTCAACCACTTTATTAATTCAATAATCAAAAATTAACTTGAAATTTATTTATCCCATCATCCTGTCAATCACTTATCTGCCTCTATTTCTTCAAAGACTTTTTCTTATTTTCACCTTTTACAAAAATTTATTTAGATAAATTGAATATTGACTATAATAAATTAAATCATAGTCATCAATCAACTTAACTTAGAACTTTGATACTTCTTCAAATTTCTGCCAAAAATATTATAAAAGAAGATAAATTAGGATAAAAAATAAAAAATTTCTTATTCCGATTATTTCCCCTAAAGATGATAATGTAACTCTATTTTCTATTTCATATAGTTTTTTAGGGATTTTTAAAGCAATATTTTGGTAATAGTTGTTTGAAATTTAAATCAGAGAATAATTTATTCAAAATATAAATCACACTTACTTACTTATTGTTATTTGATTAAGCAAAAACATTAGCCAGCTTTATGTAAGTACCAGCAATTATTTGATGACTATCTTAATTTCCATAGCTCTAATTATAAAATTCGTTTTGTAATCAATATTTTTAGAATTTCTTAATGTTTAAGAATTATTTACATAATAATCAGCTAAGGTGGATTATTATCGTAAAATAGATTCTTCAAAATTAAAAATCACTCTACTCTTAAATTGTGTGCGTCTTTCAACTTGATATTATCAAGTGATTAAACCAGCAGTTTCTGCAAATAAAAAGATTATCTAGGTTAACTCCTGGCCATATATTTCTTAAAAATTCAACTGGTTTGCCGTTCAATCAGCAATATTTATTAAATGCTAAGATAACATCAAAGCCTTTACTTAACTCAAAAGTAATTTTCCCAATCAGATTGAGTTCTAATCCTATTTGCTTAACTCACTGGACCCATATTAAACCTAATAGATAATAAATATGAAAACATTTGCGATTTATTAAGTTTTTTATTAAATGCTAAATTAAATTCTGTCATTGAGTATTACGCTATTGATACATTTTTTACTTTAAATTATAAAAAATTTTTTTATATTTTACCCGTTCTTATATTTCTTAGTATTAATTGAATCTCCTTTACAAACTTAAGGCAATAGATAACAAAGTGCACATTATTATGGATTAATAAGTAACTTTTTTATAATTACATAAGAATATATAAGATATTAATTCATTATTGATTCAGAATAAAAATTAAGAGATTCAGCCTATGCAAAAATTATCAAACATTAATTGGATACTCTTATCCATCAAATCTACTTTTACCCATTCTTCAAAATGCTCTTAAACCTACTTGAATAAAATTTAATAAATATTATTTCCATTTATAGATTATTTATATTAAACTCAATAAATTAATATATAAAGATTATGCTTAATTGTATAATTAAATTAGCATAAGAAAAATTATAAGTCTTGTATCTATTACTTTTACTAAACTTAATAATTGACCATATAATCCTAGTTTCTTTCATAAATTCTTAATTATCTTTAATAAAATTTTCTTCATTCTCTAAATCTTCTTTCAAATTGCTTTATTTTTCGTGAGTGAGGAAAAGAGAAAAAGGATAATTATAACTTCAAATTGTATCAATCATATCATAAAACTCTTTCATCCAGCCAATATCTTAATATTAAAAGTACTATTTATGAATATCCAAAATTAATTAGGCTATTTTAGAGATTTTGCTTTATAATATTTTGGTGTATAAGTAAAAAAAACCCATTTTCATCTTTTAAACAATTATATATTTATTAATCTTAATTATTTAACTCACTAATTATATATCTAAAAGTCATTTATCTAAATTAAATACAAAAAATTAACATTAAAAAGTAAAAGTAATTAAAAAAATGAAGCCATATTCTAAAAACTCTATTTTAAAATTCAAAGTATATATTTAAAACTTTGAAATTAATTAATACTTCTTTAGGCATATTTAATTTAAGGATTATCAACATACTAAATAATTATAATAAACTAGTAAAAACAAGGTTTATTATATATTTTAAAAAGTTGCTCTAAAACTTCATGAAATAAATATTCATTTCTTAAAATATTGTGACCAGCTGTGTAGTACTATTGGAGATATTTCACTTCATTTTTATTATTTTAAGCTAATTTTTCTCATCTAATATTTTAATTATTTTTATTATTCTAAGCCTAATTTTTAGAATTTCTTTTATTCTATTAAGTGCATTTTGAATTTGATCTAATTACCTTATTTTGATTTTCTGCTAGTTCAGTTTTTATAGTATTTAATGCCTTGCTATTTATGCTTCCTTAGTTCTCATTTATTTGATCTAAAATAAAACTTTATAATTTTAGATAAATAAAGCCAACTAATTAGCATCAAATATTGTTAAAATATCTAATATTAAGCAAATATTGAAGGTCTTGATGATTTTAATCAAAATTAAATGTTATTTTATCAAATTTCTGTGGCTCTTTAAAAGTATGGGAGAGTTTTACCGTTATTATTAATTATTTATGTCATATGCCAACTTTTCCATAAATTTAGCTAGTGAAATTGAATCGTAGCCACAACCAAAATCATAGACATCAATCATCTTAGCTTAAAAATCAGATCTTTTTTCAAATTTCTGCTGCACCAAAAAACTGGTATAAATAAAATTGATAAAATAATATTTAAAATTTATAAATCTATAATTTCTATTATTTCATTTAATGATGATAAAGTCGAAACCAGGCTGTTTTTGACAATTTTTGTAAAGCAATTCCATTATTTTTTTTATTTTTATTTATATTCACTTCCTTTTCCCTATTCCTAATTGTTCTATCCTAGTTAAGATCTTCAAAAATACTTGATTATATTCAGTAGCAATTTATTTTTAGACTTTTTTAACTTGTTTTGTTTCACTTGCTTAAGGCTCTTTAATTAAAATTAGATGATGCCTATATAAAAAAAATTCAAATTTTCTAACAATTAAATACAGAATATTTATATGTAAATAATCAATTTTTTATAATTACGTTAAGCATTAAAATAAAATATTTATATTATTTTGATATTATTGAATTAAAATACTAAATTAAAATTAAATAAAATATTGCTCATTATTAATAAAACAAAATCTAAAACAAATTTGTACACATTTTTTTAGTTAAAATAATGTTTAGATTTGAAAGTATTCAACTAATTTAAAAACACATTTCATACCCAATCAAAATATTAAATAAATACTTTTAAGTAGATAAAATTGAGAAGAAAAATTAATATATTTTTAATATAAAATATATAATTTACATGCATATATTTTAGTTAAATAACACTAAATTAAAATATATTATTATCATAAAATAATATTCTTAAGAATTAAAAGTTGCTCAACCCATTAAATTACCTGTATACTATACGTAAAATCTTGAATTTTAATTTTATAAATTCATTACAGCAAAAATTTAAAGAATATTATTTATTTAAGAATTCAAAAATATTATTTAAATGTAAAAAGCAAAAAAGCAAAAATGTAGTCTATTTTCTACTAAAATATAATATAAATTAAGATTTAAATAGCTTAAATCTTGTTGCTGTTAATAACTTTTTTTTAATTAAATAGCTTATAAAATTAATTATTTTTAAAAGGATTAAATAAAATTTATTTATATTTAAGATGAAGTCAATCACACACATTTAAATTTAGAAAATTTAAAATATAGATTTATTTTTATTTAAATTATTTTATTTAAAAAATATATTTTCATATAAATTACATTATAAATTTAATTTATTAAATCATTAATCTTTTAATATCAGAAAATTATATCATTCTAAATATATACCTATATTATATTTAAATTAGCATGTTTATATATTTTAGTCTTTCATAAATTTTCATTAATGTCGGCTTTTAAGAGGCATTTTTCAGAGTGTTAAGATACTTTCTTGGTTGGAGTTTATGAAAATTTATGTGATGACAAGTGGGCTTTTGAGCACAATTGGCAAACAACTTCTACAGATTTGACAGAATGCAGAAGATTCAATCTCATGATTAAAAATTTAAGCAAAATCAGTAATCCGAAAGAATATACAATTACTTTTTGAAAAACTTTAGAAAATAATATATTTAAGATTCTAAAATTTAAAATAAAGGCTAATTCATATAACAGATTAGCTTGATCATTATAGTTAAGAAAAGCAAATCCTTCAAAATGATACACATTTCTTAAAAAACAAAGGAAAAATAGTCTTTAAAAGCAATAATTATTATTTAAATAACACCTTCTAAAGGTGTCTTGAGATTGAGGCTCTGCTAGACTTCAGTAAGATATGAAATATTTCATATCTTATTTGTAAAAACGATTTTTTTAGTGGATTTAATAATTTCCAATAAAAGAATCGAATTTTCTTTTTAAATAATTAAAAGCTGTCTAACTAGAAATTCATTTGTCAAAATCTATAGACATGGCTATGGTTTTTATAATGAATAGAAGCAACTTTCTTCATCTCTGTCTTATCATAATAGAGCTTTTCTTCAGATTTGCTTAATAATTTAGTGTAACTATGAATGTATCTTTCACTATTATAAAAATGTATTAAGTGCTAAAAATATTTTTTCAAAAGCTCAATCTTTTTAATTCTTCAATTATTATTTATCTTTGCTTCCATCCCTACTCATTATTGTTCTATACCCTACTCTAGCCTAATTTTAAAAATATTACCAAAATATTCAATTTCAATTTGTTTATTGACTTTTTAATCTTGTTTTCTTTCCCTTGCTTAAAACTCTATAATATTAATTAAATGATTATTATATAGAAATAAATCAAATATTTTAATTATTAAATGTAAAATCTTTGTAATTATTTTTTTTAAATTCCATTTAGCATAAAAATAAAATGTATATAGTTTATACGGTAAAGGTTCATAAATTTAGGCCACCTCGATTTCAGTTTAGACATCTCACTTAGCGGCTTTAAACCAAAATTTTCATCACTAATATCTACTGTAATCAAACCACTAATAAATAATACTTTACATTATTTAAAAATAACTAAACTTAATCTATTATATATAAAATTGTTTCATGTAGTTATATTATTATTTGGAGATATTTAATGTTAGTTTAAAGTAAAATTGAAAAAGCATTAAATGGTTTTTTAATTTATAAAGGCGCAAAATTAATTAAGAATTTACAGATATTAAGTGAGTGTAAGATGACTGAAGACGCTATTTAATATTTGCAAATATATAACAAAAGATAATAAATAGTTCATAAAATTTACAGATTTCACTTTATTCAAATTATTATATTCACCTTATTATGAACGTGTTTACTGAATTATATTTTTTGATTATTTGTGATTGTATTGATAAAATTTATTATTTTGATTGAGTTTCTTGCTTAGTTTATAAAATTCAAAGAACATGAATGTATCCTTAAAATTAAAACTAATGATATTATTCAAGCATAAAAAGTATTTTTTTATTAAAATAAAATAATTTTTAGGTAAATAATTAAAGATATTTAATTAGTATTTATTGTAATCATACATTTATATAAAAATAAGTTAATTCTTTTTACCAAATTTATATGAAAAAATATTCTAGTAAGAAAAATAATCAAAAACTGAATTTATTTGATACTAATTTTTAGTTAAGGAAACTAACTCTCTTTTGAACAGAGTTTTTATTGTAGTCTTATACTCACTTTTCGTTGTTGTTATTATTGTTACTTTTATTGTTAAATTTCTTAAAAGGAATTGCTTTAAAAAGAATTCTGGAATTAGCACTAACTAATGTATTGTCAAAGTAGTTTAATTATAAGTAAAAATTGATATTATTATGTAATTTATTGCCATAACATTTCAGAATTTCTTTATTAAGAAATAGAAGAGGAGGGAAATTAGATAATACATTAGACTATGGATTAAATTATTTGAGATACTTAATAGATATTTATAAAGTTTCATTTAAACTTTAAAAGAGTTATTACTTATCGCAATAACTTAGTATTTAAATATTTAAAAACATATTTGAAGTTAGCTTTTGCAAGCTATATAATTATAATTAATTTTTATCATTGTAACCTTTTTTATTTATTTTCTTTAGATCAATTATAACTTTGATAAGCTTTACCTTGATAATTGATTAATTTCAGAATTTATAATATTTCTGTAATTTAATTGGTTTATCTATGCAGTTTACAATTTACATTTCTTTAATTGTTTCTCAATCAAAGCATTCAAAAAAATTTAATATCATATTTACTTTTAATGCAGATACTTTTTACAAATTAAACCTTATCTGAGTTGATTAGTTAGTTGTATGTTTGAAATGAATTTTTTGGTTTGGCACATTTATTAATTTATTATCTTTTCTTATTAAAAGAAAAATTCTTATGTTTCTTTACATAACTCTTCAAAATTTCATGCATTTTTTCTTAAAAAAACTAAATTTATTTGAGGTAAATACTAATTTTACTAATAATATAAAATAATTTACTCATGTTTCTAAAAAATACTAATAAAAATATAAATATTTGAAATTAAATTATGTTAGTTAGTTTACAAAAAGAATTTCAATTTACACTATTTTGTTGGATTACTAAATTTAAAAGATAGAATATGGAACAATAAATTTCAACTTTAGAATCAAATGTATTAGTTTTATAGGTTTTTTTATATTCTTTCGAATGTAGCTGCTTATTTGATTTTTAAAATACGCATATATCAATCAAAAAGTTTACATACTTTATTTGAATTTTTCAAACACCTAAATTTGTAAATATTTTTCTAGAGACTAGTTTGATGTTTAAAATAAGAAATAGTTAAATAATATTAGCTATTTTTTGGGCTAATTTTTTTTAAATTTCAAGTAAAAAGATATAGAAAATAGGAGATTTACAAAAATTGAGTAATAAATTATTCTATTTACCTCATTTAAATAAATGATTCTTTCTCATTTTTATACTTTCCTACTTATCGCTTACTTTTATTGAAAAGTAAAAATACAATTAAATTTCAAAAGTATCTGATAAATTTTAATAACATTTGTAAGTTAAAATCTTATAAATGAATAATATTTATTTATAAAAAATATTATTTTGAAATCAATTTTCTTACATTACACCAATTCCTAATAATCTTGAAGATAATTTCAGTAAAAAATATTAATGCACAATCATATTTAAGTATATATAATAACTAAAAAATCCATCTTTTTTATTCGTCCTACTTTTTTTTAGTCATAAAATTGCAATAAGAACCTAAAATAATTCTACTAAATTAATAGAAAAATATTTACATATTTTTTCAATTATTCTTGATTTTTCATCATTAATGAGGTCTTTGATTTTTTGCTTATCCTATTTTACTGAAAAAAAGGTCTATGAGAACCTAACTAATAAAGATAGATTTATAAAGCTTTTTGTATATTTATTGATACTTAACATGAATTTTAAATGAAAATTTATGAAGCTTCAAAACCTATCTCAGATTTGTTTCTAAGTATATAGAAAAATTATTTAAAAAAATTATCTTGCTTGTAAAAAAATAAAATCGAAGTAAACAAAAAATACAATCTTTTAACAACTTTATGTCTAATATAGCTAAGTACAAACTGATAGATAAAAATACAAAAATCATTTTACCAATTTCTATATGTTTTCCACTCAACCCTACAATCAAAAAGAAGAGTAAGAAATTAAAAACTTGTTAATTCAGAATGTTAGAATTATTGAGAGTAGATAAGTGCTTTATTCTCTCTAACTACGATCAATACTTGAAGAATATATGTAGCTTGGATTCTATTGAAGAAAAATAGGGCAATTCCAATAAAGAATATGAGTAATAAAATGAAGATTAGATGATCTAATAAGGTAAAGTGATTGAATTTTTTGAACATTTAAGGAAGAATAAAAATGCATTTATTTATTTATTTTTTTAATATATTTAATATATTTAGAAAATGATGATGACAGTAAGCAATAAGAAGTAATAGATTTTCTATAAAAATCAAAAACTAATTTCTTCAAAAACCTTATTTACGCGTTTCAAAACCATATTCTATACTAATGTGATGAATAGTAAAAGTAATAATACCGGTCTCATACTTAAGATGATTGGACATTTGATAGAATAAAACTAAGAGTGTAGTAAAACCTTTAAAATTGTGGTCGTTTTGGCTTAAAAGTTAGAAACATATTCCAAAATGAAAATTTATCAGGAGTTTTTTTATATTTTTTGAAAAACTCAAATCAATTCTGGCTTAATAATTCTAAGATAAGAGATAAAGAATCATATAAAAAATAGATAGAGATGATCCTAAATGCTTTCGAAAAGAAAATTTTGATTCAAAACATTTGTTACTATAAAAAATTTAAAAAATTAGCTAGTTCATGAGATTGATTAGTGATAAAAAAATAAGCTATTTCTATATTAATAATAATCATAATAATAAAAGTTTTACTAAATATAAATTAGCAAAAATTATAATTTAAAATATTTGGCCTACAATTACAAAATAGAAAAAGTATTTTTATATTTTATAATTTAAATCTTATGATATTCAATTATAATTATTTCTACTCTTATATATTATAATTTTTCTCTTCATTGTAACTGATTTTTTTGTGAAGTTTATTTAAATTAAAAAAATTCTTCCAGTGGCTGATAAATCTTTACATTCAAGAGCAATATTTATTTTTCTTTTATGTAAACATAAGGAGATATCTATTATAATGTTAAATTATTGAATAAAATAGGAGTTAATTCATATAAAAATGGTATGTTAAAAAATATAAATTTCTTTAAAATTTTAGATTCCTATAGTATCATAGATAATATAAATTAAAATAAGCTTAAATACTTAATATTTAGTATTATTTTCTAAATAGCAAGTTATAATTAATAAAATAAAACCAAAGTTATAAAAAGAATTTCAAGATTTTGTTATTTAATAATTGTAAAAATTTATCTATCTGCTTTCAAATACTGAGCAAATTAAGAATTAAGAGAAGAATCACAATTTGAAATTTTAATTATGACTTAATTGTAAACAAGTTTTTAAAATACTAATAAAATATCTGTAAAAATCAATATTTATTAACAACAAAATGTAATAAATTTAGATACTAAAGTAAAACAATTTTTAAAACTAACTTTAAAAGGTTTTATGGCATAAAAGCAGAGTTATATTAAATAAAGTCAATTAAAATTTAAATTTTATGAATAATTATCATTTTAAGAAAATTTTGTTACTAGCCATTAATCTAGTTTTCTCAAAAAAAAAATTAGTAAAATTTATTATAATGCTTACTGATTGAAAAAAAGCAACAAATAATATTTATTACTAAATTTTTAAATTAGATCATTTAAAATTTATAAGTGAAGGAGTATAAACATTATCATTTTTTCATAATTATTATTTCAAATTAGCTGGGAAAAAGAATATTAGGGGATTTAATTAATTTATATACATTTATTTACAGTTTACTTATTATTTTTAAAACTCAAAGCAATTTGTAAGCTTCTAATATTAGATGATGAAAAAGTTAATAATAACTAATTTTATATTTATTTGTAAAAAGTAAATATAATCTAATTTTCAGAATTATTTTAAATTTAATTTCTTAAGCCATTAAGTTTTTTTGAATCTGTAATTTAAAAGAAAAAATTGTATATTTTAAGTTAATTATTTTTAAATAGAGATGACTAATTCTATATAACTTAATCCAATTTTTAACTCATCATTTATTGTAAAAACAGAAATTGAAAACTTAAAGAAGATTTAATAATAATTATCAAACATAAATATAACTTTTATTAAAACTTTCTTTTAAATAATTAAAAAAATGATTAACTATCTTTTGCTTGCTCAAACAGATGAAAATCTTTATTAAATTAAATAAAAGGGGGGGGGGTCACAGCCGGGTGCGGTCTTCATTTTTTTTTTCCCTAATAAAAATTACTATGACTGCCGTACCGAAAAGTTCGACACCCAGCTGTGACCCCCCCCCCAAATAAAATGAGGATGAAAATTAATATGAAAATATTTGTAAGTATAGAAAAGATTTATCTTGGAATATACAATTCGATTAATATAGGGATTATATTAACAAATTTCCAAGTTAAATTAAAAAGTTGAGTCATGTGGCAAAAACCAGATGCATAAATCAATATGAAGGAATAAGTAAATAAATTAGTTACTATTTAAAAATTTAACTGATATTCAATTATATAAAGAGAAAGTACCAGTGATTGAAGTTGTATCAAACTTTCTTTACGAATAAAATGGAATTAATCATTAAGAAAATTAATAAATTTTTAACTTTATTTCTAAAAGTAAACATAATTTGTATAAGAATATCTTATCAGCTTTTAAGAAACATATTATCGAGTGCAAAGATACTTTCTTGATGAGTGTATATGAAAATTTGAGTGAAAATAAGTGGACTTTTGAGCGCATTTAGCAAAGAGTTTCTACAAATTTGGCAAGATGTGGTAGATACAACCTCAAGATTAAAAACCTGAGTAAAAACAGAAATCTGCAAAAAATATTCAATCACTTTTTGAAGAATTCTGAAAAGCTATGGCTTTAAGACTCTAAAATTAAAAACAAAAACTAATACATAGAACAAATCAATTTGATGATTTTAGCATAAGAAAAGCAAATCCTTCAAAATTTTACATAGTGCTACAAAAAATATAGGAAAAATAGCATGTAATAATGAAAATTCTAATATAAATAACTTATTTTTTCTATATTGTAATATTTTTAAAGACTTTCATATTGAAAATATAAAGTTATCAAAACAATTTCATGTTATTTCAAATATTTATTTTCTTAAACAAAATTTTTAAATTCAATCACTTTATTAATTTATTAATCAACAATTAACTAAATTGGTTATTTTAACATTTAGGAAATTGATTCTAAAAATTAGTAATAAGGTGGTTAATAAGTTAGAATCTCTCTAACAGCACTTAATATATTTTGAAAAATATTCAAACACAACTTCAGTGCTCCATTTGTGAACTAATAAAATTAATTTAACCCATAATCTCCAACACTTATTTACCTCATCTCCTTCTAAGATTTTTTTATATAGAACTTTTCGAAAAAATTAGCTAGCTAAATTGAATAATGGCCATAAAAAATTAAATCCTAGCCATCAATCAACTTAGATTAATACTTTGATGCATCTACAAATTTCTGCTACTCAAAAATAATTAGAATTAAAAGAAGATAATTTAAGATAAAAAATAAAAAATTTCTTTTATAAACTAAATCCTTGCCCTAAAGATGATAATGTAATTCTATTTTCTATTCCATTTTGTTTATTAGCAATTTTCAAAGCAATATTATGCAATTCTAATAGTTGAAATTTAAATCAGAGAATAATTTACTAAAAATTTAAATCTTAACTTCTTATTGTAATTTGATTAACTTAAGAAATTAGTCGACTCTATTTAAGTGCCAACAATTATAGAAAGACTATCTTATTTTCCTTAGCTTTAATTAAAAAAGTGATTTTGTAATCAAAATGTTTAGAATTTCTAATTTATAAGTTATCTTTACATTATAGTCAGCCTAAAGTGGATGATTATCACTAAATAGATTCTTGAAAATTTAAATGCCTATATTTTTTTATTGGTAAGCACCATTCAACTGATATTTCCAAGTGAATAAGTCCGCAGTTTCTGCATATACTACAATTATCTAGATTAAATCTTGACCATAAATTTTTTTAAAAATTCAACTGCTTTGATGATCGATCAGTATGATTCTTTAAGTGATTATCAAGATAAAGTCTTTAATTAATTCTAAAGTAATTTTCTCAAGCAGATTGAGCTCTAGTCCTTTTTTCTTAGCTCGCTAAAACCAAAAAAAACCTAATATATAAAAATATATGAAAACACTTGCAATATTTTTAATTTTGTAAGTAATTGTTAAATTTCGCGATTGTGCATTGGCCTAATTGTTCTTTTTTTAAATTCAAGTTAAAAAGACTATTTTTATTTTTAAGCATTTGTGTATTTCTTGATATTAATTGAATCTCCCTTACATTCTTAAGGCTTCAGCAATAGATAGAAAAGTACATATAATACATGATTATTAAGTAACTTTTTTCTAATTACATAAGAATATATAAGATATTATGCTCATTATTTATTAAGGATAATAATTAAGAGATTCAGCCTATGCATAAATTATCAAACAGTAAGCGCTAATTGGATACTCTTATCCATCAAATCTACTTTTACCAATTCTCCAAGTATGTTCTTAAATCTTCTTGAATAATCTAATATATTATTTCCACTTATAAATGTTTGATTTTAAGCATAATAAGTTAATATATTTAATAAATAAATTAGCTTAACAAAAATTAAAAATATCTTCTAATTTTTTATTTATTACTTTTGCCAAACTAAATAATTCAACAAAAAAATCTTTTAGCTCCTTTCATGAATTCTTAATTTTCTTTAATTAAATTTTTTTATTCCTCGAAAGCTCCTTTTAAGTGCTTTTTTTTTCATGAGCCAGCAAATAATAAAAAGGATAATTATAACTTCCAATTATTTTTATCAAATCATAAACTCTATCATCCAGCTGATATCTTAATATTAAAAGTGCTTTTTATTTATATCCAAAATGAGGCTATTTAGAAATTTTGCTTAATATTATTTTAGTTAAAATAAGACAATGCCATTTTCATCTTTTAGAAAATTATATATTTATTAATCTCCATTATTTTACTGGATTATCCAAAATCATTTACCTAAATTAAATACAAAAAACTAACATTCGAAAGTAAAAATAATTAAAAAATAGCTATGTAAACAATTTTTTACCTATTTATTGTATTTACAGGAGAGAATTTATTGATATAATTTGAAAATCTTCTTCTTCTGACTAAAATTGATGCAATAATATCTAAAATTAAATTTTAAAATATAAAGTTTTTATTTAAAACTTTGAAAATAATTAATATTTCTTTAGGCATATTGACTTATATTTCATTAATTTTTATGATTTTAAACTAATCTTGCTAATTCGATATTTTAATTACTTTTATTATGTTTTTATCAAAATTTAACAAATTTTTGATAACATTTAATGCCTTTTCTCAAGTTTTGAACTTAAAAAAAATTTTAAACAATTTTTATTAAAAAAATACTTTAAATTAAAATGATTATTTTTAGAGTAATATTTCAAATTAGACTATTTAAAATTTATATTTATATTATGCATAAAGTAATCCATATATTTTCAGGTTTTTGTAATTATCTGGATATAAAATAATGAAAGAAGGGATAATAGTAAATCATTTGTATTTACAGTATTTTAATTATTCAATTCATTTTGGTAATTTTTAATATTTTTTAAAATAAATTTTAAGAAAATAGTTATTAAAAGATAAAAATAATTAAATATTTTAATATTTTTTTTAATAAAAATAAATACATAATAATAGAAAATTTATTGTTTATAATAATAATAATAGCTATTTATTTCGTTTAAATTAACTTTGTAAAGTCGGGTAAGGTTTTTGCTTTTTAAAAAAAAAAATAGCTGAGTTGTTTTCTCTTTATTTATTAAAAAGAGAGGGTATTGATTAATTGCAAAATAACAAAACTCAATTTTTGATTTTTCTTATTGCAAGAACAGAAATTGAAGAGCTAGAGAAGATTTTATAATAATTATAATATAATCTTTATCAAATATAATTTATTTTTTTAACTTACTTTTTGGAGTATAAAAATATGATTAACTATCATTTTCTTGCTAAAACAGAAGAAAACTTTTAATAAATGAAATAAAAGGAGGATGACTATTTACATTAAAATACTTGTAAATATAGAAAATAATTAAAATAATAATCTCAAATATGTTTGAATATACCATTTGATTAGTATGAGGATTACATTAACAAATTTCCGAACTATAATAAAAAATAGAGTCATATGGCAAAAGCATAATGCATAAATCAAATTGAAAGATTAAGTAAATGTTAATAGCTTTTTAATAAATTTAACTCAAATTAAATAATATATTAAGGAAAGGTTCCCATGATTGAAGTTGTGTCAAGCATTCTTTGCGAATAAAAGGGAGTCAATAATTTAGAAAATTAATAAATTTTTAATTTAATATCAAAAAGTAAACATAATTTGTATAAGAATATTTTGTCAGCTTTTAAAAGACATATTACTGAGTGCTCAGATACTTTCTTGATGAGTTTTTATGAAAATTTGAGTGAAGATAAGTGGACTTTTGAACACATTAAGCATAGAGTTTCTACAAATTTAGCATTATTAGGAAGATTCAATCTCAAGATTAAAAATTTGAGTAAAAACAGAAATCTGAAAAAAATATTTAATTACTTTTTGAAGAACTCTGAAAAAATATGGCTTTAAGATTCTAAAATTAAAGATAAAGACTATTACATATAATAAATAAATTTGATGGTTATAGCATAAGAAAAGCAAATCCTTCAAAATTTTACAAATTGCTATAAAAAGTAGAGGAAAAATAGTATGAAGAAATGATTATTATTATTATATAATTAGTTTAATTTTTCTGTTAAAATAGAAGTTGTAAATTGTTTTTTAGTTTAAAATTGAAAAAAAAAAACTCATCTACAATATTTTTTAAAAATATAGAAAATGAAATAATTAGTTATATGTTTTTAATAAGAAAGAAATAATACTTTTATAAAACCATATTAATGTTATTTCAAGTATTTGTTTTCTTTTATAATTTAAATTTTATCCCATCATACTTATCTTCTAAGCCTAATATCAAAATTATAGCCTCTTTCAATCGATTAGGTGCATTCTGAATACCTTCCTAGCTCAGTTATCATTGTATTTAATGACTCGATTTTATATTTTAAGCATTATTTGATTTATCTAAACTAAAGCTTTTCCATTTTAGATAAATAAAATCAACTACTAATCATGTTAAAATATCTAATATTAAGCAAATATTGAAGGTATTGATCATTTGAATCCAATCAACATTATTTTATCTAATTTTAAGACTCTTTAAAAATATGGGAGAGTTTTTTTTTATTTTTAATTATTCGTATCACATATATGTCACCTTTTCCAAAAAATTTTGCAAGTGAAATTGAAACATAAACATAATCAAAATAAGTTATCTATCACCTTAGCTTACAACTCATGTGCTTCTTCAAATTTCTGTTACACCAAAAAATTGGTATAAAATGAAAAATAAATTAAATTTATTATATCAATTATTGCAACTAAGAATGATATTAAATTGCTATTTTAGAAACCATACACTTCTTCACGATTTTTTTAAAGCTATTTTATGCATGCAATTCAAAAAAAACAAATTGAAGTTTTATAATTATTATTCTAAATTTAAATTTTACCTTATAATTTGTTAGTGTAATTAATTTGAATAACTTAGATTGGTTAGCTATTTTGTGTAAGTGTCATCACTAATAGGAAGATTTTCTCCAATAAACTTTTTCTTAATTTACAAAATCATCAAATAGTAATAATAATTAAGTTAATTGATGATGCTTATTTTTACCTAATTTCCATAGTTTAAATTAAAAAATGTATTGACTCACAAAAGTCTTACGATTTTAAATTTAAAAGGTATATTTATATAAAAATCTGCCTAAAGTGCATGATTATTGATATATAGATTATCTATAATTATAATGCACTATAAATTTAATTGATGAACCTTTTTTAACTACTTTTTTAAGTTAATAAGTCTGAAATCTCTGCATATGCATCATTTTTTAAAATTGTTTCCTCACCATAAATTGTTTAAAAATTTTAACTGATTAACTTATTAATGCCTTAGATTCATTAATCTTTTTATATGATATGATTGTCTTTACTTACCCCTTTACAGCAATTTTCTCAAGTAATTTTACTTGTAGTCCTTTTCGCCCAGCTAACTGAAATTGTGTAAGCCTAATAGAGAAAAGAAGAAAATGTACAATTTGCAATTTATAATAAATAATAAATTAAGTCAGTAAACTAAGATCATGATTTATAATTTAAAAAATTTTCTTTTAAATATACACAATTTATTTATGCATTTCTAGAGATTAATTAAATTTTACTTGATTTCTTAATTTACAAAGTAACTTTTTTCAAATAAAAAACATATTTGAAGCTATTGAATTCCTCCTTTTTCAGGATGAAAATTATGAGAATCAGCCTAAACTAGATTTATCAAAGAGTTATTATAAATTGGATGCTCTTATCCAATTAACTCTTAACAAGTCTTCAAAGCATATTCTTCCTTAAATTTTCATAAATCATATAATATATCCTTCATTTGTAAATTAATTCTATAAAACACAGTAAGTTAATATGTAAAAATTCATTTTAATTTGATATTAAATCATATTATGAAAATTAAAAGAGCTTCTAATTCTTTTATTTATTGGATTTGTAATTTTTAACCATCAAAACCTTTGTTTCTTTGGTGAATCTTAACTTTCTTTATTTAAATTTTCTGTATTCTTAAATTTTTTTTCAGCCTATCTTATTCTTTATGAAATAAAATATGTAAAGAGGGTTATAGCTTTAAATTGTATCTATCAAGACTATCACCTTGATACTGCCTATACCTTTACTCCAAAGGCTCTTTTTAATAGATATCCAAAGTGTGATTATTTTAAGGCATTCTTTAATAATATTTGATGAAATACTAAGTTAAATACATTTTCATCTTTCTAAAAGTTATCTCTTTGTTACTCTACTCTATTTAATTCTTTTAAAATATATCCAAAGTCATTTGTCTATTTGAATACAAAAAATTAATTTCTGAAATTAAAAATAATCAAAAAATAATAATTTAAATTACCAATTTTCTATTAATAGCATTTGCTCTTTTTCCTTAAAACAAATAAATCCATATTTTCATTAGTGAGATTGCTGACAAGATTTTCAACATTTTTAATGTTTAAAATTTTATTAATATGAATCTATTAAGTATTAAATTATTCTTTAAATCCTTTTGAGTTCATTATTTTTTTTCATGATCAGCAATAGGCTCCTCATTCAAAATGAGCTTTAAAAATAGAGGCTCTGCTTATGATCTACTATTTTTGAATACTTGATATGATCCACCACATAAATTTAACTGATTCTCACTAAAGAATATAGTTTAAATATGAAAGTATCTTTTGCTATTTTTAAAATTTATTGTGTGCTAAAAATTGTTTTTAAAAGCTAAACCTACTTTAATTCTTTCAATTTTATTATTTTTATTCGCATTCACTTCCTTTTCCTTAATAATTAATGTTAAATGTCTTAGTTAAGATCATCAAAATTATTATCAAAATCATTAATAGCAATTTATTATTTTTGCATTTTTATATTGTTTTGTTTAGATTGCTCAAGGATCTTTAATTTAAATTAGATAGTAACTACATAAAAATAAAATGAAATATTCTAATGATTAAATGCATAAAATTTGTAAATAATAAGTTTTTCTATTTATAATTGTGTTAAGAATAAAAATAAAATGAATATATTTTGATAATGTTATTGAATTAAAATTTTTAATTTGCAAAAATTCCTTTAATATTATACGATATATAGATTATTATCAAATAATCAAAATCTAAAGCACATTTGTACATATACAACTAATTTATAATATATTGAATAATCAATCAAAATATTAAATAAATACTTTTAAGTAAATTAATTTAAGATATGAAATAAAATATAAATATATGTTTCAAATTTTGTTTTTAACTTTAAAAAATTAAAATAAATTATATTAAATTATTAATAATAATTTACTTTCTTTTTCAAAACTTCATTCATTCCTATTTTACAGAACAAATACTTTACTAAAAATAAGTTATATAGAAACTATTTTTGTTTAGCCATGCAGTATATATTTAAAAATTAAAGGCATCTTATCTCTCTCTTTAATTTTTTTTGAGTTAAAAAAATATTTTAATTTTAATTGCTTAATTTATTGAGCTTTATTGGTTAATATTTTCAATTAAACTACTAAAAAAAGGTATTTATGAATTAAATTGTTAAGTTGTACAAATATTTTCAGATTTTTGTAATTGTTATTTGTAATTAGCTGAAAAGAAATTAATGAAGGTAGAACTAATTTAGTTAAGCCTTTTGTATTTATTTATAGCTTACTAATTATTAGAAGCATTCTGGAAATTTTTAATATTTTAAAAAATAAGATTTATGTTATAAATTATTGAAAAGATAAAAATATTTAAATATTTTTTTCTATAAAAAAATTAATAATACAAGATAATATTTTATTTTGTTTAAATTAAATTTCTAAAGCTAGGTTAGGTTTTTTGTAATTTATTATTTTTATTTACTTTTTAAAAAGAGAGGTGATTGATTATAAAATAATGCATAATTTATTGCTGAAGCAGAAATTGAAAAGTTAGTGAATATTTTATAATAATAATTAAAATAATCATTATTAGATATAATTTTTTATTTATATTTATTTACTTTTTGGCATTTAAAAGTATGATTAACTATAATTTTCTTGCAAAAATAGAAGAAAACTATTATAAAATAAAATAAAGTGAGGATGATTATTTACTCTAAAATACTTGTAAGTATAGAAAATAATAATCTGAAATATCTAGGAATATACAACTTGATCAATATAAGGATTATATTAATAGATTTCCTAAATAAATTAAAAAACTGAGTTATATGGCAAAAACAAAATGCATAAATCAAAAAGAAAGAATAAGTAAGTATTAGTTGCAATATAATAAATTTAACAGAAATACAATTTTATATAAAGCAAAAGTACCCATTATTGAAGTTGTCTCAAATATTATTTGTGATTAAAAGGGAGTCAATCATTAAGATAATGAATCAATTTATAATTTAATATCGAAAAGTAAACATAATTTGTATAAGAATATTTTATCAGCTTTTAAAAGACATATTACCTAGTGCGAAGATACTTTCTTGAAGAGCTTTTATGAAAATTTGAGTGAAGATAAGTGGAGTTTTGAACACATTAAGTAAAGAGTTTCTACAAATTTGGAAAAATTAGGGAGATTCAATCTCAAGATTAAAAATTTGAGTAAAAACAGAAATCTGTAGAAAATATTTAATTACTTTTTGAAGAACTCTTAAAAACTATGGCTTTAAGATTCTAAAATTAGAGACAAAGACTGGTACATAGAATAAATAAATTTGATGGTTAAAGCATAAGAAAGACAAATCCTTCAAAATTTTACAAATTGCTATAAAAAGCAGAGGAATAATAGCATGAAAAAATGATATTATTATAAGAAAGATAATTTATTTTTTCTGTTAAAATAAATGTCGTAATTTGTTTTTTTTACACTTTAAAATTGAAAATAAAATACTTATCAATAATATAAGCTAAAAATAAAGAAAATGAAATACTTAAATATTTATTTTATGTTTTTAATATGCAGTAATACTTTTACATGACTTATTAATGTTATTATAAGTTTTATTTCCTTTTACAATTTAAATTTTATCTCATCTTACTTATCTTCTGCGCCTAATACCTGAATTAGACCTTTTTTCATTCTATAAAGAGGATTTTGCATTTGATTTGAGTTAAATTATGTTTCCAAAATACTTATCAATAACTGAGTAACCTAATTGTGATTTTCTCCTAGTTAAGTTTTCATTCTATTTAAAGCCTCGCTCATATATTTTAAACTTCCTTTGTCATCATTTGATTAATCTAAATTAAAGTATACAATTTTAAATAAGAAATAAAAAAATAAAAAATAAAAAATAATTCGTGTCAAATATTGTTAATTTATCTTATATTAGCAAATTTAGAAGGTATTAATGATTTGAATAAAAACGATATTTTTTATATAATTTCAATGAATCTTTACGAGTATGGGAGAGTTTTATAGTTATTTTTTAATTGCTCATGCTATTATGACTCCTTTTCTAAAAATTTAGCTAGTAAAATTGAATCGTGACAATAATTAAAATCATAGCTATAAAACACCATAGCTTTAAAATTCAGATGCTTCTTCAAATTTCCGCTACACCAAAAAATTAGTATAAAAAATATAAAATAATATATAAAAAATTAAATTTATTTTACAAATAATAGCATCTGAAGATTAAAGATGATAAGGTGATGCTATTTTCGACAACATATAGTTCTTCAAGAAAGTTTAGAAGCTATTTTAAGCATCTCTAAAAAAAGAAGTTGAATTTATATAATAATTTATTCAAAATTTAAATTTTACTTGCTAATATAATTATTGTAATTTATTTGAATAAATTAGGTTAGTTATTATTTAAATAAATTAGGTTAATTATTTATTATGTGTGGGTATCAGCGCTAAAAGATATTTTTCTTCAAAAACTTTTTTCTTAACTAAAAAAAATCAAAAAAGCAAATAGAGATAAATTTTAAATTATTAATAAGGTTTATTTTTACTTGATTTCCATAAATTCAATTAAAAAATGTATTGACTCATCAATCTTAACATTCTAATTTATAAGGTATTTTACAAAAATATGCCAAAAGTGGATGATTACAGACATACAAATTCATGAAAACTATAATGTACTATATATTTTATTGATGAGCCTCTTTCAACTACTATTCGAAAGTTAATAAGTCCGCAATCAATTTCTTCATTTGAATCATTTTTATAAATTAATTCCTCACCATATTGTTAAAAATTTCAACCGCTAAGCTGATTAATACCTTAGATTCATTAGTCTTATTAAATAATACCATTGTCCTTACTATCTTCAACAGCAACTTTCACAAGTAGTTTACTTCTAGATTTTTTCGCACTAACTGGATGGTGTTAAGCCTAAATAGACAAAAAACGAAAATGTAAATTAAAAAGTGATAAATTAAGTCAGTAAATTAAGCTCATGATTATCAGACTAAATCTATAATTAGAACTTTAAAGACTTTCCTTATCTACTTACATATTCCTAAAGATTAATTAAGCCTTCCTTTTTTCTTTATTTAGTGGAATCCTTAACTTAAATTTCTATATCAGGACACTAATTAAGAGATTCAGCCTGCGCAAGATTTATTAATAATTATTATAAATTAGATACTTTTATCCCCACAACTTTTCACTAGTCTCTAAAACACATTCTTACTTAAATCTTCTTAACTTTTTTAAAATATCCATTTCATTTGTAAATTAATCCTTTTAAGCACAATACACTAATATAAAAATTAATTTCAATTTGATATTAAATTAGTTTCTGAGAAATAAACAGAAACTCTTAATTCATTCATTCATTCATTTATTTATTGGGTTTATAAATTTTTTCATCCAAGGCTTTGTTTTTTTTAGCGAATCTTAATTTTCTTTAATTAAATTTTCCTAAAAATTTTTTCAACCTACCTTATTTTTATAAGATAATAAAAGATAAAGAGGACTATAGATTTAAATTGTAGGGTTTCTTTGACTCAGCTGATACCTTTACTCCAAAAGCTCTTTTTAATGGATAAACAAAATGAGAGTATATAAGTATTGTTTAAAAATATTTTCATGTAAAATTAAGTTAAATCTATTTTCATCTTTCTAAAAGTCTTCTCTTTGTTACTTTCCTCGATTCAATTCCCTTAAAATATATCCAAAATTGTTTATCTATTTGAATACAAAAAAGTAAACTTCTACCTTTTTTCTTTTAACAGTATTTGCAAAACTTCCTTAAAAATGGATTCATATTTTTCGTTAGAAAGATTACTGTTAAGATATGCAACATTTTAATGTTTGAAATTTTATTTGCTGAATCTATTAAGTATTAAAATTTTCTTCAAATCATTTAGAGTTAATTATATATTTTTTGATGATCAGCAATGGATACCTTTATTCAAAATATGCTTTAAAAATAGAGGCTCTGCTTATTTTCTGCTATATTAAAACTTATAAATGATACATCATATAAATTTTACTGATTCTTGCTAAAGAATATAGTTTAAAATTTAGGAGTATCTTTTATTTTTAATAATTCTCTTCAAAAAAATTTTTAAGGCTTTCCTACTTTAATTCTTCCATTTTTGTTATTGTTATTTATATTCACTACATTTTCCGTATTCCTAATTGTTTTATAAATGTCCTAGTTTAGATCTTCCTTCAAAAATACTTTTATTACCTTCAGTAGCAATTTATTATTTGTATTTTTTATTTTTTTTGTTTCATTTGCTTAAGGCTTTTTAATTCAAATTAGATGATACCTACATACAAATAAATTCAAATTTTGTAACAATTAAATACAGAATATTTGTAAATAATAAATTTTTTTTTGTTACGTTAAGCAAAATAATAAAATATATATTGTATTGGTATTATTGAACTAAAATACTAAATTTGTATAAAATATCATAAATTGTAAAATATATTGCTCATTATTAATTAAATTAACATATTTGTTATTTTATTCTTTCATAAATTTCATTAATATTATGTCTGCTTTTAAGAGGTATTTTTCAGAGGGTTAAGTTGCTTTCTTTATGGGATTTTAAGAGAATTTAAGTGAAGATAAGTGGATTTTTGATCACATTTTTAAAAGAATTTCTACAAATTTGGCAGGAAGCAGGGGATTAAATCTTAGGATTAAAATTTAAGTAAAAGCAGAAATTGCTATTTGCTAAGCTCAAGAAAACTTTAGCTTTAAGATTTCTAAAATTTAAAATAAAAAAGAATATAAATTTGATATTTATAGTATAAGAAAAAAAATCCTCAAAATTTTAAACAGTACTATAAAAAATAAAGGAAAAATAGCCTTTAAAATTATAATTATTATTTAAATAATATCATCCAAAGGGTGCCTTGAAATCAAGTCGCTCTGTTTATACATTACTATATGTAATCCGATAGTTAGATCCACTGCAATAGTTTTGATAATTTATAGTAAACTCTATCAATAATTTCTATAATTGTATTTTTAAATATAAATACCATATTTGAAACTTTGAAAATAATCATCATTCTTTTGCAAAAATAATTAACTAACTAATTCTAACCTTTTATCCTACTTTAATATTTTCATTTCATATATACAATAAATCTTATTTTTATCAAATTATTTATTGTTTTTGTAGACTTCAATTTTATTCTTGTCTGTCTTATCAAAATACAGATTTTCTACACATTTGCTACATTATTTTTAATATGGATGTTACTATCATAAAGATTTATGCTATGCTAAAGTATTTTTAAAAGCTCAATTTTCTACTTTCATTTTTGTATTTTATATGTACCTTCGCTTCCTTCTCTACTCATTATTCTTCTTTACGTTTCTCAAGCTGAAATTTTTAAAAATATTACTAATATATTCAATATCAATTTATTAGTTGACTTTTTAATCTTTTTACTTTACTTGTCTAAGGCTTTCTAATTTAATTTAAATGATTATTTATAGAAATAAATCAAATATTTTAGCTATTAAATGAAGAACACCTGTAATTATTTTAAAAAAATTGCATTAAGCATAAATTGTATATAAGTATGTAAATAATTTGATTTTATTGAATTGAAATATTAAATTTGAAAGAACTATTTTAATATAATACATAACTCACCACCTAATAAATAAAATTAATTTTAGGCATATTTCAATATATATTTATTAAATTAAAATAATGATTAGATAAGATGTTATCTAAATAAAATTATAAATTTATTATGATAAATTTTTTAAATAAAAAAGATCAAATAAATTAAATAAAGAAATAAAATTATTATATTTAAATATAGATATCACATTTAGTTAGTAACTTCAAAAAATTTTAAATCTATCAAATTTATTGATAGTAAAACTATCTTTATTTATCATCAAAATTTCTGCTTTTTTTACAAGACATATATTATTTTATTGAAAATAAGTTAATAAATTTTGAAGCATTTTGTATAATTATTAATGTTTTACATTAATTTGTATCAAATGTCATTAATATTTATAAGAAAATATAACATATTAAAACTACAATCACACAATATACTTTAATTCCTGATACATTATATTTTAGCAATTTAAAAATTTTTGGATAAATATTTTTTTAAAAGTTGCATGTATATATATACTTTTTTTTTTAGTTTTATATTCTCTGATTATAAAATTTTATGGTATGGTTAATTTATTAAAGTAATCTCAACTTATTAAAGCTTAATTAATTATTTGAAAGAATTTTTATTCTCTCAATAGTTTGCAAAATAAATTTATGAAATAAATTATTAAATAGTAATAACTATTCACTCATTTAATGTATGTTTGAAAATAAGTAAAAAATCGAACATTAGAAAAATTTAAATGTTTATAGTAATCTATGTTATTTTGTTTACTTGTTCTTATTTATAAAGCTGGGTAAATTTTTTTGAATTTTGTAATTTAAAAGAAAGTAATTGATTGAATTCACTGATTTTAAATAAGAGTAGTGATAAGTATAAAAAACTTAAAGTAATATTTTTTTAAACATAAAATACTGCCTAAACATAAATTGAAAAAATTAAGAAAACTGGCAATAATTTTTTATTATAAAAATAATCAAATTTAATTTAATTACAATTTTTTTTTTTGGGTTTTAAAAATATGATAGAATTTCTTTATAATGTTAAAACAGAAGAAAACATTTGTTAAATATAATAAAATGAGAATGATTATTTACATGAAAATACTTGTAAGTATAGAAAAGAATAAACACTATAATCTGAAATATCTTCGAAAATACCACAAAATTAATTTATGGACTATATTAATAAGTTTCCAAGCTAAATTAAAAAACTGAAATATATGGCAAAAACAAAATAAATAAATCAATATGATAGACTAGGTAATAAAATAGTTATTATTTAATAAAATTAACTTTATTTAAATAATATATATGAAGGGAAAGTTCCTATGATTGAAGTTGTGTCAAACATTCTTGGTGAACAAGAGGGAATCAGTCATTAAGAAAATTAATAAATTTTAAATTTGCTTTAGAAAAGTAAGCATAATTTGTATAAAAATATTTTGTAAGCTTTTAAGAGACATATTATAGAGTGCTAAGATACTTTCTTGATGAGCGTATATGTAAATTTAAGTGAAGATAAGTGGACTTTTGAACATATTTAGCAAAGGGTTTCTACAAACTTGGCTAGGAGTGGAAGATTAAACCTAAAAATTAAAAATCTGAGTAAAAACAGAAATCTACAAAAAATATTTAATTACTTTTTGAAGAACTCTGATAAGCTATGGCTTTCAGACTCTAAAATTTAAAATAAAGACTAATACAAAGAACAAATTAAATTAATTGTTATAGCTTAAGAAAGGTAAATCCTTCAAAACTTTACTCAGTGCTATAAAAAGTAAAGGAAAAATAGCTTGTAAAAATGATAATTATTATTTATAAAGGCTATTTTTTGTGTTATTATAGTTTATATTGTAATTTATTTGAATAAGAATTTATAATTATAAGCAAAATATTCATTTATTTGTTATGGTAGCTAAAAATAACAATAAAAAAAACATGAATTTCATATGCTAATAATGAAATAAATACTTTTCTTAATTAATGAATCTAATTTCTAATTTTTTTCTTTTCTTTTACAATATTTTTAAATTTAGTGGATTTATTATTTAAAGTACCAAAAATTTCACTAAATTAGTTATTCGACAGTTTATGAGCAAATCGATTCTATAAATTAGTAATAGGGTGATTATTAAGTTAGTATTTCTCTTACAACACTTAATATTTTTTCATAATACTCAAACACAACTTCAGTATTTCCTTTTTGGCCTTATGAAATTAAAATTTATCCCATAGTCCTCAAACATTTGGTTGTCTCATTCTCTTCTAGACCTTTATCCTATATCTAGATGAGAGCCTCTTTTAAGCTATTAAGAGCATTTTGGCTTTGATCTAAGTTAATTTATGTTTCCGCAATACTGATCAATTATTAAGTTATTTTTTTGTGCTTTTCTCCCAGCTCAATTTTCATTCTATTTAAAGCCTCGTTTTTATATTTTAAACTTTCTTCGTACTAATTTGATTGATCTAAACTAAAGCTTTATTATTTGAGATAAAAAATTTGAAAAACAAATTAATTAAAATCAAGTAACTTTTAGTTAATATACCTGATATTGAGTAAAGACTGAAGATATTGATGATTTTAGTCTAAATCAATATTTTTTTATCTAATTTCAATAACTCTTTACAAGTATGGCAGAGCTTCGCTGTAATTTTTTAATTATTCATGCTAGTATGCCACCTTTTCCAAAAATTTAGCTAGCTAAATTGAATCATGGCCATAAATTAAATCATAACCATCAATCACCTTAGCTTAGTACTCAGATGCTTCTTCAAATTTCTGCTGTACCAAGAGTAAAACTAGTATAACAGAAATAACTTAAGATAAAAAATAGATAATTATTTTTACCAACTATTGCCTCTAAAGAAGATAATGTAGTGCTATTTTCTACTCCATATAGTTCTTCGCGGATTTTTAAAGCAATTTTATGCAATTCTAAGAAATGAAATTTAAATAAAGATTTTAAAAAATTAGATCTTACCTGCTGCTTGCTATAATTAATTTGAGTAAGTTAGACTATTAGCTTATTCTGTATAAGTATCAGCAATAATAGGATGATTATCTCCAAAAAACTTTTTTCTTAATTAAATAAAATCAGCTTACAATAAATAAAATTTAAATTTTTTGATAATTACCTAATTTCCATAGCTTAAATTAAGAAATTCATCGATTCATCAAAGTTTTTAGCATTCCTAAATGTATATGATATATTAACATAATAATCAGCCAAAAGTGGATGATTATCGCCATATAAATTTTTGACAATTTAAATGCACTATAAATTTAATTGATGAGCGTCTTTCAACTATTATTTTAAAGTAAATAAATCAGCCGTTTCTGCATACGCTTCACTTATCTAAATTGATTCTTCACCATAAGTTTCTTTAAAAATATCAACAGCTTAGCTGATTAATGAATATGACTCGTTAATCTTTTTAGACAACATTAAAGTCTTAGCTTAACTCAAAAGTAATTTTCCTAAGCAGATCGAGTTCTATTCCTTTTCACTTAACTCACTGAAATCATGTTAAACCTAATAAAAATACAAAAATTTTTTAATTTGAAAATTATAATAAAGCTAAATAATATTTAACCAAGGTCTTTTTTATTAAATTCAAGTAAAAAATTAAAAACTTTTTTAAATTTTACCCGTTCATGTATTTCTAAAGATTAATTAAATCTCCCTTGCTTTCTTAACGTTTCAGCAATAGATAATAAAGTGTATATTGTACTTGGGTGATTACCAAGTAATTTTTTTCTGATTACATAAGACTATATAAGATATTAAACTCCTTTTTCAGGATGAGAATTAAGAGACTCAGCCTGCGCAAGATTTATCAAACAGTTAGCATAAATTGGATGCTCTTATCCAATTAACTTTTAGCAAGTGTCCAAAGCATATTCTTAAATTTTCTTGAATAATTTAATATACCCATTCCATTTATAAATTATTCCTTTTAAGCAAAGTAAGTTAATAAACAAATATTACTCTTAATTTGATAATATGTTTGCTTCTGGGAAATTGAAAGAGTCTTCTGATTCTTTTATTTATTGAGTTTGTAAAATTTAAATAATTGAATCATATAAACGCTTGGTTTCTTTCGTGAATTCTTAATTTTCTTTAATTAAATTTTCTGTATTTTCTAAAATTTCCTTCAAACTGCCTTATTTTTCATGAGCTAATAAAGGATACAGAGGATAATTATCACTTCCAATAGTATCTATCATGTAGTTGACTCTTTCATTCAGCTAATATCTTTACTCGAAAAGTACTTTTTAGTGTATATCCAAAAAGAGGTTATTTTATAGGCCTTGCTTTATTATATTTTCGTGTATCACTAAGTTAAATCCATGTTCATCTTTTAAAAAATTATCTATGTTCTATTCTCCTCTTTCTAACTCACTTAATATATAACCGAAGTCATTTACCTAAATTAAAAACAAAAAAATCATGAAAATAAAAAAATCAAAAAAATAAGAATAAAACAATTTTTACCACTTTTTCTATTAATAGCATTTGCAAGATTTTTTTTAGAGTAGTGCCATATTTTTCTTCAGAAAGATTGCTGACAAATTTCTCAACATTTTCATGTTTAAAATTTTCTTTGTCTGAATCAATTAAGTATTAAATTGTTCTTCCGATCATGTAGAGTTCATTTTATATTTTCTCATGATCAGCAATAGGTTCCTTATTCAAAAGGTGCTTTAAAAATTCAGGCTCTGTGTATGCTCTGCTATATGTCAACGGATAGTTTGATCCATCGCACAAATTTTACTAATTTATGCTGAACTCTATGCCATAATCTCTGTAATTCTATTTTAATATACAAATTTTATATTAAAAATTTTAAAAATTATTCATACTTCTTTTGGGAAAGTAACTATATTTTCAGGCTTTATATCTGACAAGAAAATTTTCATTTCATTTATCTCTTGAAGCTTTAAAAGCAAAGTTTTTAAGATATACAATATATCTTGCTTCTACCAGGCTATTTCTTTATTTTTATATACTTCAGCAAGTTATGAAAGATTGCATAACCCAGTTGTAAAAATGATTTCTTTAGATGATTTATTAATCTCCAATATACCAGGAATCAAATTCTCTTTTTAAGTAATTAAAAGTTGTCTGACGAGAACTTCATTATCAAAATCTACGCGGTTATGATTTTTATATTGAATATGAATAACTTTCTTCTTGTCTGTCTTATCATAATAGAGCTTTTCTACATACTTGCTAAAGTATCTAGTTTAAATATGAATATATCTTTCACTATTTTAAAGATTTATTCTGTGCTAAAAATATTTTTTTAAAAGCTCAGCCTTCTTCAATTCTTCCATTTTTCTCTTCTTTTATTCATCTTCGCTTCCTTTTCCCTATTCATCATTCTTCTATACATGACTCTAGCTCAGATCTTCAAAAATGCTATCAAAATCTTCAATAGCAATTAATTAGCTGGCTTTTTTATCTTGTTTTGTTTCGCTTGCTTAAGGTTCTATAATTTAAATTACATGATAAAAATATAGAAATACATTATGATTAAATGCAAAATATTAAAATTTTTGAATATTAAATCTTTTTAAATATCCTTATGAAAATAAATATTTAAGCTTGCAAATGTTTTGATGAATAAATTAAAATACTAAATTGGTAAAAATTCCTTTATTATTCTCATTATTAAATTAACCAAATAAAAAGCAATCTTGAATAAAATTTTAGTTAATTAAATAATGTTTATATATAGTGCTTCAAAATCAATTTAAAATATCAAGCTGATTGTAAAATCTCTCAAAGCATTAAATAAAAATGATTAAATAAATTCAATAAAGAAATAAAATTACCATATTTTATTTGTAACTTGAAAAATAAATATAATTGTGATAATTTGTTAATAAATTTTACAGTTAAGAAAATATTTTATTAATTTATTTTTTATTTTTTAAGATTTATGCAAAAAAATTTAGAGTTTTATCTAAAATAAACCTTTAAAATAAATACTTACTTTCTTTTGACTTTAAAATGATTTGAACATCTTCTCTTGTTAGTAAATCTTACAGTTTCTAAATGAATAACTTATAACTTGGGTCTGCTACTGCTGACAAAAATCTAATTGTTTTTTATTTATTAAAATATTTATTTCTTGTAATTTTATTATTAATTTTTACTCAATTGCTTTTTAATATAGAACCATTAACGTATCAATAGCACTAAGTGTAATATTTTCACTTAATTCTGATTCAATAATTGTAATATTTTGCAATATTTAATCTAAGTCCATATTTTCATAGCTTTTGAGAGTAACTTCATCTTCTGATATTACTTTTTTAGTGGCTATCATCAATTTTTCTACCTAACCTACTCTTTCTTCTATTAGCTTTAAAAACTTTTCTTCTTCGTCTATTAAGAACTCAACTTATCTTGTCTTTAGCATATTTAAAAATCTATAAAAATAAATTCAGGTTGGTAAAATTTTTTTACCTTTTTTTTATCTTTGATTTACCACTTCAATAAAATTCTCCTGTCTTTAGATTTTTATGCATAACCAAAAGAAATCAAATCAGAGATATCTTCTACTTTTACTAATTAAGCTGTTTTATTTGAGTTTTTTATGAGCTCAAACTCCAAAAACTTGAATTAAGTGATCATCAAAATCCTTTTTAACAATTAAAGAAATTATTTTATTTAAATCAAAATATTTTAATTTGTTTAACTTTTAATTTAGCTTTTTCTTTGAAATGATTTCCTAAGAAGCAAATAACTCACAAGTAGAAAGATTTAAGAAATACTCCATATCATATTCTTCACCTATTTCATATTATCCTTCTTTAACTAAAAATTCATAATCTTTAATTCTCCTGTTCAATATTTTCTAAAAAAAACAAATATATTCTTTTATTTATGCAATCCACCATTAAAAAGCTTACAATGTAATTAATTAATTCATTTAGAACTTGAGTAAGCATAAGGGATGAGTTCCATTTTATGTGGCTCATAACTGAGTTAAAGAAGTTTCTTCCATCAGCTAATGAAGGATAGCAGAACTATTTAAAAAAGATGTAATTAAAAATAATTATTCAAGATGCAAACCGCTTTTTAGAGTAAAAATATAGCTAATAGAAAAACTTACTGTATTTTAAAAGAAAATCCTAGGGTTATCATAGGGATAATCAGGAGTTAGGACTAGATCTACAAATATATCGTTTTTTAATCTTTTAAACTCTATTCCGTGCTATTTCAAACATCCTGCAGAGATTTTAAGCTATTATGCATTTTAAATATTAAATAAGCTTAAAAATATACTTTAAAAAGCTATAAATATACTTCTATCTTTAAACCTACTCCAATTTCTGTAATTTATACAGAGATATCTTCTGAATTTAGGGCACTAAGGTCTTCTAAATCTAATAATCAATAATAAAATTATAATCTGAGTAGTGATAAAATGATATTTTTGGAATACCTTATAAGATTTTGTTTATTTTTGTATCATCTTAGAATATTCTAAATAACGCTTCTTCAAAGGCTTCGTTTTCTTACATCATTTTTAAACTCGAATAACCAATCAGATTTAAATTGTTGTTTGCTATTAACTACCTTTATTTTTTTAATTATTCCTAATTCTGATAGTAAATTATTTGATTTTTTTGCAATATTATAATTTATTACTTTATAAATGTAATAAATAAGTGTATCTATATATATATTTCAATGCAAAAAACAATAGAAATAAATTAATCAAAAGCTTTATTAAAAAGAAAATAGTAAATAAATCTCTATTAATTTATTTTATTATCATTTTTATCTGATTAGATAATATATCAGACTTTTAATATATCTATTAAATTTCTAGTAATTATTACAGCATCAGTATTTCGTCAGTCACTCATTAAATTCATTAAAATATAAAATATAAAAATAATTAATCTTTGAATTTTCATAAAATATTTTTTTCATTTTATTTTTTTAGCAAAATAAAAATATTGTTAAAAAATTAATAAATATTTTTATTTAATTTTTGATATTCATATTTTAAATCTTTTGATTGATCAGATTCTTTCTTAATTAATTAATGATAATTATTCATAGTTTTCTAATTATAATAGAGTTCTCTAATATCATAATTTTTACAATTTTTATCATTTATTTAAAATTTTTTAGATGTGTTCATTAATGACTTAAACTATTAAATTTTCTTATCATTAAACTAGTTTAATAAATAGAAGGATTTATTTTTTTAATATTAATAATGCAAGTTTATCTAATTGAAAAATTCTTTTAGAATTTAGAATTAAACTAAACAAGTTCAAGATAACATAAAAGTGATTTCAAAAAATAAATTGAAAATATGATTTTGAAAGAATCACTAAAAATTTTTTGATAATAATAAAATTTATTATTTTTTTTATAAAGTTTGAAAGCTTGATTCTGAAAGTTAATCGATTAGATCGAGCGAAAATAGATCATATGATAATTGGATGAAAAGACTTGATTTTTTATACTTTTAAATTTATTGAAAATAAGAAGTAAGTAAGATTTCTTAACTAATCTTTCTATTAATACATACAAAATAATGAAAAAAATCACTTAATTAAAGCTTTTATAAATACTATTAAAGACTCGGATTCATAATCTATATTTTAAGATTGTTTTCTTTTTCAATTAAATATTTATTCAAAACAATTTCAAGTTATATATTAACTTATTAATAGTTGTTAAAGTAAAATTTAATCTATTTGGTTAAATTTTTTAATTTTTTGGATTAAGTTTAGCATGAAACATATAAATCAAAATAAAAAATATAGATTATTGCGCCAATTTATTATTTATATTCGTTTTAGTTATTAATTAAATTAATTAATATCAATTTAGAGAAAAATTAAAAATTTAAGAATAATAATTAATTTATTTTGGCAAAAATTTAGTCAGGTAAATTAAAGATGCTTGATTAAAAAAATGTAAATAAAGATTGACAAAATTAAAATATGTTTAATTTTGATAAAAAGCGTTTTTTTCTTTTATTATATACAATAAAATTAATTTTTTTAATAATAAGCACTAATTATTTCAGACAAATTGTTGAAAAGAAGTTAAAAGTAAAAAAAAAATAGGTTGATTTATTAAGACAAGCATTAGATTTTGAAAGGGTGAAAATGATAAAATATTACTAGAAAAAATGTTTTTTTAATTACTAGATAAACTAAATTCAAGTGCTTAATTTAATATTGCTTAAGATTTTTAAAATTAGTTTACAAATTTTTGTTTAAATATTTGAAATTCCTTAAAATTTTTTAAAGCATTCATTAAATTCTATTTAATAGTTTATTTTAACAACCTATTTATCAGTTTAAAAATTATTTTATTAAAAAAATTATATTAGATATCAAACAATCTAAAAAAATAAAATGTTTTAAAATATTAATTGTATTATTACTCAAAATATAAATAAATACAAAGCAAATCAAATAAATAAATATCTAGATTTCTAATAATTTTATTTTTCATTTAAAAACTACTTTTTTATCTTCAATAAACACTTTGATTATGATTAATTATATTTATATAGAAAAATAGGAAATTAAAAAAATTTTTTTAAATAGTATTTAAAAAATTATAATTTAATTAATTCATAATCATTTTTTTTGTTTTATTTTATTTCATTATTATTATTTTTTAAAATCTGGATTTTAAAAAATAATAATAATTGATCAAAAGTTATTCAAACCCTTTGGTTATTATATCAACTCAATTTCTAAGGAAAAAGTGAGAAAAATAAAACAAATCCAATCATTTTAAATTAAAAAAAATAAAATATTTTTATTAAAAGCATAAAAAATGAAAATTAATTTATAAAATTATAAAAATAAATTAAAATATTTGAAAATTTTTAATGAACAATAAAAGCATTTCTAGAATTTAGAAGATTAGTTTAAATTTGAATAAGCAAACATCAACTATACTTGTATTATTAAATAAAAAGCAATTTTAGAATTGTAATTAACAACAATTTAGAATGATGAGAAGATGCCTATATTCCACGTAAATTTCCATTCCTATAAAGGGATTGAGAGCAGCTAAAATCAAGTAAACAGACTAATTAAACTAAATTATAATTGAATGACATCCTTTTCGAAAGCAATTAAATTTAAAATAAAGAAAAAAAGAAGAGTCTATTTATCTATTTATCAATATTTGTATATATAAATTTCAACTCAACTTAAAATAAAAGAAGAAATTATAATTAAGAAAAAGATTTTTAATTTAAAAATATCTTATAAATTAATTATTAGCAAGTAGGAATTATAAATAAATTTAAAGATGGCTGAAGCATTTGCTAAATATAAAGCATTCGATTTTAAGAGTAGCAAAGAATGGTAAAAGTACTATGACGACTTGCTACCTGTCCCTGCATACAATTAAGTAGAAAAGTTTAAAAGAAAATGGTATAAAAAGAATGTTGATCCTTCATTCGATGTTGAATACAAGGAACCTGAAAACGCTACAAATAACGCAGGTGGATAAGAACAAGCTTAAATGCCCTAGGCAACTCCATACAAAAACCCCAAGCTTTACTTAATTGAAAATATCTTAAAGGGATTGGTTTTTCCTTGCTCCATATTTTTAAATCCTTGGATAGTAAAGATAATGATCATCTTAGCATCAGTTTTAGCAGTAATAAGAAACAAAGGTATGATCAAATTCAACACTCAATATCTTATACTAGCAGTCAGCAGTGAGTTCTTCCATAATATTATTTTCACTCTTGCTATGCCTCATAGTAGAAACTCTTTTGTTTTTTATTTGCCAATTTACATTCAATTCCTTAGCGGTTTATGTGAATTTATTTCTACCTAACCCAATTTAATTCCTTCACTCTAAAATAATCCTAAATTCAAAGATGCGATAACTTTTGTTAAGACAAATAGAAGCTATTTAATTAATGCTAAAAACAAAATTGAAATTTACTTGTTCTTTTATACTATTGTTGGTGCCTTCTTCGGCATAACTTCTATTTTGAATATTCTTTTAATGTTCTAGTTCATTTCAGTAAAAGATAAAACTATTGCCTCAATGAGATAAGCCTAATCTGAGTTCAAGTATTCTGTAGTAAATGTTGCTCCTGGACCATTAAAACCTTTAGCTCAAAAGTTTGTATAACTTTACGAAAAGCTCTTAAACATTATGGCTCCTAAATAATGATCAATAAATAAATATAAAATATTTAAAATTTTTAACCTTTTAAATTATTGTTAATTAAATTTAGTAGGTTTTAACTGTATATTTTATGCTAGATAAATAGAAGCAATATTATTTTTAATTTTTTGGAATATATTTTAAATTTCTTTGTATCTTACAGGAAAGCCGAGGACCTAGGTAAAAGGGAATACACTTTATAAATTTTAACTTACTCTATATTTATTTTCACAATTTTTAAGGAAAAGCAATTTAACAAAGATTCACAAAGACTTATAATACCCTTTTCAGTAAACAGCGAATTACTATTTAAAGATTTTTTAGTTTTATATTTGAAAAGATTGAATTAATTTTACAGTGCAGAAAATTAAAATGAATTTAAATTTTATAATTTTTTCAGTATAGATCCTAACTCCACAAGGCTTTAATTATTTAAGCTAGATTAACTAGAAAATAGATTTTAACAAACTTCCTCTTAAGTTGATAATTTACTCGAATTATAAATGTAACTATTTCAGTCCATTTGCTTGAGAAAGCATATAAGCCAGCATGGTAATGTCATCTGATTCAAAAATCATATCACTTTTAATAATATTTTTATTGTTTTATTTTTGTTTTTTCAAAAAAATTTTACGAAAAATCTAAATCTATCTTTCTTAAATTCTGCAACTAACTAATTTTGTTCCACTGTTAATTGTGTGATTACTTCATCTTCAGAATATAATTTTTTCTATTTTTTCATTTTTTTTTTAAGTTTAGTTATTTATTTTAAATGATTTACTTGAATTTCAACGCTAATACTTATAGCTAAATACACTAACTAACTTATTATATTAATTCGTCAAAGCTCTCATTTTATATATAATTCTTACTTTTTTTGTTTAAAAATTAAATGAGCATTTATAAAATTGAAAAAATACTTTAGATTAAGCTTAAATTTCACTAGATTAGGAATTTAATTGATATGTCTACTTAATGACAGCAGTCCTTCATCAGCAATTTTGTTTTCTCTATGGTAAAAAAAGATATGAATAGTAAAAATCTTAAATAATTTACTCAAAAATAAGAGCCAAAGAATGTAGATTGGCAAACTTATATAAGCAACTTATTATTTATTTAAATCCAAGTTTAGAAATACAGTTTTTTCTAATAATTAAAATAAAATAAATTATTTTGCATTCATAATCCAACATTACGAAAAATCTAGTTTAATAGATTGCAAATTATTAAGTTTTGCTATTTGTTTTGCAAAACTAGATACAAGTTCATCTGAAATATCATACCCTCTTATTATAAAAATTCAATAGAACTCAAATTAATAAATCAAAATTTTTGACTGAATTAAATTTACATAAAGCAAACTTTTAGAACTTCTAAGCTACTCAATAGATTAACTTATTACGTAAATTATTTGAATATTTCAATAGAATGCAAAATTTATGTTTCACTTGTTATTTTTAGAAAGTAAATTAATTTAATATTTTTAAAAGTAATTTAGAATTAAATTTAAAAATAATCAATTTAATTGATTTAATAAATTTATTTACAGTCTAATGTCTAGTTTCAAAACTTTCAAACTTTTGAGATTTTCTATGAAGCAAAATAAGTTTTATTAAAAAAAATTCTATTTAAACCCTAATCTTTTATAAAAATATTTATCTGATGGTAATTTTTTACTTTTTTAGCTTACTTTAGGCTTAGTTGTAAGTTTAGAAGATTATTCAAGTTATTAATAGAACTTGCTAAGTCTAGAGCACTCTCGCTGTTTATATTTCTAATCATTAAAAAAAAAATTTTTTTTAAAGAAATTTTGTTATATATTTACTAGAAGTACAAAGAAAGGTGACTAAGCTCTTTATTTTAAGCTAATTTTTGTGCATCTAATTTTGTAAAAGATTACTATCTTTTTTTTGTTAATTTATTTATTATCATAATAAATAAATAAAAATCAAGAAACTTACAAGTATTAAAGTTTCAACTAATTTATTTATATTTCTTCATTTGTATAAAACTATTTTTTATTTTTAAAAAATGTAATTTTAAAAAACAAATTAAGTTATTTAGTCATTTAACTTCACTAAAACATTATAATTAGGTTGCAAATTTCATTCTTTTTTTATATTTTCTTCTTTTACAAAAAATTTATATGTTAATTAAAATATAAACAGTTTTAACTAAAAATTATTAGTCCTAATATCAAAGATACAAATTACCTTCAAAATTCATAGCTAAAAATATAATTAAAATAAATAGGTTTCAATAAATAAGAAATAAATAAATATTTAATAAAAATCAAATAAATTAATTTAAATGATAAAATATTTTTCATATTTTACACATTTATTTTTAGTAATTAATTTAAGAGTAAATTAATGAAAATGGTTTATTGTTTTATTTATTTTTTCATTTAAAAATTAAAAATTTTTTAAATAGAACAAAAATTAAGTATTTAACGAAAAGAAAAAATTTAAGTTAGAATTATCTTAATTATTTTGATTGAAATGGATATTTTACTTCTATTTAAAAATTAATATCCTAATAACCAAATTATTTATTTAAATTGAAAATATAATTTAAAATATCTAATAAATTTAATTCAAGAAAAAAAAATTAGTAAAGGAGTATATTTAAATTAAAAATCAGAAAGTTAATTTTTATTCTTTAAAATATTCAGTCAGCCCCCTTTTTAAAGTTTTAATAATATTGGTGATAAATTAAATTTTTTTTAGAATAGATCACTTTGATAAATTTCAATTTAATTAAGGAGATTTTAGAGTATATTTAATTGAAGTTTAGAATTTTAAAAATAAAAATAAATGGAAATAGAATAGAATTCAACAGTAAACTCATAGGTTAAGCATGATCAATAAACATTTGCATTTAAGAATATAGATTTTATTTAAATAAAATATCCTCACTATGCAGATTTGAGTGTTATAGCAGAAGGATCTTTTTTCTTGGCTTTAAAATCTTTCAATTAACAAAAAGGCTATTAAACAGCTATTTTTTTGATTGATAGCCAAGTAATGGGAGAAGAACAAGATGATCTATAGCCTTATGAATATGATTAAGTTGACAGATTACATAAATTTATTAAATTAGCCTTTAAAGAGATAGAGAATTAGTTTGAAGATCAGCTTTTTTTTAATTAAAACCACATTTTATATTAAGAAGAGCTTTTAAATCATTAAGAAGAAATTCTATAATTGCCTGAAAGCATGTATTCAATTCATTTTATTGAATACGATTTGTGTAAAATAATTTATCAAAGCATTAAAAAATATCAAACACATAAATCACTTTTTAAAAGATCCTAAAGTGTACACCACTGACCAAATTAATAATTTTCAAAATAAAATGTTTAACCATGATGAAGTAAATTTATTCTTGTTTGCCTCTTTATTTAATCATTCTCTAAGCTATAAATAGGAGTTTATTAACATGTTAGAAATTTAATAATTGATAAAAGGTAATTCTTTTACAATAATACTATTTTACAAAACAATTTATTTATAAAATAGACAAAAAAAATACTATTACGAGAAGGAAGACTTTTAAAGAATTAGCCAATAAATTAGGAAATGCCATAATTTAGAATAACTGATAATACATATTCTGTAAATTAAATAAATAAATAAAATTTTTTTAATTTAATTATTTTAAAAAGCGAATATAAAATCAGACTTGAAGATTTAGAGGATTTAGCAAGCGCTTTTAGCGAATGCAAAAATTTAAAAATTGTCTGCCTTTATTTAAGGTTTATAAAATAATTGAATTTTTGAGTATTAAATTTTTTAATTTTAATTACAAAAAAGTGAAAATAACATTGATAAGAAGTGCTTTAATCACATACTTCTTTGCTTAGAAAAGCTACAAAAAATAACAAGACTAGAATTGAATATTAGGTTTTTTTTAAATTTCTGAATTTTTAAATAGTTAAATTAATTTTTTTAGAGACAATCCAGTTGAAAAAGACTCTTTTGTTGGAATCGGAAGGGTCATCAGGAATTTAAAATACTTAGAAAATATTTAACTAAATTTAAGGTTATAATATTATTAATTTAAATTTATAATAGTAAGTATTATGGTATTTTAAAATAATTTAGCAAGACAGGAATAGATTCTGAAAATTTAGAAACGCTAGCATAGTGCATTTCAGAAAATAAAAATATAAATTCAATTCTTTTCTCAGCCTAGTAATATCTTCTAAAACACAAAAAAAACCATTTAATTAATTATTATTTTCTATGTAGCAAATCAAATTTCGATAGAAGTATGCTGGAAATTTTAATGAGCAAATTTGGGAAATTAAATTTAGAGAATTTCAACCTCTATTTATCGTAAATTAGAACTAATTAGAATATTTAAAAATTTATTAATTATTATTCAAGTTCAAATAAATTAAATCACTCAGATTTTGAAATTTTTAATTAAAATATTCAAAACTATCGAAATTTAAAATTTCTGAAGCTCTGCTTGTCGTAATATTTATTTATTGAAATAAGTTGCCTTTTTAATTATCTTATTATTTACTAAAGAGGTGTTGACAACACAGAAGGATTAAGTGATTTTGCTGTTTCAATAGGTTAACTTATCAATCTTGATGTTCTAAAGCTCTACTTTAGGTACAATTAATTATTATTGATTATTCAATTTAAAGAATTTATAATTTTAAATAATTAGAAATAACTCTATCTCTTCAAAGGAAATATCAGAAGTAGGTAAAAATATAGGCAAGTTAGCAGATTTGAAACAATTAACTTTGGTTTTAAAGTAAAATGTTAAAATTCAATTTTCATAAAATTAATTATGTTTAAAAGGAAAAATAATTTTTCCGAACCATTCTTAGAGTAGTTTGCCAATGATTTATCCTTATGCCATCAATTAAATTGTCTAAAATTAAATCTTAAGTAATTAATTATAAAGATGTGTTGTTAAAATATTGCTATTAATTTTTTCCTTATTTATAAACTAGTTTCTGTAAGCTAGGTTAAGATGACTTAGTTTTATTTACTAAATCTCTATAGCTATTAGAGAAATTGAGACACCTTAAGTTAAAGCTAAAGTAAAAAATAATATTTAGTATTAAAATTATACAAATAAATTATTTAAATTAAATTAGAGAAAATGAAATACATACATAACAATTAGTAAATCTATTTAAAAATCTGAAAAAATGTCCTGTTTTATGCTAACTTCAAATAAAACTGAGGTAGATTTATTCTTTTAAATAAATAATTTAAAAAAAAAAAAAAAATAGTATGGATCATATTGACAAAGAAGGTATAATATAAATGATGGATTAAATAACATTGATAAATAGCTTGAGTAGACTCAATTTAAGGCTGATGTAAATTTATTTAATTCTTCATCTCATTATTTTAAAAAATAAATTTTTTTAATAGAAATTACCCAAACGACTAAGAAGATTTTCTAGTTATTGGAGATAAAATTAGATAATGGAGTAATATATTAATCCTCTAATTAAGCATTAAGTAATTAATTAATTTTATTATAAGTTTTAACATTTTATTTATGATTGAATATAATAATAGAAATATTGACAATCTAATTATTTAAAAACTCTCTAAGAAAATATCTAAGGCACGTAGAGTAGTATAATTCTTTGTGAAATCTTGGTGAAAATTCAAAAAAATTAAAAAGGCAAAAAAAAGAAGATTCAAATTATTTTAAATTTTTCATAATTTCATCAACTAACTAAGTTTAAATGAATAAAAAAAATTTATAACAAACTGAAACTATATTCTAAAAAAATTACTAAATTTTAATATTTTGTTTATACTTAAATAAATTTATATATGAATCTATATTAAATCACTCTTTTTTTTTCATATTTTTTGATTTTCCATAAAAATCAAACACATTTAAAAGTTTTAATTTAATTTAATAAAATAATATTTTTATAAAATAAATATCTTAAATAGAAAATTTTTATAGATTTAACATTTTATTAAATTTATCTTTCAAGAAAAAATTGAATATTCGAATTCATATTTTTTAATATGGATTTCAATTTTTTATAAAATCCACAATTTGACTTCTTTAAATTAACAAAAACAGAAACTTTATTTTTAAAATAAAAAATTATTTTTGTTTTATCATTTTAATTTAAAAAAAATTTTTATTAACACATTCTTTTTTTTTAAATGCTTTTATTTTTTCATATTTAAATTTGAATTGAATTAAAGCATATTTAAGTCTTTGAAATTCAATTTATCTTTAAAATAAAATTTTTGGCATTTTGTTAATTTATTTGATAATAAATATTTAAATATTTCATATAATACTCATAATAGTATTAATAATTTTTTAATATTTATATTTATTTACTTAATAATTAGTGAAATATAATAATATGTTTTATAAACTAAACATTTTCAGTTGGATTATGTTAGAAAAAAATTATCTTTAAAAATTTTATTCTATTATTTTATGAAAAAATAATTTGAACTTTAAATTTAACACTCAATAAATTCATATTTTTTATATAACAAGTAATACAAATATTTTTTAACCTTAATATTTTATTATTCTTCTATTATTTTTCATTGATAAATTAATTACTCAAAATATTTTTACATTAGTTTATGAAACATAAAAAATTAATTCAGTTGACTAAAATAAAATTCCAAACTAAAAGAGTTTGTAAAAAATTTTTGAATTATAATTCTTATTTTCCATTTAATATGAATACGGCTGTTATTTTATGCTTTTGCATGAAACTTTTTAAATGCTTTACTTACAATTTTCATGTATTTGAAAATTTTTAATTTAATGATGAATAAAAAAATAATATATTTATCAAACTTTATTTTACTTAATAATGATAAATATTTTCAAGGTCAGGAAATAATTTTATAAAATGGAAGGAAAGTAAATTTTATTTTAATTTAGCACCTAGAATCAAAGTAAAGATGGTATTATACCTTTTTACATAGTAATGGAATTTTTATAATTTCCTAGAATATTTGATTGCATTTAAGGAGCTATCCCAAGTTATTAGACTATATCTTTATAAGGTTTAAGCTGTTTTCTTAAAACACTCTAAAATACATGCAATTTATTATGGTCATTAGCGTTTCTAGCAGAAGAAGGGCTAAGAGAAGGCTTTTATTAAGGGTTATTACTTGATTTAGGGGAATTTTTAGTTTTTACTATTTTATAATCATTGTAAGTTAAAGGGGTTAAACTATGCTTAAAATTATACTTTTTATCAGTCATAAAATCTTCCTCATTTTCTTGTTCATTTTCTTAATTATTATTTTCATTAATATTTTGTAAACAATGTTTTTCTACATTTTAGTTTGTATAACTTGATATTTCAGAATATTAAGCTGCTGGTTGGCTCAACAGGTTATATCCTTTGTCATGATTTGAAGACTAGGATTACAATTAATCAAATTCTGTTTTGAGTGGCTTTTTGTTAAATAAGATTGATCCACTTGCTTGAGTTTTTATCTGCTAACTAAAATTAATTTAATTTTGATATTCAACAGCTTCTGGTATTTAATAATTATATCCATCTAGTTTATAATGATCATAATCAGATAATTTAGTGTTAGGACTATGACCAGTCAACGATGAAATTCTTTATCTTATTTTTTAAAGAGTTTAAAATTCTTTTGTTTTTTATATGTTTTTGAGTGGTTAAATATCTTGATACTCGCTTAACTTTGATTAAGGTAGACATTCACTCTCTCTTCCTTTTCTCTTGGATTTATCTGGAGTAAATAGTCTTTTTTTAAGAGCTGAAGGAATAAATGAATCATCTGCATAGCTTACATTATTACTTACATTACTACTCTATGCTATTTTAATTCCTTTATTTTAACTATCTGTTTTGATATAAAATTTAGGCAGGTATGAAATGCTATTTAATGAATCTTAGTTTTATTCCCTTATAAGATTATCAACATTTAACGATGGAATATCAATTTTCTCTAGAAAATGCTAATAATAATCTTTCCTTTAACTGTTGCGTTTATGAGTGTACTAACTTTAGTGATTTGATGAAGAAATATTTTATATATCAACAAGTGTGTTTTATATTTATTTAATATTAATTGTATTTATCGAATTATTATGGGATGTAGGTATTATAGAATGCATTTAGTTATCCTTGTAAATATCTTCATCAATAAACTTCTTGAGTTCCTTATTTTTAGATTTTATTTTTTGCTAAATGTTAAACACTTTGTAGCTTCCATTTATTACTCTTTTAGAAATCTCTTTAGAGTATTTTTAGTTAATCTGATTTATGCTCACTTATTCGTGAAATTTATTGTTTTATCTATATGGGTCATTTAAGTTTACTTTAAAAGATGGAGATAATACTCCTTAATTCTTGCATAGATTTGGAGAATTTTAGCATTTTACTTTACCTGACCCAAATTTATCAAGGACAACTAATACTGGTTAATTGCAGCAATAACTAAATGGCATCAAATCACAGTCTATTTTAAATTAAAATTTATATTTAAAAAAAAAATCTATTTTTAATCAGCTTCAAATAAATCTTTTTTATATTATTAACGAATTTATTTTTTTAAAGATTTTATACATAGAATTTAGATTGAAATTATTGATTATTTAAAAATAAATGTAATGAAATTACTATGAAAGTAAACGACATATTTATTTCTTAGTGAATCTTTACACACTAAAAGACTGTTTTCATATAAAGATAACTCATTAAATATATTTTAGATGACATCTCGAATATTAGAAATGATATTTTCATTATCTTTTAATACTATCGGGTTTGTGAATTCATCTAGTCTAACTTTTCAATAAAAAACAAAACAAACACATTATGAATAGTTGCGATAAAAGCTAAACTCAAATTACCTAAGGTGATGTACTCTCTAAGCGAAATTCTATTAAAGTAAATATTTTGAAACATTCTTGATTGTAATCCTTTATTTGTATTCACTTTTTGAATATTAGAAGAATGGTCTAATTATGAGAGCTCTCCATCTTAAAATTCAACTTAATACTCATTTTCAGGGCTAATTAATTGATTATTTATTTAGAAATATTGAATAGGTCATATAAAATTATTATTAGTAATATATTTTACATACTAATTCATTTCTTTTTGCTTTTGATTTGATCTTCTTCTTCTCTGTTTTTGATCATTTATGCTCATTATTTACTCAATAAGTTTTAATAGTAATTAATTATGTTGAAAATTTAATTTTAAGTGGCTTAAAAAATCACTGTTATTAATTAATTAAGAATAAACAATGATTATTTATAGATTCTTTTAAAAGTAACAAATCCATCAAATTCATACACACAAAAAACAAGTTAAAAAGGGATTTAATTATTTTTTTTTGCATCTTGTAAATCAAAATTGCTACTATAAATATTTCATTAAAAATTTTTCTGTAAGCATCTTTTAAAAAGATATAGAATGTTTGCTTGCTGATTTCTAAATGTTTTAATATTTTCTCAATCAAAAAATTAATCTAATAAATAAATACTCTGTTGATTATTTCAAAGAATAGCATTTAAATATCTCATTTTACATTTATTTCTTAAATTATAATTTTTTTGAAAGGATTATTTATGATAGAAAAAGTTCTGTTTGATTTTAGTAAAACATTTTATTATAAATTTAATGATAATTGTGTTAGTATATTAAATGCAGCTATAAAAAAAAAAAAATTGATGTAATGCGTTTTTATTTAATATTACAACACAAGATAGATATTATTATTAATATTAATTTAAATGTATTGTACTTCGCTAAACAATTATTATCTATCTATCTAAATAAAAATTTCAGATTAAAGAGTTTTGTAAAGTAACCAAATAAATTAAAAATGAGTACCTCCCGAATTCCAGTATAAACAATTATTATAAAAAGGTTAATCGATTTCCATGAATTGCTTTTACTATTTTAAATTAGGTATCTTTAGAAATAGATGTAAGCAAAGCGTAGAACATGAAATTTAAATCGTTAGATTTTCAATCTGCCAGAAATCCGATTGATAATAATTAGAGTTAAATGCCTACTTTACAGCAATCAGCAATCCGTTCTATAAATAAATACTATTAGTATATAATTATTTATTGCTTTAGAGATAATTTAAAATGTATTTTAACTATTAATAGATCAAATAATGTTAAAGACATATTGGGGTACGAAGAAAGCCTTCTATCTAAATAATTAAAAAACTCAGAGGTTTCATTATTTTTAACTCATTTCTACATAAATCGATGCATCTAATAATTTGTTTAGAATAGCATTTAAATATATATAATTTCTCATCTTATTTTAGTAATATGCATTAAATATCTTGACTATTAAAAATAGAAAATTGATTATTAAGCTGAGGTTAGTAACAATATGATGTCTCTGAAATAATCTTATGATACATTGCGCAATAAATATACAAAATTAGAAAAAGAAATAATTAAAATGAGAGTAAAAACTTTCTAAATTTTAATCTTAATTTCAATTGTTGTAAATTATTTTATAATAGAACGAGCTTGAAATTATGAAGTAAACTGAAACAACTCTCTCTATTGGAGTTTATGGAAGTGAGGAGGTAAAAATTTACTGGAAATATTTAAAAATTAAGCGAATAAAAATTGATATATTAATATTCAATATAAATCCCAAATATAAAAATACAACTTTCTTTTCTGATATGTTGATCATAAAATTAATATTTATTATTAGGTTTTAACAAGATTATATAGTTGAATTATAATATTTTATTTATTACTTTTAGGTACATGAATAAATGCAATTAGAGTATGAAAAGTTTTAATAGCAGTTATTGGAGGTTGAATCAAATAGAAAGACTTATCTTCATATGATTAATAGAATGAGAGTAATCCAATTATCTTGAAAAAATATAACAAAAATCTTAAATAATTTTATTTAGCTTCTTATTGTTGCAGTTTTTAATAATAATAATTATTTAATTTTATAGCAAGACAACTAAGTCTTCAAGCTATAAGTAAATCAAAGAAAGGATACATTAGATTAGAGTAATACAGTGCTCAATTAAGCAAATGTTAAACTATCTTAAATTTCCTTCAAAGAAGTTAAAGCTTAGATTGCTTTAGAAGAAGTTAAGAAGGTGATTTTTTTATGTTAATTATTTTATATGTTTTTGAAATATTTTATTTAGTAATAAATTAATCTTTAAATAAAATATCAAAAAGCATAAATAATTAATTCAATAAGAAAGAGAATTGAATCTAACTAAGTTTTAGCAAGAAATAGAGCAATAAGTAGATTTGGAAAAACAAAGGTAAATTATTTTGAAAAAATGTTAAGGTGTGATTATAAATTACCTTTATTGAGAATAGAGATGAGAGAATTAAGAGATAGTAAGAAATTGCAGAAATAGCACAAACAGATATGCGTGATACAAATATAGTAGAATTATATTTTATATAAATTAAATTGAATAATTAATCTTACAAAATATTTACTTTTAATTCATTATATTAGAAAAAATGGAGATAGCTTTTTCTTGTAAACTAGTTTTTAAGCACTTTTCTCAAAAGAAAGATGGAAAAAGAAATGAGTACATATGAGAATATTGAAAAATCTTTTTAAAAAATTAAAGCAGCAACCGTAATAAATATTTATTTAATTTTAGCAAAAAATTTTAGCACTTCTTTCTAAAAATTTTATAAAGAATTGAATCGAACATTTGAATTAAAATTAACATAGATAAATATAGAGTTTTTATATTATATGCAGTAGGAAATTTTTAATTTAATATTTTAAAAAGGGTATTTGTGAAGCAGGTGAAATTGTACATAAATTTTTGAATAGGGAAAGCACTTACAGTCGATTATTAATATCGATAGAAGAATATGAATAAAAGATAGACAATTTAAAAAAAAGTAATGAATAGCTAAAGGAGAAACTATAAAATCTAAAAGCAGAATAACCTTAAGATAGATTAGAAAATAAGCAAACATTGTTGGAGATAGATGAGCTTATTACAAAGTATTAGAACACTTCAAATAAAGCTGAAAATGCTAGACTAATAGAATAAAAAATATATAATTGGGGAATAAATTATCTAGCTAAAATTGAAAGAGTAAGGATTTATTATTAATAAATTTTTTTTATAAAAGATTTCTTATAATTGTTACAGCAGCAATTCTAATTATTTACTGTTGTTATATTTATAATAACTATTATAAGTATTACATTTTTATAACTATTATAACTAAATTAATTAATTAATTAATTAATTATAAAAGTATTCATTCAAACAAATACATTTGCTAGATCTTTAATCATAGAAGCTAATTTCATTATTTTTTCCAAAATTGGTTTACACTATTACAGACAAACAATTTTTAAATCACTTTTAATATTTTTATTTGCTAAATATAAAATACGCAATTAAAACATAATCAAACTTTGTTCATATATGAATAAAACATTTGTTCAATCTAAAAATATTATTATTTATTTTGTCATATTAAAAAATATTTTAAAATATAAAATGAAAAAAATAAAAATTTTCATTTTTTATAATCATTTTCGATGAAATTAACATTTGTTTTAGATTTCTAATTTATTTATGACAATTCAATAATTTTAAAATTAGGTTCTTGGAATATCAAATGAAAAAATAAGATTCTATTAATAAAAGTATAAAAAGTCTGATATACCAAAGTTAATAAGTGAAATACTCAAACACATGTTGGAGAACCTAACCTAAGTAGATAGCGAAGTAATTTAACTTAAAATTTTTTGAAATAAGAAGTAACTTTAGAAGGTCCTTGTGAAATTTAAAATAAAGATATATTTTTTAAATTATTTTGTTTTGTTTTAAAAGAAATTTATTTTTACCCACAAACTACTTATCATATTTGATTTACCAATAAATACCTAACAAAATTAGTAAGTTGAGCGAATGATTACAAATTAATACAGAAATGTAGAAAATTTAGATCATGATAATGATTTCAAAAAGCGAAATAATAGAATCAAAGAATATATTACTCAATAAAGCAATAAAGGAACTCATGAGCGACTCTCTAGGATAGAATTGACTGAACAAGATACAAGTAGCTTTGATGGTAATAGCTAATTATTTAATTTTACTGAAGAGATTTTACTTTTTTTGATGAACTATCAAAATCCATTTTTAGCAACAAAGTAGATAAACAATTAGATTAATATGAGTCTAATTTATTTTTGCCTTTCTCCTATTTATTTATCTACATTATATAAGAATTCATTTTAGGCTAATAGTTAGGAGAATTAAAAACTATTAGGCCAAATTTAGAGCATTAGAAAGTAATCAGAAATATTTAAATTGGTAATAGGTATGAATTTCTTGATAATTAGTCATCTCTAGATAAATTATGTTAAATTGTTTTAATTAATTAATAAGTTAACAAATGATTCGCTAGTTTAATAAATCTGATTACATATCATATAATTTAAATATCATCAAAACCCCCCTTATTAACTTTAAAAAACATGGAATATTAATAAATTAATCAATCAATGATTGCATTACAAATAAATTATTTTTTGTCAAGATATTTCTAAAAGAAATTTCTAAATATTTAACTTTTAAACTTTCTTCAAAAAGAAGATAGATAGATATTTGGCTAGTTAGTTAGTTAGACAGATTGATTACTATGTCAATGTAAACAAATAAAACAAATAATTCTTTGATTGCAATTTATTTGTTTTAACAATTTCTACCCTGTTATATAAAATTTTATATCATTGGAAAGTTAGTTCAGTATTATAATGATGCAATTTATGGCTTTATTTAATTAAAAATTACATATTTTAGCTCATAATTATAAGTTTTGCCCCAAATTATGCAGCTTTTTTTGTCACTTGAATATAATTTATTACAGTTAAGTGAAAATCAAAAGAAATAGACTATAATTATTAATCAGTGATATTGCTTTTTAATTACTTCCAATACATATATTTTTTAATTTAATTTATGATATCATCATTAATATTTTCATTCACTATATTTTCATCATCAATTATTTATTACCAGTGATGCATGCATACATGCATTTATCTTACCTTCCTATAATTCTAAATTTTTTAAATAAATAATACAAAATAGAATAAACTCAACAGCTCACCTATGATGCTAAAGATACTCTGACGACTAAATGAATATTTATTTACAACCTAATTATAATAATAAATAGAGAACTGCTCTAATTTGAAATTATAACAAATAAATATCTGCTTAATTTTTAGTTTAAACGAGAATTATATATATACATATGAATATTAAACTAAAATTATTTAGACATAAAGACAGCAGCTATCTCTAAGACATAAATATATTTGTTACAAATTGTTAATAAAATTAACTACTCTTCTATATTTAAATATTGATGTTTTGTGTATTTTATTGATTGAAATGCATTTGATGCTTAAATTCTCTTTATAAAATATCAAATTTACGTTATTTAACTTGATTATCATTTGATTACAAATAAATAAAATTTTTTTTTTGAAAATTATCCAATTATTTAACGTTAAATTTAATGAAATTCAAGTGTAAATTAATTATCTTAAATATTAAACAATTAAATACATGAATAAAGATATTTTATTCAAGCATTAATATTTTTTAGATAATTTTAATTATTTCAATGAAATTCAAAAATAGTTTTTGTTTATTGCAAAAAACGTACAACAAGTCTTTGAAAATAAATATATAATTGAGTGGAAATCACAAATTTGAATTTGTTTTACTACTTTTTGTAGAAGAATGAAAGTAATTAATTATTAATAAGAAAGGAGAAAAAAGATTAAGAAAGTAGTAATAAAAATATATCAAGAAATTAATTAATTAGCGGATTTTTAAATTATAAAAAACGATGATTATATTTGTAATTAAATTTAAGTCAAGAATTGCGTAATAAAGAAAAATAAATAGTGACGAATTAATAGGTCTGACATAATTGTTAATTAATAACACTAACAAAAAAAAGTAATTAATTTAATGATATTCACCATATTAATAAATTCTTTAGAAGCTCTGCCGACTATTTAAAGCAGAAAACTATTAATAGCTGATTTCTTATAAACAAATAAATAATAAATCTTACAAAAAATAAAAAAACTATAAAAAAGCTAAAAAATCAGCTTAAAAAAAATTAAAAATAATTATATTATATATAACTCATCTGAGTTTCAACAAATAAACCCTAAATACATCGTTTCAAATAAGTTAACAAACTTCTCATATTAAATAAATGGATTACCTTAGAGCCAAAGAAGAAATACTCAACTAAATGAAGCAACACCTTGAAAAGAAATGTGGTGACTGCCCTCACGAAGAATATCTTGACCTTAACCCTGCTGAACCTGGCTTGGCCTATACAGATGGTTATTATATCTACCAAAGTGACTGCAGTGAAGCTAAGAAGTTGAACTTAAAGATGCGTAACTTGCTTGCTGATATGAGAAAAAAGAAAATTCATGATAAAAATGAAGTTACAATCATACTTTGAGCTAACAACTAAACAAAAAATGCTAAATTATTTATATAAAATATAGTTAAAGACGATTGAAGCATTTACTAATCGTATTATAAAACATAAATACATCTTCTTTCAATATAATTTTAACAAAAAACAATTGATTTAAAAATCAAAACAAACAACTTTAATTTTATATAAATAATGATATTTAAATAATAACCAAAATTTCTTTCTAAATTTAACAACTAGAAAATACTTCTAAAACTTACTTTAATATATCTGATTAATATATACTATAATATATAATTCATTATTAAATTTATGCATACATATACAACAATTATATATTAGTATGTTACTTACTTTATATTAAAACTCTCAGCTAATATGAACATTTTTTAAATATATTTTATACTAAAACCTTTTATAAGCACTATAAAACTAGTTGATATACTTTCAATACTGTTTTGTAGCAATAGTGATCCGAATCAACTTATAAATTATTAAGATTATTCAAATATTTTTGAGAGTAAATCTCCTTAGAAATAAAGATAGATGAAAGTGTTTATTAAAGTAGAATTAAAAAATATTCAATTTGATTTTACTACTATAATTATATTCTAAATTATAAATTCACAGCTATTAATTTCTTTAGAATATAGATAATTTCATTTCTAAAATTAGTCTTCATTAATGTTATTAAAATAGTGAGCAAGAGCTAAATAAATATCTATAACAGCAGTGATTAAATATTAATAAATATTTATTAATTGTCTACTTTACTAAATGTAAAATAGAAAGAATATTCTAAAAATAGTTTTCATTTGATTTATCAGTATGAATTTTGACATCAGTTTTAACACCAAAAATTTTAACTCCATTACAAGCGAAAAGACAGACTATTGCAATAAAAAAATTAAATTTTTTCAAATTGAATTAATTAAATAAACTTGAATTATCTTTCTCAAATAATTACTTTTCCGTCATAATATTTTTTCTAATTGGGTGTTAATAGGGATTTAATAGCATTTAATAGATTAAATTTGAATGATTTTAATTCTGCATCAATTTTACCACAAATTAATCTAAAAATAAATCAATAATTGTCATTAAAAATCCTATTTCTGAAATAAAAATTTTTTTCTAAGCAAATACTTACTCACTAATATATCATCTAAACCAAAAAATATTCGTTTTTATGTGGTTTATTAATGTATTTTTTTAATGATTATATCATTTAAAAATATTTGTAATTTTCTTTTCATCTTACTAATTTAATAATCATAATTAAGAAAATTAAAAACATATTAAATTTTTGATTGGTTGTCTTTGTATAAATTATAAATATTTTATTAAGTTTATATAAATAAAAAAAGCATTTAGTTAATTTAATCAAGCTTATGAGAATAATTTATCTATGAATTGCTATCTTAGATTAAATCTATCTCATACAACATAAATTTTTATTTAAAATATTTCTATTCATTTCAATTTTTATGAAATCTAAAAACTATGAATCTTCTTATTAGCTTATATAAAATTTTTTAAGATACAAAACTTTCTCCAAAAATTCTATAATTAATTTTCAAATAAATTTTATATATTTAAAAGGGAGGCCATTAATTAATTTTATGTTATACTAATTTAATTCAATCATTAGTCTCTTTATTTTAGCAAAGAAATTAAAAATACATTTCATAATTGATTTTTCATGTATTTGAATATCTAAAAAGATCAAATAATTTCAATTAAAAATAAGTTTTATTAGTTTGTTTTTGATATGAAAAAATAAATAAAACTCTATGGAGGATAATTTGTTATTTAAATTGAAGGATAAATATGATGGAATAATATATATTTTTAGTTTAAATTAATTGAATAAAGCTATTTTTTTGTTAATTTTTGATAAGCAAAATTTATAATAATATTAAACAAACACAAAAAGTATATATAAATAATACAAATAAAATGTATTTTATAAAAATTAAATAAATAAGCAAAACCATTTAGGATGGATTTTCAATATAAAAAGAGTATTTATTATTTTTTGTTTATATCTAATCAAAATCTAAGCTATCTTCTATAGAAGCACTTTAAAATTTAAGATTATCATTGATAGCTATGAATGAAGAAAGGCCTTTGTATTTATTGTTTAATTCATAACATTTTTGTTAAATTTGCAAGATTGAATTATATACATTTATTTATCTATTTAGAATAAAAAGCAGTTTATAGCTACTAAATACTGCAGGTACTAAGATGATGTTCTATATTATTTATCCTTTACTATAAAGATTATTTATTTATTTAGTAGCTCTTGTAAAAAGAAATCAATATGATGATAAAAATAGATTTATTATTATTATTTTTTTGGCTCTCATTTGGCCGATAAAATTCCTAAAAACATAGAAACTAAAATTACAAGTAAGACTTGCCAAGATTCATAACCTTCAGAAGATTTTTTTTTATGTTTAGAAGCATTTTATATTTAATTCCATTTTTCTTTTTCATTTTTTGCTATTTTAATTTCTTGATCTAGTTATTAAAAGTTTTTTTCATATTCGTGAACTTGCTATATAATTTTTTCATATTTCAGTTTAAACTCTTTTTCTTTATCAACATTAAACTATTTAGGAAATTAAGGGCTTCCTGGATGTTTAGTTGATGATTAACTCTACTGAAGACTTTACTTTTATCCATATTTCATATCAGTGAGACTTCCATTTGTTAATAACTAAAGCTATGTTATTTTTTTTATTGATGCAGAATTCCTTTAAAAGTCGTAGCTTAAAGTGGGTGACTTTTTTTTGGATGATTCGCTAATCTAAGTATTTAATCTAGAAGCACTTTATGTATTTAGGTTATATTCGCCATCAAATTTTACTGGTATAACAATCTTTTGGTTTATTTTATCCTTTTAGTTGAATAGTTTTTCATCTACTCGAGGCTAATTATTGAAAACATGTACCGCAGAAGGCTCTATTGTGATAGCAATAAATTAAAATTTATCTGTTTTTTCAGAAATATAACTCATAGAATATCCATTTTTAGTGAATTAAAATTATGCTTTCTGATTAGGATTAAGAATCACCTATGAGGGAGCTACTATATATTACGAAGGATTATTTGATTTAACCTTTATTGCAATTAGAAAATTGGAGGTATTTTTTACTTAAATTGTTCCATGATAATTTTACTGGTTTTAAACTTTTTATAAAAAAACGCAGTCTTAATCTAATTTCATCAGAAACCCAGATGTCATCATATTTCACTAATTGCTTATATCCTTTTGATTTAACTTTACTTACTTTTTTTATTATACTTTATCTATAGACTTAATGAATTTATTTACTTATTTATGCAATTAAATTTAATTTCAGATTTACTTAAGTTTCAATTGCTTTTTTAATAAAATAACAAGTAACAAATTGAATCTATTTAAACTAATTTGTTGGTCATAAGCTTTATAAAATATATTTTTATTTGCTACTAAAATCAGCCAGCACGTTATTTTAATTGCTACATACAAGAATTTAAACATCTTTTAAATATTTACAAAAAGATCAAAAAGTATTTTGTAATTCTTTTAATTAGAATACCTTTTTTTTGTTGTTTGATAGAAAAAATAAATGCTCACACTTTTGTTTGGAGTAATTAAAAATTTTTAATTATGAATAAAAAATGTTTTCTTAAATATTTTTATAAAATGCTAAGTCAATTAAATTTCTAAATATAAAAAATAGAGCTAAGCTATTAATTGATTGATTGATCCGTATATCTTTGATCAAACAAAAATATCAACCAATAATAAAATCAATAAAAGAAATAAGAAATAAATATATTACTTTCGTATTGACTATATCTTTCAAAAATTTATATTAATATTAGATAAGATTATTGTATTTTTAATAGATCTAAAAGAAGATAGATAGATATTATTAGAAGTTTTTATTTATTATTTTTATAGCAACATAGTTAAAATGATTGTAAATTCATAATTTTTAGAAGAGTTATAAGTAGTAGAAGCTTTAGATTTTGATGGTAATTTTTTTTGTTAAATATTTCATTTTAAATGAAAGTTATTTAAGCCAAAAATATTTATTTTACAAATAGGTTTTGAAAAATCATTAAATTATACTATTAGTTATATAGCAAAAAGTGATACAACAACTAGATTAAATGGTAAATTAATAACTTTAGATGATTTAATCAATCGTTAAGCTTTTCAAATGTAATAATGAATATAAAATAAAAAATTGTGTAGAAATTTTGGAAATTGAGGAGGAAAGCGCAAATCAAATCTTCCCTGTTTTGCTCAAGTTAGTTTCTTTTTTTGCTAAATTTAATGCAGGTGAAAGGGAATTCAAAGCTCACTTAGAAATGATTTAGTTAAACAAAGATAAAAAGCTTTTATTTTTGCAGGTAAAGCTTTTGCAATCAATCAATATATCGTTAAATAATAAATAATTATGTAAACTATTTAGAAAATGAAAGAATCTGAAAAGCATTTAAGAAAAGCACTAGGACTGCTGGAAAGAGACAATGAACCTGAATATGCAAATTTAAGATGGAGATTTGACTTATAAGTGAGAATTATAATAAAATTTATGATTAGAAAGCCTTTTAAAATTAAATAATTTTAATTTTAACAAATTTAAAGGTTTCTTCAAGGACAAATGAAAGTGAGACTAAACCAAAAATATTAATGCAGCTTGATTTGTTAAATAGTAAATTTTAGTGCATAAATAAATAAACTATAATATTTTTTAAATACATAAAAGATGGAAAAATAGAAGGGCACATTTTAGAAACTGATTTAGCTAATTTAAAACATTTAACAGAAGAACTCACTTAAGCTTTAAAATTACACAATTCATTGGCACAAAAGAAGATTCAAAAGAAATTCATATGAAAAATAGTATAAATAAATAAATTAATACAATACATTAATCATTCTAAGTATTAAATAAAATATAAGGAATATGTATAAATTCTGTAAATAATTAAAATCTATTTTTGATCTTTTAAAGAAATCTATCCGCTTTTTATTAATTTATAATTTAAAATAATTCATCAATAATTCATTTTTTAATATTTTTGAACAAATATTAGTATTAAATTAACTAAATAATTAATTTCAATTTATTTTTAAGGCGAATTAGAATAAATTAATAAATTATTTAAAATGAAGTTAATTAAAATATTTAATTACTATAAATCCTCTTAGATTAAAGCTCGTTTTTATAAATACTTCATAAAATTTAATATTAAAATGTGTAAAAAGAAATTTTTCACTCTCAGAAAAAAATTTTTATGCTCAAAATTTGAGAAAAAGCATTAATTAATCTCTAAAAAATTTTTCAAAATATTATAAAAATAGGATGTTAAAAAAATAGAAAGTGTAAGTAAAATTAGCTTAAAATCATAAAAATTAAATGAAATATCACCATGTGTACCTACACAGTTGGTGATATTTTAAAGCAAAATTAAAAAAATAATTCATTTTATATTTTATTTTGAAATTAATTAATTTTTTACTTTCATCTGACTAAATCTTTATATAAACTTAACTAATATTTTTAGAGTACAAAAACACAAAAAATAAAATAAATAATTTAAAGTAAAAAAATTGATTAAAAATGAATGAAAATACAAGAAAGTAATGATATTTCTAGATGAAAATAAAAAATCCACAAGCATTTTTTATTAAATTTCAGAAAAAAAATACATATGATATGAATTTTAAAATGGATATTTCCAATAGACTCTATTTTATAAATTAATATTTAGGAAATATGGTAAAAACTTATTTTAGAGTTAATAAAGATTTAAGATATGAATAATAATCAGAGTTTTAATAAAGATCTTTAAATATAATCATTAAAGATATTTTATGAAAAAACAAATATGAGAATTTATATAATTTATATTTCTGTTAATTTAAAATAATTAACGCATATAATACGCTTTTATTGATATCTAATTTTATATTTGTATAAACTATTTATGTTATTTATCTAAATCTATAAATGAATACTAATAGGATCTATTTAAAAAATTATAAATTTTTACTAAAAAATTTTAATTTTAGAGAAAGTAGTGCTTTTAATGAATATTTTGCTTAGTTTTTATAATCGCAATTTTCATTTTCAGAATTTATCTGAATCTCATTGAAAATAATAATAGTTTAAGTAAACAGAAAAATTTACTTAAGTTATTTTCAATGGTTTTGAAGGGGAATCATTAATGCAAAAATTTGAAAGAGAATATAACGCCAGTAAATGTGAGTTAGTGATTGTGATAAATTTGTTAAAGTTATAAAATGAAATAAATTACATTTCTTTATAAATAAATATATATTTATTTATTAATTTAGTAGAATAATTGTGGTTAAGCAGATAGATGTAAATTATTATTTAGTCAAAGCGTCAGTAATAATTAATTAATTATTTGTTTGTTTTGTTTGTTTTTATATATGTATGCTACTGATTTAACTTTTGGGTATTTTATAAAGTATTAATGAAATATTCTTTTTATAAATAAAGTCATAGTTGATGTTGATAAATATTTTTATTTGTTTTTTAATGAGTTGAAGTATTTTTAGTAGGTTTTAATTGGTTATTAAGAATTTCACATGTGTTTTGTGTAGGCAGATGAGAGAGGCAATAATATATTTAGGTCATTTTTGAACATTTTTACTGAATTTTTGAGCATCTCTTAAGCTATAAAAATTTAGCACTCAAAAGGATCGCTAATCTAGAGTAAGTTTGATTGATATATATCTAGTAATCTTAAAATTATTAATTCTATAATATGCTCACCTTTAAGTAAGAATAAATCTATAAATCTACTACCAAAAGTAGTTGTTATATCTTTTAGCATAAAAGTCAAGTAAAATTATGAGAAAGCACTAAAAAAGTCCATCTTAATTTCCTGAAAGTGATCTAAAAGCTAAGAATCTATGTTTTTTTAGAGGTTTTAAATTAAAGCATGAAGTCTCACGAAACCAGGAAGATAGGTTTGTCTCCAATTATTATCAATCATTATATAGCAAAATATCAAAAAGGCTCTTTCTTCTACTTTTGATTCGCAACATTTACTACCAAAAGAGCGAGCAAAATTAATATATTTTTCGCTTCTTAAAGCTAAAATAATCTAAGCTGCCAACATATTCATTCCCTATACATAACCTAATTCGCTGTCTAAATTAGAATAGGCTCTTAATATGTTAAAAAGCATTTACTATCCTTTAGTGAAGGCAGAGGATTAGCCAACTCTATGTGTGTTTCTTGCAGAATTCAAAATAGATGTTCCATTTGACTATGCTGAACTTTATTTATTTCCATGATAAGTTTCTAAAGAATAAACTGATTAAAGCGCAGTATCTGTTTTCTCTCCATTAAAGTATTAGTGTCTGCTATATGTTCTTGGAATGTCTTTGGAAATTTATTCATCATGCTTAGAAGCCATGTTTTTAAGCTTATCGTATTGACCCTTATACTTTCCCTCTAGTTTTTGTATTCCTGATAACCAAAACCACAAGCGAGGACGAAGATCATCAGGAATTCCATTTCGGATATTATATTCTAATTCTGAAAACGAAACTAAAGATTTATCAGTCTAAAGGACATTTTTCCAATCATTTCTGTTGTAGGAACGGAGCTTAGGTTCTACGACAGCATAATTATAAACAACTTGCTAGGATATAAAGGAAGGCTTAAACTAGTTATCGTTTTAAACAAATAGCTCGAATTGTTAATTTCTAATTTATGATAAAAATAAAGCATCTTAAGCGGACTTTGGTGTCTGTGTGCTTTATTCTGTAGGAAGAGTAAAAGCTTTTTAATCTTTAGCTGAAGTTAATTATTAAGAAAGGAACATTTATTTATTTATTTTTTCTTTATTTACTTTTTAATTAATCAATTTTTTTTATTTATTATTTTATGGCTGAGCTCAATTTCTTTTGTTTACTGTTTATTTAATCAGAAAGCTGATATAAAAAAATGTTTATCCTTTATAAACAAACAATTTATATCCAATATTTAATAAATTTGAGTGGTTTCTTGAGCTTTTTCAACAATTTTAAATTTTATAATCTATTAGATATTAGCGACTAGTATTTTAAGATAACTTTTCTACAATATTTTTGTCAAGTAATTATTTTAGAGGATATTTTATAAATACTAATAGTATATTGAGAAAAAATTTTTATTTTTGTCTAAAAAGAATAATTATTTCTTTGATCAAAAAATTTTTTTGTTTTTTTTATTTAAATTTAATTATTACATTTTCTTCTTCAATTTTTCGATTCTATTTAATAATCATCAGAAAAGATATAATTTACATTTACTTATTATTATTATTACAGTCAGCAAATTATACTAAATATTGAGTGAGTACGAAGCAGCCAGCTTTTTGATTACTTTCTAACGATTTCAAAAGCAACATTATTTGTAAAATTAATTCGCTAAATTCTAATGCTTAGAATTATTAAAAATATTCTACAGATATTAAAAAAATTATTCTATAAAAGTGATATTTAAATTGATATTTTTAAAGTATTTGTCAAAAGAAAAATTAGTGATTTTTAAGTTCGAAGTACTAGCTCAAAAAAAACAAAACAAATAATTCAATATGCTTTTATTTTTTAATCATAATTTTCTATAAATCATTATAATAAAAAAATTAAATACTCAAGCAAAAAAAAATTAAAATTAATATTAATCAATTTAAGTAGTAATTTTAGCATATTATAAAAAATTAGTAGAATGATATGTTATAGAGTGAATAAAATACTTAGGCTGACTCGATTTTCTAAAATGATAAAAATTTGCTTTTAGAAATTTCTTTAATTTAATTTGAATAATAAATTAGAATGACATCCGTCGACTTATCATTAAATTAATTCGAATAATACATAATAATTAAATCACTAATTATAAGCTAAATTATTTTCTATTGCTGATATAAATATTTATGAGAAATATAATTAAAATAATCTATTAAACTACATATGGCTATTACAATTAAATCTACATAAAAGCATAAAATTAATATGGCTAAAAGTTGAGGTTTGTTTATATAATAACACCTTCTTGTATACACTTAAAATGAAACAAAATTAAGTTATCTAAGTTATACAAAGGCATTCATTATTTTTTTATAATAAGTAATTGTTAATATTTAATAGAGCGAATAAATAAATAAATGCAATAAATAATAAATATGGATAGATTTTAATAATAAATTAAACAAAATGTTGTCATAAAAATCATTAAATTTTGTTCTTTTTAATAAAATATTTAATTATTGAATATTAAAATAGTTTTTGTATAAAAAAATTGTTGGAAAATTAAAACAACATACACTGTATTAGTTTGTTTAGTTGATGAATTTTAATAGATACGTTTAAAATTTATGATTTTTGTATCAAAAAGATAATTAATTAGCATTTTAAAAGCAATTAATTTGATTTTTTTAGATTTGATCTAAAATTATTAAAATTTGATAAAATTCAGATTTTATATTTGATTAAATTTTTCTTAATTTACAAGTATTAATGATTTTATTATTTTTTCATTTAAAAACTTCCTTAATTTTATATTTAATAACGATTTATCAATTAATTTTAAAGAATTTTTTGTTTCGAATTTGTATTTTTATGTAATAAATACTAAAAAGAAATAAATTAAAGAAAGCAACTAAATGCTAAAAATAATGAAATTTAATAAATAGAGATATTTTTATAAAAAATAAAAATAATAAGTGTAAAAAATACAATTTATGTTAAATAAATTCCATAAAGATAATTTTGTTATATTTTTTTTACTCTTCTTACAATTTAAATTATCTCAATAATTTATAAAACCATTAAATGATTTTATTAATTAATGGCACAAAAAGTTTAACATTAATTACACCAGTTAAAAATACGTTTGAAATGAGTTAATAAAATTTGATAAATTTTAAATTACCCTTTTATAAAACTATAAAAAATTTATTATTTTTCAGATAAATAAATACATTCATTATAAATTTTCTATTAAAACAGAGGTACTACCACCACCTGCATTTCCTAAAGATGCAATACCATATTTTCCATTTTTTTCTTTTAAACCATAGACTAAATTAACCAATAAACGAGCTCCTGTCATGCTGTAATTTTTATTTTAAAATTTATTTATAATACTTATTGGCAAAATGCTTTATGATTAATTAATAGGTAGAAATAAATTTATTTTACCCTAAAGGATTGCCGAATGCTATAGTACCACCAAATACATTAACTTTTTCGTAATCAATATCTAAGTTTACTAAATGAGCAAGAACAGTAGAAGGGAAATCTTCATTGATTTCGAATAAATCTATATTTTATGTTTTGATATTTGCTTGTTTTATTAACTAAGAGCATGATTCAACACTTGCCATAGCATACTCTAAAGGCTCTTTTTCGACTTGCTAATAACCTAAAATTCTAGCTAATGGCTTTATATTTAATTATTTTACCATCTCCTCACTCATCAATACTATTAAATATTTAGAATTAATAATTATCATGATTAGATAAATATTTTAATTAAAAAATATCTATAAAAATACCAAAAAATTTAATCATTAATTTAATTTAATTTAATTTGAATTTTTTTAATTTAAAATATTAAATATAAGATTACTTAATGTTGCAGCTCCATCTGCAAAATTACTTTGATTGCTTTAAGTGATAATCCCTTCTTTGGCATAAAAAGCTGTATCATTCAATATTTTTTCTTAGTCATATTATTCAAGATTAGCATCATCTTTAATGCTAAAAACTTTTCCCTTTATTAATGAAAAAATGTTATTAAAATTTAATAATGAATTTTGGAAATTAAATCAAGCAAAAATAATTTTTGTTTAAAAAAAATAAAATTTATTTAAGACGATGAAAAGATTGATTAGATTCCCTTTATAACAGAATAAAATTGAATATAAAATACACAAATTTATGATAAAGCTTCAAAATAATTTAATAAAATAAACTTTTATAATTTTATAAAAAAAATTACTTGTCCATCGTGATATTATATTGGTGATATTTATTTTGCAAGGAATCCATTATCTCTAGCTTCGATTGCTCTTTCATATGAAGCGATAGCCACAGCATCAACAGTTTGTTTTTAGAATTTCATATTTTTGCAAAGCTATTCTGCTAAATAACCCAAAGGTTATTCTGAATACTTATCTTAAACACCATCATTTAAAATACCATCTAGCAACTTTGAATCTCCGAATTACTTTCCTCTTCTTTACTAATTTATTTAATAAATAAATAAATTATTAATAATAAAACTTTAAATGTGTTTAATAATATAATTTATAATTTGAATAAATTTTTGAATTTGTTAGCCAAAATTTTTTGTAATAGAAAAGTAAAAAAAATTAATATTTAGAATTATTTTTTATTTTTAGAAAGAAATAAAGAAAGAAAGAAAGATATTTAAAAAATTTGAAAACAAATATTTGTTTAATTAAAAAGTTCTATAAATATTATATTTCGCTTTTGTTTGATAGAATTTATAAATTAAAAATAGATATTATTACTTGGTACATGTAGAAAGGAACATTTGACATACTTTCAAATCCACCAGTGACTACGCATTGATTATAGCCAACATTAATACTATTTGCACCTACTATAACAGATTTTAATCCAGAACTGCAAGCTTTATTAACAGTGCTGCAAGGAACTTCTATATCAACACCTATATTGTTAAAAAACATATTCTTTCTAGCTAGCTTTTTATGAAATTACTGATTTTTAAAATGTTTTCTGTTAATAATTTAAACCTAAAAAAATTGCTAAATTACCTCCTAATAAAGCTGCTTACTTTGCTGGATTTTATCCTATCATGGCAGGTAAAGCAACTCCTAAAAATACTTCATCAATTTAGTCAGGCTATAATTTAATATCTCTAATTGCACTCTAAATAGAAAATCCTGCCAAATCTGGAGCTCTAAATTTTGCTAATTTTCCTAAGTAAGGATATATTGGAGTTCTTTTAGCAGCTACGATGTAGCAACTTTATAATTTTTTTGAGCTGAATAAAAATTTTTTTGAAAATGTTAACATTCCTTTTATTGATAATTATTTGCTTCTTAAATTAAATAGAATTATACTTCAAATCAATAAAACTCGTTTCTACTTAATTGAATTATTCTCACAATAACTTATATTAATCATTCTATCTGATTAATCTTTAATCAATTAAAAAAAGAAAGATATTTTTTTCTTTTTCCTAATGGTTCTTCTTTATTTACAATTATTTTTTTCTAGAATCTTTGAATCATTAAAATTTACATTCTCATTAACCATAAAACATTTTTTATCAAATTTTTAACTATTTAATTAATATTTTTAAAGTAAAATTTCTTATTAAACTGAAGTAATTTTTTTAAATTCTATCTTTTTTTATTTAATTGAACATTTAAACAAAATAAATAAGCTACTTAAAAAGGTCTTAATAAAAATAATTAAAATAAATTTAAATTTATTCTTTAAATTGAAAATAAATAAATTCATCAATTAATTATGTTTTTTTGTATAAAATTTTATATTCCTCAATTTAATAGTGATGCTATTTCTTATCTAAATGCACTTTTTATTTTATCTTTGATATCTTCATCCTATTAAATTTAGTAATTTATTATAAATAATTGATAAAAAGATTAAAATAAATTACTTATTCTTGTATATTTAGTTTTAAATTAGTTATTTGAGTTCTGATTTTATCAATTTAATCATTTATGTTTTCCATGACTTTGAATGTTGCTGAATCTACATTTTTCAATTTTAAATTCAATAAAAATTAAATTAATTTTAAAATTTACTTTGATTTAAGTTTTCTAAATCTATTTTTTGATTTAGTTATTGTTATTCTTTCACTTCTTACTTTGTTGGAATTTTTTTATTACTGTGCTTCGAGAAAGCCATATCTAGTTTTCTTAAGTTTTCAAATTAACTCAGATCTTCTTCATTAACCAAAAAATCCTCATACATACTCTCCTAACCAGTCTCATCATTATTGACTAAATAAATATTTAATTCTCTCTTCTAAAATAAATCTAAAAATTTAAAATTTACTTAAATCAGAAGATACTGAATGCCCTAAAACAAAGACTCTGTCTCTATGAGTGATTTTGGTCTTTTTAAATTTATAAATTTAATACTAATGCAAATCAATTTGTAATTTTTTACATTTTCTTTTGGATTCGTGTATGTGTAAGGAAATTAATTACCAACACTACCAGGAAGTCGATATAAGGCTAAAGCAATTAATTGCTACTCGGTAGCAAGATAATGGAATAACTAACCGAAAGTCTTATTAAAATAATCCTCAGGTACAGGAATTTAATATAAGTTAGACTGGTGCAAATCAGCATGATCACAAATAGCTCTGATTACAGCTGATGACTATTTATCTCCAGTTAAAATTTGCTGTAAAACAGTAAGGATATGAGGATTGTAATACGTTTAGCAAGTTAAAGTATCTATCATGGGAGAGATATATACTTACCCAGCTGCAAAAAGAGGAATCAATTCTGTATTATCTCCAGCTTGAATTAAATTTTAAGCAATTTGTTTATCAGAGCTATCATGCAATAGATGTATGTTTGAAGGAAAAACTAATTCAATCATAATTTGTACATTTTTATTGAGCTTTTAAATGGCCTTGTAGATAAATATACTCTCTGAATCAAGCATTTCATCTACCTAATTCATTTCTTTAGTTACTTCTTTACTAAATATAACAGCTTTATCTGCAAACTAAATATTAGCTCTCATTAAATCTTCGTGTTTCAAAGGTGATCCCTTATTAATTAATTACAACAATAAAAATAAAAAAACCAATTTAATAAAATAAATATTCTTCATTATAAAGAAAATTTTTTAATTTTGTAATAAAAAAAATTCTTATTTTTTATTAAAACTTTTTACTTTGATGAAAATGATTTTTGGAAAGCGATTTATGTCATTCCAAATCTTAGTTGGTTACTCTTCACATAAAATTACAATATACTAAAACTCTTTCAGATATTTTGCTCTTAGAGGAAGAATAAAGTAATAGATAGAACTGTGTATGCCACATAACACAATGTGGTTTGTAACTTTTATTGAATCTCTTAAACTAATAAGAGTTACATTTATCAAAGGTATTGATTCAGGCATAAGAACATAATCGCCTTCTGTGCTTTCAATATCTTCGATATTTCCCTTATATAATTAAATTGAAATATCAAAAAATTATTTAATAAATATAAAACTTACTTTATTTTTTTGGCCTTCTGAATCTTCTTCAAAAACACTTTACAAAAACATACTTTCTTATTTCTCCAATTCCTTTTACTTCTTTTTTTAATGATTTTACATTTATTAAAATTATGTAATCTCTTCTTGTAGCAATTCATAGTTTGTCACTTAATCTGCAACTTTTTTATCTTCACAAATGATGTAAACTTTTACTTTATTTTCAAATGTATTAGGTATCACATAATTTCCTGGATTTAATCTTATTATAGTTTAACCACCAACATCAAGTTCTATTCCAAATAAAATACCTCCAAACTCATTGTATACTGTAGCAGCTATTTCAGTAAATGTTTTACCTTCAAACTATATTTAAAGTTAAATAATTTATTTTTTGCAATTTAAAGTGTTAAAAACTGTATTGAAATTGTCTCAAGCTCAACACAAAATATCATTTATTTTTTTTATGTTCTATAATTTTAACATTAAAAGCATTTATTTTAAGCTTAAAATAAAATGGAATTATTTTTATTTTCTGTAATTTTAAGCATTATTGGAATGTTTCAAGTTTAACACAAATGTGATTGTTTTTTATTTTCTGTAATTTTAAAGCATTAAAGATGATATTGAAAATATTTATTTCAAGCTCAACATAAAATAAAATTGCTTATATTAAATTTCAAGTATTAAAATTGATATTGAAAATATTTATTTATTTCAAGCTCAATATAAAATAAAATAATTTTTTTTATTTTTCATTAAATTTTAAGCTTGAAAATTATTGTTTTTTTTAGAATTTAATATAAATATGAATTACTTTGCTGGATAAAGCAGCTCTATATATTTCATGACCTATACCTGTCATGTATTCTTTTAACCACTCATCTTCATACTGAGAGTCATCTATTTCTCCTGCACTCTAAATTAGGTTTCCTAATAAACTAATTATTCCTGGGCAAAAGCAAGATTTAGCTAACTTTTATAATTTTTTATTATTAATTTTCTATTTGATTAAATTAAACTTACTAAGTTCATTTTAAATTCCTCGACAACAATCAGCAAATCGTTTGACTTGAAAGACAATGAAGAATAGTAATGAGCTTTACTTTCTGGTTTTATGAGCTGAATACAAAGACGTATACTATTCTCACCTTTTGTTTGGTGATGAACAAATTTCTTAATAGCTAAACCAGTTAGAACATTCTTATGATCTGCTGAGTGAGAATCTGTTATATACTTATCTGTGAGTAAAACACAAGCTTTTGAGCTATAAACAGAAGTTCTTCTTAAATCTCTATCAAGCATGGGATTGCCTTGCAAGTAATGTAGAAAAAGTTCAAATTGAGGATTATGTAAAAACTATTCAATTTCTTAACTTGGAGGATTGTGTTACAATATAATTGCATGTTTATCTTAACCGCCATGGTCTGGATGAAATAATTCCTTGCAAAAGAATTTTAATGCAGATAATTCGACATGCCCACATACAAGTATATGAGGTATTTCCGGATTAGATCTATATTTGTTTCTTGCATATTTACTTTGCATTTCTATTAAAAAATATATATATTCTTTATACTGTCATTCTAAAAATAAATTTTGATGAAATGAATGTCTATTAATTTATTTTAAAAGAATAAATATTCATTTTCAACAGTATCCAAAAAATAAATTTATATTAAATTTTTTTAAAAAAACTTATAAAAAATTATTTATTTACACATGAGAACTATAAGTTCATTTGTTTATTTAGGAATTAAAACAATACTGATAACTATCAATATAATGACACATGCTCTTCCTTCATCTGAAGCTAGCGTTATATCACCATAACCGACTGTAGCTAATGTTACTACTACATAATAAATCATTTCATCAAAAGTAGCTGATGATTTTCCAGGGCTAGTACAACCTTTAGCTATGTCTGAAAGATAGGCAGAATGCCTATCATCATTTTCAAAAATCAATAGAATTCCAGAACTTAACAAAATAATAGTTGTCAACGTGAGAAATAAAATAAAATATTAACTATTTGTTTTTTAAAAGTAAGTAAGTAAGTTGTTTTTAGCATCAAAATAATGTCAAATTTCATTTATAAAAATAATTTATATGATAAAACTGTTAATTAGATAGATAGATCATATCAATAGAAATTAATCATTAATTCTGCTTTATGTAATTAAAAATATTTCATTTTAATTAAATTGTTTCATAAATGCAAAGCTCTCAAAATAATTTTAATAAATATTTATATAAATTGTTTTTTATTTTAATTTGATTGATTGATATATATGATATTTAAACTTTGAAGATAATCTATTTTGTTTAAAAGCGCTTTTGAAAGGCAAAAGAAAGAAAATTACTGAGAGACACTTGAAAACTCAGAATCTGGACTTTTATAGTGCTTATTGGCAAACATTGATACTTTTAGAATTCTTATATTTCTTGATATTCTGATAAATTTGCCTAATTACGACATTTAAGAATAATTGTGTAGAAAAAAAATAGGCCAAACGCAAAGAATATCTACAATGCTAGAAGCTTTAATTAGAAAATTTATAGAATGTGGAGCTGACCACAGCCTAATACTAAATTCTGAAATGTAATAAATGAGGACTATGTAATCTAAAGTATCTAAATAGTTAACCATACTTGTTATATAAGTACTTAAGATGTAATAAACTACAGAGAAAAAACTTAAAAAAGCTGTAAAATATTCAATTAGCTTTCCTGATTATCCTGTCAACAATCTTTCTACAGTTATTCTTAAATTATTAGTCGGTAAAAAAGTTTATTCTTCGTCTTCATCTTCATTAAAATTTTGATTTTCTGACTCCTATCGAAAATTTAATCACAAAGAGTTAAAACATTTAGATTAATTTTAAACTCATATTTCAAAGATGCACAAAATAAAATTGTAAAAATTTAAAAGCATAAATTCAAAAATGTAATTTATTAATTAATGAAGTAGTTACATCTTCGCTTTCTTCATCTTCTTGGGTATTTATTGGAAGTATTTGATTTCTTCTCATTTATTTATTTTATATTAAATTTATTTATTTATGTATTTATTTAGCTAGTCCTCTTACTTTTTTTTTGAGTATACTAGGTCTACTTATACTTGTTATATTTACTAAATTAATTAGATTTTTAAATATTTGGTGAAACAAATGCAATCTAATTTATAACTTAAAATCATATTCAAAAAAATCTAGTTGGATTTCAATATTTATAAAATAATAAGCAAAACAAACTTTAAATTTTTTTAATATGTTTTACAAATAAATTCCACTCAAAAATGAATTTTAAAAGATTTCACATTTAATTGTTAATAAAATTAATATTTTTTATTGTATGCTTATCAATTCAAGACTAGCATTTATTTTCCCCCCTCATAACCTCATACAAAAATATTTTAAAATAAAGTTTAAATTGTTTGATACAGAAGTTTTATTTTTATATAAATTATAAAATTTTTTAACAATAATATTAACACATTATGTTAACTTACTAGATCTTTTGTGTTTTTAGGTCAAAGACGTTCTAAAATATATATTACATATCAAAATAGTTAAATGATATCCTAATATTTCTCAAATAACAAACAAAATTTGAAAAATTTATTATAGATTCTACAAATATTCATTTAAAGTTGAATAATTAAATATTCAAATTTAATTGCTTATAAAATTAAACTTTTTAATTATTTGTTTTATCAGGCTTAAAATAAGCATTTATTTTTTTCATATAATTTTTTAAAAGAATTTAAATATTTTAAATATAAAATTTATTGTATTTCAAATAATAAATAATTGGTTTTTTTTATTTTTACTAAAATTATTCAAATCATTAAAAATATTATTTACTTATTATTTTAACATGCTTGGTCTTACTTATATTTTAGGCTAAAGATATTTCATTATAGATCATAAATTCAAAAGTTTTTAGTCTGACTTTCATATTTATAATATAATAATCAAAGATTAGAATTTTAAAACTAGATTTTACAAATATTCATTTAAAGTTGAATTATTAAATATTCAAATTTAATTACTTACAAAATTAAACTTTTTAATTATTTGTTTTATCAGGCTTAAAATAAGCATTTATTTTTTTCATATAATTTTTTTAAAAGAATTTAAATATTTTAAATATAAAATTTATTGTATTTCAAATAATAAATAATTGGTTATTATTTTTTTATTTTTACTAAAATTATTCAAATCATTAAAAATATTATTTACTTATTATTTTAACATGCTTGGTCTTACTTATATTTTAGGCTAAAGATATTTCATTTATGATCATAAATTCAAAAATTTTTAGTCTGACTTTCATATTTATAATATAATAAGCAAAATTTCGTATCTTAATACTAGATTTTACAAATAGGAATTCAAAGTTGAATTATTAAAGTATTTAAATTTAATTACTAATAAAATTTAACTGTTTACTTATTTGTTTTATCAAACTTAAAATAAACATTTTTTCTATATCATTTTTAAAAGAATTTAAATATTTTAAATATAAAATTTATAGTATTTCAAATAGAAAATTGATTATTATTTTTTTATTTTTACTAAAATTATTCAAACCTTTAAAAATATTATTTACTTATTATTTTAACTTGTTTGGTCTTACTTATATTTTAGGCCAAAGATATTTCATTACAGATCATAAATTCAAAAATGTTTAGTCTGACTTTCATATTTATAATATAATAAGCAAAGTTTGGAATTTTTAAACTAAAGTATTTAAGTTCAATATTAATAAATTAAACTTCTTTTGTTTGTTTTATCAGACTGAATTAATTTTTTTCCGATTTAATTTTATTCAAATAAAAAAATTCAAAACATTTTAAAATATTTGAAATAGAAAATATTTTGTTTTTTAATTTTAAATAAATTATAAAAATCTATAATGATATTGTTTGCATATTATTTTAGCTAGCTAAACCTTTTATTTTAAGTTAAAGAAGACATTCTATTACAGATCACAATATTAAATTCAAAAATATCTAAACATTTATTAAAAATCAAAAAGAAATTGATATTGATCAAACAAGTAATAATATATGATTGATAAAGAGTAATCTCTTAGTAGTAAGAATTTTATAGGCGATTTAATTGAAGAAGGACTTCATGGTTAGATTTCACTTATAGGGTTTCCATATTCAATAGGTGCAGGGAGAGATAACATTTATAAAGGATAAGAAAATGGTCCAGGTAATTGATTACTAATATAATACTTCATAATAATTATAAAAACAATTTAATTGAACCATCAAAAAATAAAATAAAATTAATTATAGATTGCTTGAGGAGATTTCTGAGCAAATTAGGGCCTGTTGTAAATCCAGAATATGAAATCAGTATAGAAAACATAACAATTAGTGATTATGGAAATATACAAGTTAATAATAATTCGAATCATGAAGAGTTAATTTAAAAACTACAAACTAAAGTTAAAAGCGTACTCAATAAAAAAAATATTCCAATAGTAATAGGTGGATCAAAGGACTGTGGATATGCAGCAGCCTCTCCAATTTTACAATTGTAATTATGAATATGATATTTATTTTTATTTATCTTTTTAATATATCATAAATTTGATAAAAGTAGATGTTTGTTTGTTTATGATTAGTAATCAATTCGGATGAATTATTACTAATTTTAAAATTTTTTCTATATGATATTTTTAAGTAAATAAATAAAATTTAAAAACTTTATCAACAGAGAAGGAAAAAGTGCAGTCATAAATATTAGTGGCCATGTCGATGTTAATCTACCATATGATGGAGATAAACTAAGTGTCACTTGTACAGTGAGAAAAATAATTGATGATAATATAACTCATATCCAAAATAAAGCTTCCAAAATATTTTTCTTTGCTACCTAAAATTAGTTGGTGACAAACTAATAATTCTAATACGTAGAAAGCATGAAAGATTATGTATAAATGTTCCCTCTTAATACTATCAGGAGACACTAAACATAAGCTTCAAAATCTATGTAAGAACCTTACACTTAAGCCTGCTAAAAATTCTTAGAATTGCTGAATTCATTAAATGATTTTTAAAATATCCACATTTCATTCTCTTTAGAATCCATACATGTAAAATTATTAATCATTAATTAACTATTAAAACTTCAACAAATGCAAAGAAATTTAAACAGAAAAATTAAAATTTTTGTTTTCAAAAGAAGCCTAAAAATGTTTGTTTTAATTATTGTTTTACAATCGATTTATTGTCTAAATTTTATTTAATAAAAAATTTAAATTAATAATTTTGATTTTCTTAATTTGAAAATATTTTTGAGGAGAGACAGACTAATTAACTAATTAGTTATTTGAAATATGGTGGTTTTAATTTTTATTTATTTGAATTAAAATTAGAGTTCTTATTGTTTAGGAGTTTCAAGAATGAGTACTGTTGGAGGCCTTACTGGTGAAGAAGCAATAGAGATTGCTTTTTAAGCTGGATTATGCAAATAAGTTAAAGGTATTGATTTTACTGATTTCAATCCTTCAAATGAAGATTTTAGAACAGGATAATTATTAGGGAATCTAATTTATTATTTTACTATGGGTTATGCTTTAAGACTTAAACATTAAATTTGAAATTAATTGAATTATTTTTACTAAAAATAAGCAAAAATGGAATAATTAATTTATCATTTTAAGCTAAAAAATGTGACATAGAAAAAATCATCAAAAATATAAAATATTTATTTGTATTTGTAAATAAAAAAATGCATGTAATCAACATTTTATTAATAATAAAATATTATTTTTATATTTTAGTTGGTTGCTATTTTTTTATAACTTTATATTGTAAAATTTTCAAAAGACAATGCATATATGCAATTTGATGTGTCTCCTTTTATAATTTAGTAGGAGAAACAAACTATTAATTAATGCATATATATTGCTTTTAATTTAGATTTTAAAATAATAGACGCGGGGAGTGTATCTTAGAATAAAAGATTTAAATGTTTAGAAAGATACTCAAATAAATAAACCAAAAAATAAATTCAATATGTATGTATATATGAATGAATGAATGATTGTGTTTTTGTAAAATTATAAACGAATAAAATCAGTAGAATAGCATAAATTATATATATTTTAGAGCATCTAATGTCTAATATTATTTTTAAGTTCATTTGATTTTATTTGATACTTCTTCTTTGAATTTATATTTATTTATATATAGACGATGATCATGGTTGATTAATTTATATTAATTAACTAAGAAGTGAGTTGATTTGATAATTTTTTAGATGCATGCATAGTAAGGGTTAAATACAAAAATAAATGCAAAATAAAATATATAAATAATAAACACAATAAGATAATAATATTCAATAATATTGTTTGTATTTCTTTCAAGCAAAAGAAGTTTAAACAGCAACTCAAAAAAGTATAAAGTAATCTAGGATTAGCTTAAAATAATATAGAAACGCGTTTCCACATACATAAAGCAATCTGATAAATAAAAAGTAATTCAAAATACCATTTACGTTAACTACAATAAAACCAATTACCTTTTCAAAAAAATAATTATTTCATTAAGCAAATTAATTTCAATTATTTAGTTATGGCAGCAAATACAGGAGGAGGTTTATTTGGAGGACAATAGACTTAATAAAATTAGGGTTTATTTGGAGGACAATAGACTTAATAAAACTCGAGCTTATTTGGAGGTCAATAAGCATAAAACTAATAACAAGGTTAGGGCGCATAAGGATAATAACAAGCTTTCTCTTTATTTACCAACAATTAATAAGGCTAAAATAATCAATAAGCAAGTTCTAATTAATAAAATATATTTGGTGGTGCTATATAATAACAATAAGGAGGAGGAAACTTATTTGGCTAAACTCAATAAAGTTAATAGTAAGGTACTGGTCAACCATCAGGATTATTCGGGGGTATAGGTAATATGAATTAATAGCCAGCAGCTAAGTAAAATGAAACACCAGTCCCTCCTTAAACTCAAAATTAATTGTTTGCAAATATATAGAATTAATAGTAGCCTCCTTAATAATAAACTTAAAACTAAGGTTAATAATCTTAATAGTAGCAACAATAACCAACAAGCACAAATGGCTTATTTGGAAATGTTTAGTTAGGAGCATCAAATTAAAATCAGGCTTAAAACAATACCCAAAATTAGTAAGCTGAAAAGCCAAATTCTCTTTTTGGAGATAAGCAAAATCAAGGAGCTCCATAAGTCACAGGAGGCTTATTTGGTAACTCTGCTAATTAAGGCACAGGAATGCAAATCAATACTAATAAACCAGCAACATCAGGTTTATTTGGAGCCAATTAAACAGATTAATAGTAAAATAAACCTATAGGAGGAGGAATCTTTAATTAAATGTAATAAAATGCCTAAAGCTAATAGACCCAATAGTAATAATAACCTCCCACATAAACTGGTGGTGGCTTATTCGGTTAGACATAATAATAGTAGTAAACTAATGCTCCTCCTAAAGAAGAACCAAAGACATCTTTAGGTGGATTAAATTTATTAGGTTAAGCTCCTTTAAATACTTAAAACTAGTAGAATTAAGCCCCAAAATAACCTGCATAAAGTGGCGGCTTATTTGCTTAGGCTCCATAATAACAATAATAATAACAACAACAACAACAATAAAATAATACATAACCAACTACAACAACTACAATTCCTTCTACAAATTCTTTGTTTAATAATGCACCAAATACATAAGCTGGTGCAACTACTACTTAAACAGCATAAACTACATAAACAGCAGCAGCTCCTCCTAAAAGTTAGGGACCAAGTTTATTTGCATAAAATAACTAACAAACAGCACAACCACCAGCTAATTCACAACCAACTTAGTAAGGATAAACATAAGGAGGAGGTCTATTTGGTGCTAACATAGATGCTTAAAATGCTGGAAGTAGCTAACCTAAGTTTTTAAATATAGGAGCTAATAAAGATAATATATTAGGTTAAGGAAAGACAAACTAACCTGAAGGACTCAATATCGGTGGAGGATAAAAAGGTATCCTGACAGGTGCCTCTGGAGCAGCAGCAACTACTACTACTACCGCAGCATCTACTACTGATGCTACTAAACCAGCTCAACCCTCAATCTTAACTGGATAAACTCAAGCAGCCTCTAGCCTTTTAGGAGGATAATAAAAACCAGCAACTAATCCTCCTACTATAGGAGCTACCTCTTAAACTACTGGTGGCTTAGTAGGAACAGGTTTAGCAGGTCAATCAAATTAAATTCCAGCTCCCAAAAAAACTCATTAACATACTTCTTAAGCAACTGGACCAGATGAGAGATTAGAAATGGATATTAATTCTGCTAAAAATCTTAATGGAAGTTTACACATGTTTTGCCAAAATATCCATAAGTATAAACCTGAGCATGTTAAAAAATTCTTTTCTAATGAGGACATTTTCAATAAATTAACATAAGGTCTTCAAATATATAAAGGAGAACAAAATACAGATTAATGGGAGGTAAATTGATTTAAAAAATATGAATTGAAGCAATTTATTAATTAGCATAAAAGTTTACTCAAATTTCTTAATTTGAAATACTAAAATTAGCACAATAATAAATTTAATTGGTTTATTAAAAAAAACAAGAATGATTTGGTTATTTTTTATTTAAAATTTTTTAATAGAATATAAAAAAGGAAGCCAAGGAAGGAAAGACTCCTTTGAAGTTCTGGAGTGAGAGATTATCAAAATATAAATATTAGTATTTGATTGTTATGTTTATTGAAGATATTGCTGAATATCTTTAAATTAAACCTATGGATTGTTACCGTATGTTTGATGTTTTCCTTTCTCACGAGAGCAAATTTGTCGACTATTTCTTCAATCCTTCTTCTAATGAACCTTGCATCGAATTTTTCTACGAATAACAAGCTATTTTATTTGAATCTAACAATGTTGCAGTAAGAAAGGACTCTCCATTTATAATTAATTTGAAAACTTCTTTTATGAAAGACATTTATTTCCATGAACGTAACTGCATACTTGCCTCCCTCCGTCTTCTTTTACTTTTCACTGATGGTATAACAATTAAAAATTTAATAATTTAATCTCATTATTTAACAAATATTATTTTAAGACCAATACAATTACGATGCTGTTAGAGATGTTGTCGCTCGTCTCTTAAGAAACAAATTAGAAGAGTCTTTATGGGAATAATATGCTGGATAAAACAATAATCCTGAATTAAGTGCAGAAGATAGCGAGCTATTCTAACTTTAAAAATAATTTGAAAACGACTAAATCATTAAGCTTTTATTCATTATCACTTAAAAAAATCAAAGCAAAATTAGCATAGAAACCTATTTACAAAAATTCAATAGCTAAAACTTCATGGGTAATTGGTAAAATTTACAACCTCAAAATGAAAACACCTTTGAAAATAAAAATAAAATTAACGAGTTATCAACAGTAGTTGGTGATTCTTGTTTGATGTTAGTATTTGCTAAAGTAAAAGAAATTTAATAAAATAAAAACAAAAATGAAAAAGATGCATTTGAAAAGATATTTAAACAATCTTAAACTAGCTCTTAGAAGAGCTAATAAATGAATGTTTTAAAGCTTTACTATGACTCTATAAGCTAAGAATAATTGGTTGTTGAATTTTATGAATAAATTGAATATCTCTACAAAACTATTGTTAGAATTCTTAATTATAAGAATTTGGGAACTCTCAAAACTTAATGGTAGGAAATATTCTTTGAATTGCTCGTAAAGATTATTTAAGGAATTAACGCAAATGAATTCTATGAAGAAATGGATGAATAGCTAGAATCTTTCATTAGTGAATGCATTTGTATTGCATTTTCTAAAACTATACACAAAAATCCTAAATTAATTGACTTATTCTGGGAAAAGCTCGAAAGCAGAGAACAAACTAAGCATTTCCAAAATATCTTTTCTAGTCCTATTTCTATTTACAAAGTAATGAAAAGTGCACTAGGTATGAGCTCCGACCCTAAATCTCGTCATGTTATCATCTTTTTGACTACTTTAAGCAATTTTAATTGGATTAACTTTAACTAAATAGCTGACTCACAGTAATAAATATTTATTTAATTTATTAATTATTTAATTTAATTTGTTTTTGAATAGATAAAATTTAGATACTGCAAGCATATTAAAATTGAGATTAATTTATAAGCTTATAATTACTGATCCTAAATGCATTAATTTACTTTAATATGTATTTTACTTCACTGATTTATCATAGAATACTTTCGATTAATACATAAATGAATGCAATGGTGATGAAGTAATTAAATTTGTGATAAAGAGTTTTGCATTATATAACGATTTGCGTAGCTATGCTTATTAAAACTTCTTTGCTGGTCTTAAGGCCTTAAATGTATTGCTCAACAATCACTAATACTAGACACAATAAATTTTGTAAATCGAAGAATATTAAGATTTGCTCTTCAAAGAATATAGACGTTTAGCAATATAAAATGATGTGACTGCCACTGAATACAGATTAAAATGCAAGAGAGAAATCTTAAATATCTTATACACTATTTTAAAGGATTTCGAAGAGCCTTTGCTTGCTTTCTCTCAAATAAAAGGAATGGAAAGAAACACAGAATATGATTCTCCTTTACTTGCTCATTTGTTCCTCTTCTTCACTAGCTTTATTGAAGATTGGGAATAAAACTAAGGCGCTCTTTACCTTAAGCATAAGTGGAAAATAGGTAATCAATTTTTATTTCGATTTTTCTTTAATTAAAAAAAAATTTTATAAAGAAATACTTTTTTAAACTTTTTCTTCAAAAAATTCTTTTAGGCTCTTTAATCATGAAAATTACTGATATTTGTTTAAACAGATTATCAATAAATGTCTATAAGAAACAAGACTTCAGACCTGTTTAAAGTGATAGCTATACTAGCTTTTTCTTACACAACTTCCTCTGCAACTAATTAAAGAAAATCAGAGTAGATGAAATGATTATCAAGGTGCTTGAAGTAGCAGCTAACTAATCATCTATTAGTAATAAATAAATAAATCAACAATAAAATTTTATTCAATTAATTTTAATATCTAATAGGTAACAACAAGATAAACAACAAAACTCTTAAATTGAATAACAAGTATTGGTAAACTTATATCATGAATACCTCAAATAAATTTAAAGAACACTAGGTTGAACACATTAAAAACTAAGTTAATTTAAGAAATCTGATTGTTGACACATTGAAGGTGTTAGAAACTACTATGCAATTAATTGAATAAAAAATTTAAATCCGTAAACAAGATTTCGAATATAGATTTTTACAGAAATCAATGCTTTTAGATGAAATCCCAATTTTAGATTTCTTTGAAAGAATAATATGCAAATCTGACTGTATCTTCCATTACAAATAAGAATATTACATTGACTCAAGCTTAAACTCAATAAAAATAAATATTTTATACGCCATATCCTCTTACATTAACTTTGAAAATCATTTCTACTCTTCAAACGATGAAGTTAACCCAACACTTCCCTTTTATATTTACAATTTCTTGGAAAGTGAAGGTAATTTAATTAACTAATTGGCAGATACTCATTACCTTCTCGACTATGACACTATTAGAAACCCATTAAATAATGTATATTTAAATTCTTAAAAATATAAACAATATTTTGATGAAATTATTATTTAAATAAATCTTAGTCTCGTTTACCAAATGGTACTTACTGTGAATTGATTAGCTCTTTGAGTTTGAGAATTTTAACTTAAATCATGTTGGCTTGGGAAGTAAATAAATTAATTAATTTTCATTCAATTTCAAAGTGTTTAAATTATTATATTTATTATAGGCTCAATAGTCAATTAGAAAACCTATTTTAGTAGATTTCTTAAGCAACATGAATATGGAAAACTACTGGGAGAAGTTAAATTACTCTTCTATTAACACTTAATTAACTAATTTCATAATTGAGATGTTTAACATATTGAAATTGAATGAATATGATTCTAACAATGATAGTGAAGCTCTCAGAAAAAACATATCAGACAACAGCTGTGCAGTTATCGATTTCATGCTCACTGCCTTATACACTCAACCTCTCTTCATGAACTTGATTCTTAAACCTGATAATCTTAACAGAAAAAAGAAAGATAATGATCTTAAAATCAGATTTAAGCGCTTCTTTGAATCAAATGTTTGCACTTATGACATGCGTTTACTCAACAAAGTAAAATATCAAATAAATATTTAAAACAAATTCATCAAAATATCTTCTTTTTTTTTATAAAAGTATTTGAATCTTTTAGTTGAAATCTTTAAGAGAGATTAAATGTACCCAAGCTTTTGTTAGGAATTCCGTTAAGACACACAATATATTTTCGAAAAGATTACTAAAGTCGTAGTTTAAAACTTTAAACCTTATGAAATCGACTAGCTCGTTGAAAGAGATCTTTACTTTTTAAATTCTCCCAAAGAACCAAATATTCCTTACTTCGAGTTCTAAAAATTAAAGTTATCTCAATTACTTAGAGAACACATAAAATAAACAGAACTCTACTAATAGATGATTTGCTTACACAGTTTCTAGATTTTACTTGATTTAATTAGCAAAGAATATCTTTCCAATAAATGTAAATCAGTCCAATCTATCCAAAATAGCTTAAAAGCAATATTCGAAAATAAATAAGTGTAATGAATCAATTATTTGAATTAATGTTTTTTATAAATTTTATAAATTAAAATATAGTAATCACATCATGAACAGCTTATCTAAGTTCGCTCCAAGCTATTCATTAGATCTTTGGCCAGTTCCTCAATAAATTCAAACTAAGATGAACATTGAAAATGAAGAGTAATTTAAGGGAAAAATTTTCTAATAATCTTTCTTCTATTTGTTGGAAACTAACCAATATTCATATGGAAGAGGATATGCTTTGGATGCCAGTGAGATTATATTCAATAAAATAGACGCTGAAAGACCTTAAGACTACTTGTCTAGAGCTAAATACATTCTCTTTAAATTAATTGAATTCCGTCAAAAGAGTATTAAATGGTCTATTGAAGAAATAAAACTAAGGACATTTGATTCATGGATTAGACTATTTTGTTTAGTTACTTCTTCAGGAGTTGAAGGTTACGCTATGAGTACTGTACAATCTTCTATTCCAAATTTCACTCTTAAGTAGCTCAGAGAGAGAAAGATTATTTTAGAGCATGAATAATTATGTTTACTCTATCCTAACTATGAAATAGAGTTTGTGAGTGGATTTGTTAACATCTTCTGTGCCTGTAAATAAATAATTTTATATTTGCATTCAATTAAAAACTTAATTTTATTTAAATAAAAATAGCTAACCCACAATGTGTTGGTCTTTTCTCTAACTTATAGAGCGAAATGATGAAATAAATTCTCTAAGATTTGAAAAAAGGGTACTTTGGAGTGCTCTTTGATCAAAAACTCAAATTTTTACTTTACATATTATTCTCACTCAGACACTTACAAGATCTAGACTACCATTCCAAAGAGTCAGAAAATAAAAAGACATAAAATCCTAATAATTTTATTGGTAGATCAAACTAAAATCAAGAAAGCTAACATTCTTTCTCAGATTCTTATAAAAAAGAAGAAGCCGAAGATTTATTCAAAGTAATGACATAAATTTTAGAAGAAGCTGTCCATCGTGGTACTAGAGTTCAAATATGTGATTTCATTTAGGTAAAATTAAAACGCTATTAAAATTAATATAAATCAATTTATTTATTTATTTACTCTCTTATTTGCTTATTTTGTTTATTTACTTTTGCTTTTTATAAAAGTGCTTATTCTTGCAATTACAAGTGATGGAAGTTCTCTACTTATAAACCTTCTAAAACAACAAGAAAAAATTCGTTATCAATGAAAACTTGAATCCTTACTTTACAAAAATAATTGGTATTTTAATGAATTTGGCTGCTTAGAATATTGATGGTCTCCCTATTTTAATATCTTGTCTTAACAGTGCCCTACATATCTATCCATAATACTTTATTCTTTAATTCAAATATCAAGTTAAAGCTTTAGAATTTTTGATTAATAAAATCTTTTATGAAAAGGTAATACTTATTATTTTCATTTATTATTTGTTTGATTAACTTTTTTAACTTTAAAATTAGAATGAAACTGCTTAAATCTTTGTTTCTATTATAAATCTGTTGACAGATATTGCTAAGTATCCTGAAGGTGCTCTTTTATTGAGTGAAGCTAATATTGTAAGTATGATATGCAACACTCCCATTTTTAAGAATATAGAAAATGAACCATTCTATTGGCAAAATGGAGAAAGAAATCTCTTACATTCTTTCTGGTGTTGGAGTTTGAATTTCTATAAGGAATATATAATTTCATTGCCTTCAGATTTAGAAAACACAACTTCATCTTTCTAATTCTTATAGACTTATTTCACTCGTATTGCTAAAATTCTCTCTATTCCTCAAGTTTTATAAAACACTGCTACAAATTTAGCTAATAACAAAATGATTAACACTGAATAAGAAAAGCTTTCTCTTGCAGTAAAAAAATTTTTGTTTTTAAATTTTATATTAAAATTAAATAATTTACTTATAAATTTATTACAGTATATGGAAGAAATCGAACTTATTTTGGAACTTCTCTCAGTTTATTTCTGCCAAGCCAATATCTTCAAAAGAAAGATGAGCAACGATTTTGAATAAATACTTCAATTCTTGACTCATTGCACTATTTGCTTATTTAAGTAGGGTCTTTCCATCCAATCTATCTTCATGCCAGTTTCTAAAATGGAAAAGAAGCTCTCTCAAATTTATGACATTTATCAGGTCAGCTCAGCAGACAGTGCTCACTTATATCACACATCTATACTTACTCCTTCTCATACTCCAAACAAATAAGAGTTAGAAGCAGGCATCTCTACAGCTCACTCTGCTATTGGAGATACAGTAAATATCTAAATAGATTAATATTAAGATTATGAGATTAATTATTATTATTTAAATTAATAGAAAAATAAGAACTATAACTTATTCATCATTTAAGTTGAATTACACTACTAGAGCATTTTATTCAGTTTGTTTTCTTGTATCTAAGACGGTTTACAAGAATCAAGTTTACTTTAATTATTCTAATATTCTAGCAACAGCTTCAGTGATAATTTGATCAATAATGAAAGCAAGTAAGTTTATTCTGTAAATTACTGGTAGAGCTTTGCAAATTCTTTGTTTGACTGCCTTAAATTCGTAGAAAATACTCTAAATAAATGGGATTATAAGAAAAATAAAAATGTTAATATGGATGACTAGCTTGTCAAGCTTCGCGCTCTCACAAATTCTGTAGAGTATAACTTATGTTGCTATGGATTTGGTTCTCAAACTTCTTTAATAAATAGTGCTAAAACAATTATTTAAACATCTTAATTTAGTCTTTAAGCTATCGTTCTTTCTGCTATCAAGCACTTCTAAATGTTAAACGAATTCAAATAATGGTTTGGACACTCTATAAAAGACAGTTTAACTGATTTATAAAATAAATTAAGTAATTTCTATTTATTTATTATTTTTCTTTTTATTTAATATTACCTAAAAATAGATGCAAAGCTAGATGGATTGAAGAAACTAGAATATGAAGATATTTAACTTAAAAAATAAATTGAAGAGCATATTTTACAATTCTAAAGGCTATCAGTGACATAAGATAGATATTGATTTATTTATATAGATAGCATTATTTTGAATTACAATTTTAAAATCTAAATGTAATTATATATTTTATAATAAATAAACTTATTTTATTTTTGTATCATAACAACCATATTAATTAAATAAGCTTTTAAATAATAAAAATTACTTTATTGATAATAAATCTATGTATTTAAATATGTTTTATTAATTATTATACTAAATAAATCATAAAGAGCTATATTTATTTATAATTTGTTTACTTTTACAAATTTATTTTAACTTTGTAAAGCATTTATGTATTTAATTGTAAAGATGTATTCAACAAAGCTTATTATAAGAAGCTATAAAAATGTTTATTGACAAATAGTAAATCATTCATTCTTTATTTAAAATTAAGTCCATTATTTATCTTCAATTGTTCTTATTTCAAATAACTTTTTTAAGTTGACTTTTAAATAAATATTTTTAATTTTTAAAAATGAATGTATTTAAGATTATTATGAAATATTGTACTTAACTATTCAAGTAATACATCTTTTTTTTGGTTTATGATAAGAAATTGAAAAAAAAAAATTTGAATTTATGAATCATTAAAGTAAATAATAAATAAGACTTTAATTTTAAGTTATCTAATAAGAATTAAAGGATATACAAAAGAAAATTAACATTTTGTTAACTTTAAATTTTATTTTGAATTTAAATTATATTTAGAAATAAAATAATTTAATTATTGAATTATAGATGTAATAGTATGTGCCTATTTGAATTATGTATTTTTATTTATGCTTTAAAAAGTTCTTAGATTTGATTAGAAAATTATTAAATAGATAAATAGTTAGTTGATGATTTAAAATATGTATAATTAATTATTTTTACAATCTATTTTATTATAAAAAAAATTAATAAATAAATAAATAATTTAAATAGCTAATATCTACTTTCTTTAAATTGATGAATATGCATTTAACTAATATAGTAATTATTTTTATTGTTTTAATAATATATTCTACTTAAGCGTAAAGAGCTAATGATTGCTTAAAGTAAGGATTCTAACAATGTCTTGATAACTTAGGATAATGTACATCTGATTTAAATTCCTGCTCATAGAATTGCAACATATCTGATGAGTGCGAGGAGTCATGTTGTTTGGATGGATATTGCTTAAAATAAGAATTATGTTAAACTAATATCTCTTCTGACTAGCGTAGAGATGCGTAACTCTCTAAAAAAACTTAAAAATTTAGCTTAAATAAATTTTTAGAACATCTTCAACCATTTTTTTTTGCTGTAATTTGTCTTTCACCAATATTTTGCTATGCCTATTGTAAATTTAGAAGCACTATTTAAACAACTGTCATTTAATATGAAGGAGAAATCCTCAATACTGAAAACGAATAACAAGTTTAAGAGAAGTCAGGTTAACCACTTAGTTAATGGCAGAAATAAAAATAAGAAAATTAATAGTAAGAGCAACTAGAATCTGTTTCTACACAAGAAGATAGTAAGTAGCTTCCACAAAAATAGTTAGATAAGTCAAATATCTAAGGTTTTTCATTAGATTGTTCACATTTTAATGCCAGTGTATTCTAGCATGACTACGAAAAGTAAATATGTGGAGATACTACTTTTTGCAAGATAAATTAATAATGAATGAATGAAGATAGATAGATAATATATAAAATTTAAGTTAAAATAATTATATTAAATAACTTACAATTAATATCATAAATATATTATTTTAATATTTTTGTATGTAAAACTTCTACTTTCTTGGTTAATTTATTAAAAGTATAATTTGCTAGCTTTTTAAATTAACTATTTCTCTTTGATAATAATTATAACGATATTTTTAAATTTTTTTTAATCATCTAATCTTTGAATAATTCATTTGCATTAATAGTTATGAACAAACAAATAATGTAAATCCTTATATATTAATCAGAACACATATTCTCTTTATAATTTTTGCATTTTTGGAAAAACAAAAGGTTAAGATTCAAAAAATTATAGATTGAAGGTATGTATTGATGAAAATTTATGGTAAATGTCGATTAATAATGTCATAAATATATTTATAAACAATATTTAAACCAAAATTTTAATTGATAAATAAATTAAAATTAGATTATCTATTACTATGAAAGAAAAAGAAAATTTAAAAAGTAAAAGTTATGAATAGTTCGTTAGTTAGTGAGAAATAAATTATTATGACATAAAAAATATTTATAAAAAGTAGTTTTATGTGATTAAAATAGATTAAGTAAAGTGATGATTATTGTTTGACATAAATTTTAATTTAGCTAAAAAGTAAAATGCGAATTTGAATAATCATTAAATTTGTCAGACATATTCTAATTATTTTACTATAAATTCAGACTTTTGTTGTTATACATCTAGATTCGTTAATTTTTTGACAATTTTTTTGAAATATTTTATTTTTTAAGTTAAATCTATTCCTTTTATAAATAATTTAAGCATTTTAATATGGCTAATATTTTTTAGTAAAGCCATTAATTAGTTATCATCCAAACCCCACATTTATTGTTGCATCTAAAATGATAGGTAATTTAGATTTTTTTTGTTATCAAATAATTCGATTGTTTTTATTAAATCATCAATCTAGAGAACATGACCTGCTTAATTAATACTTAGATCTAACATTCTCAAACTTTTAAATGTAATTATATTTTTTACGATATATTTTAAAACATTACTACTAACTTTATTATAATCATTGATGGCAAGTTTAAAATATGACAAGTGCTAGCATTACTATATTGCTTTAAATAACACTTAATATTCCTTAGTTTCTGTTATACTGAAGCGATCAAATATAAAACTTAAGTGTTTTAAGTTTTAAGAATTATTATTTATCAGACATTCTAAATTTTATATTATGCTTTTATTTTAGAACACTTGTAAATTTTTGTATTCTAATTTTCTTAGATTTTTATAATTTAGAAATAAATCCATAATTTTAATTACTTCTTCTTTTTTCTTAATAAAATCCCAGTGAAATGTTATAGAAAGACCATTTAAATTAATTATTTCTTTAATAATAGTTTACAATTTGCATAAATTTGTTTAAGTTAATAAGCAATCATTTTGTATTTCTAATTCTAAGTCTTTTTGTAAATCTTATTCTTCCTCATATTCGTAAAAAAATAATTTTTCTTATTTAAACTCCAACAAAGAGAAATCTTTTAAAATTAATTTATTTTAAAATTTAATGTTTTTTTCATTTAATTAAAGCGAAGATTTAATCTATTCAAAAATAGAGAGAGCTAGCTCTTATTATTTAATTTAGAATTTTAAATTTAATTTATGGGTTGACATGCTTTGAGGGATTGTCTTGATCAAAAGCTCAGCATCTGATTTACTAAAATTCTTACAATTCTAAATATTTAAATCAAAAGCATATTAAATCTCTTCAGCATCTCTTTTAAAAGCAAATGAATCTTTTTTAAACTCAAAAATAATAAAATCTTTGATATCTATTTTTTAAGAAATTTAAACATTTTCTTTTTAATCGAATAAATAATTTATGTTTTCTTAAACACCATGAAGCAAGAATTTATTCTTGAGTTTTAATTTTATGTCAAGAGAATAAATTTTATAATTTCCTAAAGAGTTTTAAAGTTATTCATTATTCTAAGTTAATTTAAATTATTTTAAAATAGATGATATAATTTTTATTAATTATTCTGCATCTGTTTTTATTAAACTTTAATCATTTTAGACATCAACTTCAATTATGTTTTCTTTTAACTCATTTTTTTCAAGTGAATCTAATGACTTTTACTTGTATTCTAGGTATATGTAGTCCTTAAAAATTATCTTAAATTAGACCTTGCTATCAAATTAATTTTCAAAGCCTTATAAAAGTTAATGAAGTTTATCAAAACTAATTAATTTAAATTTTAAATCAACTATTTTGATTTTTGAAAATTATCTAATTGGATTGTATATTAATATTTATTTTTACTTTAAGAATTCGAAACCTAAAGTTATATTTTGTATTTTTTACATTTTCTGAATAAATTCTTTTAAATATAATATGTCTTTTTAATCATTTATTAGGGAAGTCATTTTAAAAACAGTGAGATTTTTGCTCTTTTCTAACGTGTTTTGTAAAAAGTCAAAAGGAAGTTAAGTATCTAAAACTTTCAAATTTTTTGCTCCTATTTCGAATTACTTCATATTCTTTGTAAATTTATCCTAAATATTCCCATTTTATTCATAATTAAAATATAATTCTTCCAAGTCTTTTAAATTGTTTATAGATTCAATGGTTTTACTTAAATTTATTGAATTAAAAAATCCTTCTAAGTTAATAACCAGCTTTTTTACTTTTTTAAGCAGTGGTTTTATTTTATCTAAGTTTTAACTATTCGAAAAATGAAATTTATTTAATTGTAAAAGGTCTATTGAGTTATCTTAGTTTCTATTAAATGTGTAGTTTACACCTTCTATTTTTAGATTTTAATGATCTTTGATTTAAGTAAGAAAAGCAATTAGCTCTAAAAAGACTAAGTTGCATTCTTTATTAATATTAACTTCAATTTAATCAACATTGTTAAAGACTTTGAAGAATTACTTTATATTTTCTACGGTTTTGTCATTAAAAGAAAGTTTTTTTTTATTTTAAAAAATAATTTTGTCAATAATGCATAATTATGATATCTCTTATCCAAGCTATAAAAACTGATTTTTTTCTAAAAAATTGTCAGTTAAATTCAATTTTATAGATTAAACAATTAATTTCTTTTCCTCTATTAAATTATTAATTTCAGATAATTATTGCTAATCCATTTAAAGATTTTAGATATCATCCTTTGCATTTTAAGTGTATTAAAGAGTTTAACCCTTTATTTTAACAATAATTGTTTAATTGTCTTAAATTTTTTTATTTATTTTAAGCTCAATTTTGTATTTCAAACTCTTAAGTAAGCTGCAAACTTATTGGTAAAAAGTTTTCTATTCAATTTCAAATTAAATAGATTTTATTATATTAAAATCACCTTCACTATTATTTTAATTTGCCATTTATTTAAATGCTTCTTTTTGTGATTAATTTGTTTTATCTATTTATTATTTATTTCTTAATTTCTTATTGAGCTTTTATGCAAATATTTAATAGTAGTTTTAAGAATTCGTATTAGTATTTTATAAGTAAAATGATTATAAAATAAACTAGATAAATCAATAGAAAACACTTATAAGAATTAATATAGCTTTTTATAAATAATTAAAATATTAAATATTAGTTTAATTAAATAAATTTAAAGGAAAAGAATATTTATTAATTGTTTTTACAAGTATTTATCAAATTATTATTAAATTCATTAAAATATTTGTATTGAGAAAGAATTTATCATAAGATTTTTTTATAAGTTTTAATCAAATAAAATAAAATTATTAACAAAAGAATTCTCAAATTTAATTTAAACTGATAAGAATTTTTCTTATAGTTAAATAACATAATTTAGCTAATTCTGATTCATTTCGCTCAAACAATGTCGTATTGAAAAATTTCATAGATAATTTTCAAAAAAAAGGCTAAGAAATTATAAATTTTAATTGAAAAAATATAATGATAAATAAATAAAATTTTTCAATTTTAATTATCTTAACAATTAATATAGATTTAAAGGTAAAACACTTCGCAAATACTTATGCACTTATTTAAATATGAATTATTGCAGGATAATTCTATTAAATTTTACAAAATAATTTAATTTGGCAATTATGCTTAAAAAACAAGAGTTTTTATTTTGGAGGATTATTTTATTATATTTTATTTTTAACTATTTGTAAATGAAGTTATTAACAAAAATTTTTATTTATTTATTTATTTTATTTTTAGTCTAGAATTTTCAGGATATTTTTTTAATATTTGGAATTATTAGATCAATAAATAAGGTATTTTTTATAATCTAATTTTTAGAGAGTTCTAAATACATCCAATCAATTAATAATATCAAAGAGTGAAAAATTAAATTCTGGATATTAAATCTAATAAAAATAATAAAAATGGAGATGTAAAAATAAATCGAAATAAAATAGCAAATTAATATCTAAAAATTATCAGAGCAAGCATTTATAAATATAGAATCCATTGAAAATTTACTTTAGCAAATTTAAACCTAATATTCTTAGTTTTAAAATTTTGATTATTTTGGTAAAGACGATAAAAACAGTCTACTTTTATTATGTTTTGATACTAAATTATCATTAAACGTAGCACTTAGAATATTGAGAACTTAAGGTAATATCTGGACTAAAGTTTACTCTGATGATTAAGTCCTAAGGATTTATTAGTTAGAATAGGATATACCAAATTTATTGAATATACATTACTAAAATGTTTAAAATAAAGATGAAAAAGAAGTTAATTTGCTAATGTTTGAAATCAGAATAACAAAAAGTATGTTTCAATTTATCTAATAATAAATATTGATAATAATTCTTAAAAATAGAGCTGATTTAAACTTATTCAAAGTTCTATAAGCTTACAGATGTAATAAAAAATAAGTTAATTTAAAAAAAAAATTATTTTATAAAGTATTTAGAACATCCACATTAGTTGAAATTTTTGGTTGATAGGTAAAAAAAGAAAGCCTTATTTATATTTTTCAATTTTTAATATAAATTCTCACTTTAAAAATTATCAAATAATTATATAATCATATTAAATTTATATTTATTTTAAATTAGAGATTCTAAAATGAACTTAAATTAAATTCAAAGCTTAAAAGACAAATTTTAAGAATATTCCAATTTGCTATATGTGTCTTTATCGTTTTCGTAAAATTATCTTAATATTTCATATTATTTATTTGCTCTCTCTAAAATAATTAAATTAGTAACAGTAATCTAAAAGAAGTATCAGGAAAATTGTTGGCATAAATATTTTCTAAATGTGATCAATTGTTTCACTTAGAACTTTATCTGGCGTAGTCTGATTTAATTATTTAAAAAAAATACTCTAATTCCTCATTAATATCATTAAAATTAAATATAGCACTTCAAGTTTTTAAATTATTGCTTTTTTCAAAGTTTTTACTATTGATAAAAATTGATATTAAACTCCATTAATAAAAATGAATTAGAGTATTTATAAGTTTTTAAATTGAATAACAGTTATTTTTTTTAATAAAGAGCTACCTAAATTAGTAATTCTACTCCATTATAAATAATTGATTAAATTTCTCTGCATAAATCCATGAGATAGCTTATAATATCTTTTGCTTGCAATTAATTGAATAACGAGTCAGGTTTGCTGTTAGGAAAAAGTCTTTCGAAATTATAATAGTTATAAAGATTAGAATTGAACTATAAGTAATATTCAAATTTTATTTAGTAGCCAACTAATTTTTATCTAGTACTAACTAGTTAGAAGATACAGCTGCTTAGTATATTGGATAAGGGCTTTCTTAGTTACATAATTTATAATACTTGGCTATTGAATTTCAGTAAAATAAAAAGTATTTAAATTACTCTTTATTATTGATATTTCTAACTGTATTAGGAATAATAAATTCACTGTTGATGGAATCAAATATTTAATGCAATCTATATCTTTAATGTAGAGTCTATCTGTTTTAACACTTCTTATTGCGTAATTATTAGATAAAATAATTTTAAGATAGTATTTTTATTTTGCTACAAATGAATAGGGCGAATCGTTTTTCTTATGAAGCTGGGCCATATCTATTGGAATTTCTTCCTTAATGTTAGCATCTAGTTTACCTTTAAACTGAAAGAGCGTAAATTTTTATCTTATTATTTATAAAATTTTCTTAGTCTTATTTTTCAAAAGGTTCTTAACATTTAAAGGATAATATGGAGTGTACGATAAGAAAATTTTAAAAGGAAAAAGGCTTGTAAATTTAAAATTGTAATGAAAATGTAACAAAATTTTATGAAATAACAGACTGATAAAATAAATAAAATCACTTTTTATAAATTTAATTGTCTTCAAACAAATCTAAAATAAACATTTTTTAAATATTAAGTAAATCTTTGCCTTTCATAGAGCTTTTATAAACAAAACTTTTAAAATAAAAAGGCTTTAAAGATTAAAATACTAAATATTTCTAAAGCAGATCTTAAATATATATTATCTTTAATTTATAATAGCTTGATGCAATCTAAACATTAAATTAATGTATTTTGTTAGTGAATAGAATTTTATAGTCCAATAAATTTATTCAATTATTTGGGCATAAAATAAAATAATCCTATTCTTGATATGAAGTAAGAGTAGAAATTTTTTTGTATATTTAAATTTTTTTATATTATTAAATTATTTGATTAGGCAATTAATTATATATGCTTGAAAGTAGAAAGTTTTTACTTTAAAGGAGTATTTTTTATTCTTTTTTAACTCTTTGTATATAAAATTATTTAATAAAAATTTTTTATTTTTAGTTTAGAGTTTTCAGAATATTTTTTATATTATTCATTAGAATTATTAGATAAACAAAATAAGGTTTTTTTTATTATAATCTAATTTTTAAAGTGTGATAAAAATATTCAACTAATTAATAAAATAAAAAAGTGAAAAAATTAAATTTTGGATATTAAATCTAATAAAAATGGAGATGTAAAAATAAATTGAAATAAAATAGCAAATTAATATTTAAAAATTATCTAAATAAGCATCTATAAACATAAAATCAATTGAAAATTTACTTTTGCAAATTTAATCCTAATTTCCTTAGTTTTAAAATTTTGATTATTTTGGTAGAGACAAGAAAAACAGTCTAATTTTATTATGTTTCGATACTAAATTATCGTTATATGTAGCACTTAGAATATTAAGAACTCAGGGAAATATATGGACAAAAGTTTACTCTGAAGATTAAGTACTCATGATTTACTAGTTAGAATAGGATATACCAAATTTATTGAATATACATTACTAAAATGATTAAAATAAAGAAGAAAAAGAAGTTAATTTGCTAATGTTTGAAATCAGAATAACTAGAAGTATATTTCGATTTATTTAAAAATAAATATTTATAATAATTGTTTAAAATAGAGCTGATTTAAACTTATTCCAAGTTCCATAAACTTACAGATGTAATAATAATGATTTTATTTTATAAAAAAAAACTATTTTAAAAAGTAAATAGAACACCCAAATTAGTTGAAATTTTTAGTTGATAGGTAAAAATCTATTTTTAAATTTATTATTTAATTAATTAAAGCCATTTTAAATTTTATCAATAATTTATTCATGTTGAAATTTTATTTATTTTAAATTAGAGATTCTAAAATGAAGAAAAAATAAATTTAAAGCTTAAAAGACAAATTTTAGGAATATACTAATTTGCTCTATGTGTCTTTATCATTTTCGTAAAATTATTTGATTATTTCATTTTATTTATTTATTTACTCTCTCTGAAATAATTAAATTAGAAACAGTAATCTAAAAGAAGTATCAGGAAAATTTTTGGCACAAATTTTTTCTAAATGTGAACAATTATTTCACTTAGAACTTTATCTAGCGTAGTTTGATGTTATTTTTTTTAAATACTCTAATTCCTCATTAATTTCATTAAGATTAAATATAGTATTTCTAGGTTTTAATTACTTGTGAATATTGATAAAATTAAGGGTAAAAATGGATATAAAAGTCCATTATAAAAATAAATTAGAGTATTTATTTATAAGTTTGAAATTTGAATAAGCTTTTTTTAAATAAAGATCTACCTAAATTGATGATTATGCTCCATAATAAGTAATAGATTAAATTTCACTGTGTAAATCTTTAAGATATCTTATGATATCATTTTCTTTCAATTAATTGGATAACGAGTCAGGATTGCTGTTAGGAAAGAGTCTTTCGAAATTATAATAGCTATTAAGATTAGAATTGAACTATAAGTAATATTCAAATTTTATTTAGTATCCAACTAATTTTTATCTAGTACTAACTACTTAGAAGATACAGCTGCTTAGTCTATTGGATAAGCGCTTTCTTAGTTACATAATCTATAATACTTGGTTATTGAATTTCAGTAAAATAAAAAGTAATTAAATTACTCTCTATAATTGATATTACTAACTCTATTAGGAATAATTAATTCACTGTTGATGGAATCAAATATTTAATGTAATCTTTATCTTTAATGTAGAGTTTATCTGTTTTAACACTTTTTATTGCGTAATTTATTTATTTATAAAATATTTTTAGATAGTATTTTACTTTACTACAAATTAAAAGGGCAAATCGTTTTTCTCATGAAGCTGCACCATATCTATTGGAATTTCTTCCTTAATGTTAGCATCTAATCTACCTTTAAACTGAAATAGCGTAAATTGTTATATTATTTTTTATAAAATTTTGTAATTCATTTTCTTAAGGTACTTAACAATTAATGGGTAACATGGAGTGCACAAAAGGAAAATTTTAAAAGGTAAAAGGCTTGTAAATTTAAAATTATTATGAAAAGTTAACAAAATTAAATTTTATTCATTTACTCACTAATAAATAAATAAATAAAATACATTTTATCAAAATATCTAAAATGAAAAATAATAAATATTTCAAAAATTCAAAATCCATAAAATTATTTTATTTTGCTTGTTGTATCCATTTTTTAAAACAAACTATAAAAAATAACTTAACAATTTGATTTTCCATAATAATTTTTGATCTTTTAAAGTAGGATATTATATTTGATTATGTAACACTTCCGCAATTGAAATTTTAAATAGAAACTTAAATTTAGTGCATTCATTATTGAAAAAATACTAATGGGTATTTTTTATTTAAAATTTTTTGTAGACTTTTTGTGAATAATTACGAAATTTTAATTTATCTCACGATGGCTATTAACCCTTTCAGTGGGGGAAATTTTGTCTTATAAATTTTTTTTAAAACTTGACTGATTAAAAAAATTTTAAAATTTATCAAAAAATATAAAGTTAAAGAAAGAAGAAAAACCCCACCCCAGAAAAAAATAGTGGTATTCTTAAATTACATAAATTTTTTCAAATTGTCTTCAATAATAAATAATTAATTTATTGAAAATATTTGGTATAAAAAAAAATCAATAAAAAAAATGAAAATAATTCAAACTTTGCTTATTATTAAAATATTATTTGCTTTCATAAGGTGCTAAACCTAAACCACATCTCCTAATACTGATAATAGTAGCGATAGTGGCATAAGTACTGCTGTTGCAGTTACTATTGCAGTATTACTGTTTGTAGTCATTGGAGTTTTGTGTATATCTTGTTTTGCTTATCATTGCTATTATAAAGATAGATTAAAAAAACTAAAGTTATAAAAAGCAGCTTAAAATAACTAATTTAATGAGTTTATGGTAAATTAAAACGGATAGCAAATGCCCTAAGTGTAAATGAATCAACAAATGTACTACAATAATTAACCATTTATAACGACTACATAGCCAACTTAACCTGCTTATTATGATCAGTTATAGAATAATTACGTATTATATTATCCAAATAAACAATAAGTTGATACTCCTACTTAGCAATAAATGTTTATTGCCCCTTAGCCTCAATAGTAAATACCTGGGATATATTAACCATAATTAGGAGTTATGTAACCACAATAACAGCTTGTAATGGGAATTCCTTTGAATGATGATTAGAATCCTATCACTGATAAAAACCAATAAACTATATCTCTTTGAATAATTAATTTTTAATACTGACTGGGTGAGTTTGGTTTATTAAAAAATAAAAAATGAATGAAAATAATAAATAAAATTTTAAAACAAATCAACAGAGAAACACAAATTCTTTCATTTATAATTCTATCAATGAACCTAAACTTACTAGCATTTTATATGTTTCCATACTACTTAAACATAAAATTTCTTATTATAATATTTGTAATTAAATATATTCACTTTAATATCTTATTCCCTCAATATCTTTAATTAATTTACACCAGCTTTATTAATCAGAAATTCATGAATATCTTTTACTTTTTTATTAATTATTTGGCACTTTAAGTTTCTATGAAAACTTAAAAAACAAACGGGATAAGTTAATTTATAAAAAATATTGTTTGTTAGTGGTACTATTTCAAAGTGTTTTCTTATTTAGAATAGGCTCCAATTGTTTAAGATAATTCTTTTAACTTTAAATCATTTCCTTATATTTATTATTGCGGTTGTTATTTAATATTATTGTAAACTTCTTAGCGTACTTGCTAAAAAGTTTTAAATCCAACTTTATTTTCCTAAAAAAATAATATAATCAAAACCAACCTAAAGAAAGCAGGATCCATAAATTAAATTTACTATGTTCAGTACTTCTTATTCTGTGAACAAGGTTAAAAATTTTTATTTGTTAGAAGCATACCATCTAAATCTTCAATTATGCTAGTTGTTAAGTATTGCATTAACACATAAAATTGTTTTAGTTAATTTAATTATTATTATTTGTTAAGACACACACATAAAATATAGCTATGCAATTATAAATTTTAAATATTATAAATTATTTAAATAATTCTTATTTAATTATGTATTTAGTTCTTATTATCTTAATTCTATGTCTTTCTTCGTCTTATATACTTAAGTTTTTAATCCATCTTTATTAAAAGAATAATTGTTAGACTTGGGCAGGATCTTTTAGTCTCTCTTGGCTTTAGGAGATAATAACAAGATTATGATAAATTAAAATAGTTAGAATATAGTAAATTAATTATAATAAGATTAGCCTTGTAATTATTATTGGGGGTAATTAATATTAATATTATTGTGGTTATTAAAAAATATCTTTTCTTATATTGTAAATAAGATTCATTTATCCATAAAATTAAAGAAAGAAGAACCCCACCCCGCAAATAGGTGTATGCTTAAATTATAAAATTTTGATAAAATTATATCCAATAATAAATAATTAATTTATTTAAATTATTTGGTATAAAAAAAATCAATAAAAAAAGAGAAGATTATGAAAATAAATCAAAATTTGCTTATTATCAAAATATTATTTGCTTTCATAAGGTGCTAAACCTAAACCACATCCTCTAATTCTGATAATAGTAACAATAATAGCGATAATAATTCTACAAAAATAACTGTGATAGTATTTTTTACAGTCATTGGATCCATAGGAGTTATACTTGCAGTCCTTAAGAAATGCCATAAAATAAGATAATAACGATAAAATTAAGAAAAAGGAGCTTAAAATAACTAATTTAATGAGTGTATGGCAAATTAAAACAGATAGCAAATGCCCTAAGTATAAATGAATCAACAAATGTACTACAATAATTAACCATTTATAATGACTTCATTGCCAACTTAATCTAGTGATTAAGATTAGTTATAGAATAATTATCTATTAAATTATCCAAATTAACAATAAGTTGATACCGCTACTAAGCAGTAAATGTTTATTGCCCCTTAGCCTCAATAGTAAATACCTGGGATATATTAACCATAATTAGGAGTTATGTAACCACAATAACAGCCTGTAATGGGAGTTCCTTAATATCTTTAGAATCCTATTACTGATAAAAACCAATAAACTACATATCTTTGAATAATTATTAATACTGACTGGGTGAGTTTGGTTTATTAAAAAACCAAAAGTGAATGAAAATAATAACAAAATTTTAAAACAAATCAAGAGAGAAACACCTTGAAGTAAAAAGAATTTAATTGAATGTTATTAAAAAATAAAACAAATAAATAATATATTATTTAATGTAACATACTTTCTCTTTTGTTAAAGACTAAATCTTTAATTAAAAGAGTTTATTTTCATTTTAGTGAATTTACTAATTTATTTGATGCTCTCCATGTTTATGATAACTAATTCCTTAAAAAATACATATTTATATATCAAGAAATTAATTACTTTTAAAAATAATAAATAAGATATAATTATTTTACGTAATGTAATAAATTTCTTATTATCAAATTAAAAATGGTAAATCAACTTTTTAATTATATTTCAACAACTTAATATTAAAGATCTATCAATAAAATTTTAGCTTTTTGATAAATAGTTATATTTATATTAACCACAAGAAAAGATTAAAAAATTAAAATATTTTTAAATCTATTTTATTCACAAAAAACATTAGAGACAAAATACTTAAGTTTAAAATAGTAATCTTTGAGATAAATAATGAATCTTTTTTTCCGATAAATAAATTTCTTAACAGACAAAAGTCTACAAATAGTTTATTAATGAATTTTTTTATCTTAAAATTGTTGTGTATGTTTAAATTATTATTATCAAAGACAGAAGAGAGAGCTAATTAATCAATAAAAATTAAGCGTAAAAGTAAAAATTAAGCAATATTATTAATTCATTCGATTAGTTAAGGAGTTTTACCCCTAAATAATTTGCATAATAATTAATATATTAAGCCTATTTATATTTGGAACAATGAAGAAATAAATTTTCCTTTTCAACCATTTATTTTTGAATTTACGTATGTATATACATACATATAACACTAGATGTAGCATTCTTGAGTAAAATAATATTAGCTATCTACTAAATATCTGTATTGTAGCCATAGAATAGCATGGAAATAACTAATAAATGGACAATTTATTTAAACTAAAATGTTACAATCTTAAAGAGATGTTGCCATAAAGATAGATAAAAAATTCCAAAAATTTTATGATAAGAAATTTTATGTTCAATTAGTATGGAAAAATATCAAACGTTAGTAAGTTTAGGTTCATTGATAGAAATATAAATGAAAGAATTTTATTAAACAAATGTTTTTCAGAAAAATTTTTGAATAAAAATAGTAATATTTTATAATATTTGTAATTAATTATATTCACTTAAATATCCTATTTCCTCAATATCTTTAATTTACTCTGCTTTATTGATCAGAAATTCATGAATTTCTTTTACTTTTTTATTTTTTAATTTGCTTGATACGTTGAGTTTCTATGAAAACTTAAAAAACAAACTGGATAAGTAAATTTACAATAAAATATTTTTTGTGGTACTTATTCAAATTATTTTCTTATTTAGAATATGCTCTCCAATTTAAGGTAATTCATTCTTTTAACTTTAAATCATTACCATATATTTATTATTGCTGTTGTTATTTTGTACAATGGTAAACTCCTTAGGACGCTTCTTCCTAAAAAATATATATAATCAAAATCAACCTAAAAGAAAGCAGGATCCTGAAAATAATAAATATATCAAAATCTTTCAAATTTACCAAGTTTAGTGCTTCTTATTATGTGAACACAGTTTAACAATTTTTAAGGATACCATCTAAATCTTCAATTATGTTATTGTTGTTTGTTAAGTATTGCATTAACACATAAAATTATTTTAGTTTAGTTTAGTTTATTATACGAATACTACAATCTTTTTTATTTTTTGCAAAAATGATATATTATATTTCTTATATTATTTATTACTTTATCAAATGCATATTCACTATTTTATTGATTTTAATGCTCTTTTTGAGATTAATAATTTATAAGAGCAAGCTAATTTTCAAGTTATTCTTTGCCTTTTGATCTATTCCTGACGAGCTTGAGTTCAAAATACAAAATTTTATAAATTAATTCTTTTTGAAAATGTAAAGTATTTTACTAATGTTATCTATTTTTTAAATGTATCTTTAAAAATCGATTATATTTTCATGAATCGTTTTATGCTTAAAGAATAATAGATGAATGAATAAACTAAATAAAAAATGTATTAAAAATATTAAAGAATTTTTCTAATATTCATCTTGTTTTTTTTGCAAGTCCAGCTTGCTGTGGCAGCAAGCCACTTTTATTTTTTTAAATAATTTTATTTTGTATATAAATGTTTTTATGTGTGTAAATAAAATATCTTAGAAATTAAAATTTTTTTTAAATAAAGTGTTTTTGATTAAAAATTTTTATTTATTTTTTTGTTTGTTTAGATTTGATTTGATAGATACCTTTTTATATTATTTTCAATTTTCTTTAATTTTATAAATAAAATTTAATATTTATTCTACTCAATATTTATTTGCTACAAGAAAATAACTATTTGAGGATAGCAAAAATAAATAAAACCACTTTTTATGAATTTATATAGTTGTCATTTTGAATATTAAGCAAATATTTACCTCTCATAGAATTTTTAAAACAAACGAACCTTTTATAATTAAAAACTTTTAAAGATTAAAATAATTTGTATTTCTAAATAAAAGTAATTCTTAATTATTATCTTTAATCAATAATAGCTTGATACAATCTAAAGATTAAATTTATATATATTGTTACTGAATAAAATTTTACTTTTTCATAAAATAAATTTATTCAATTATTTGAGCATAAATCAAGTAAAATTTATGTTGTTGCAGGTTTACTCTATCCTTGATATGAAGATAAAGAGATATTTATTTTTGTAAATAAAATTACTTATTTGAAAGATTTATGATTGTTTATAAAGTTAAAAATTGTTTATCCGGCTATTACAGTATTAAAAAATTAAATTTTGTACTTAATAATCCAAAAAATATAAAACTAAATTTGAGGTGATTGCAAAATCTTTTATATGTAGATGTTTTAAATATAAACAATAATTTGAAGTTAATTAATAAATATTATTTGTTATTTATTAAGTTAAAAAAATATCAAGTAATTTGTAATTCAGATATTAATTGTCAATAAAAGAATAGTTCAAAGATATTTTATATAAACTCTTAATAAATGAAATTTTAAGTAGAAATTTTGTTTATTTTACAACTTTTATTTACTACCACAAAATGCTTAACTGCATAAGGCTGTTTTAATTTAGGCTTTAAATTATGTCTTGATTCGTTTGGATAATGTACATATAGTTCTCTGACCTGTGCAAAAATTTGTGTTTCTAATAATTCTTGCAGTTCAAACTGCTGCCATGAAGGATACTGTACTTCTTAAAGCGCAGGATCATGTACTTCAAGCAATTAATAGAGCTAAATAGTAAACACTAATAAATCTCCTGTTGTAGCAATAGTAGTTCCTATAGTTTTTGGTTTAGTAATAATTATTGGGATAGCATGTTTCTGTTATTAGAGGAGAAAAAGATAGCTAGCGTTATAAGCTTTACAACAAGCTGCTTAAAAAAACAATAATGATTTAATGAATAATCAATATAGGGTTGATGTAACAAATTAAAATGCATAAATACCATATCATAATTAACAAATGTATGGCTAGAATAATTTATAATTCTAGCCTGTAGTATATCCTAACCAACCTATTTAATAAACAAATCCAATCTAAATGAACTATTTATATTATCCTCCATAACAATAATTTTTTATGGCACCTTAACAACAGCAAAATCAACAAATTCCTGGTATTTATGAGGCCTAATTAGGAAATTATGACATGCAACCTAAGCCTCAAATGGGAGTTCCTTTAGTAAAGAACCCGCTCAACGATGGATAAACTAATTATCTTTGAAATTTATATATAGAATACTTTCATTATATTATTTAGAGTATTAATTCTTTTGTAACAAAACTATAAAATAATCTAAATTTCACTAAAAAATAAGTAAAACTTTTCTTTCTCCTGAAATAAAATCATAAAACAAACTTACATTGATTGAATGTAAGTAAATTTGAATCTATTTATTTTTAATAGTATAAAAAACATTTTATATCTTCTACTAATTATTTATTGTAATTAACATAAAATAAGCAATCAATGAAGTAAAAGTTTTATGTTTGTTTGAAAAAGCAAAAAATTTTACATATTTTATTAATTTGTGGTATTTTTAGAGCCTCCTAATAAATATGATTTAAAGTATAAGCTTATGTTAAAAACTATCGATAACCAATATGAATTAATCTTGATTCATAACATCATTTTAGAATTAGCTATATTAAATGTTCAGAATGTATTTGATCTTTATATAAATTTGATAATTATTAAAGATTAAAACATCAGAAAACTTTCTTAAAAATTGTTTTAAATTAATTATGAGAAGTTTTTTATGAAATTATAAATTATTTTAGAAGCAAAATAAAATTTTCACCAAATTTGATACAAATTAACAAATGTAATTAGAATTAACTAATCTAAATAAATTTATTAAAAAATGTAAAATAAATGATCAGATTTTAGAATTAAAAAATTTACATAAGCTATTATTACAAAAATTTTGATTATATTGTATCCAATAATTAATTTAAATTATCTTTCTTTCGTTAATTAATTGTTTAGTTACAAGAAAAAAAAATCAAAAAAAAAAGCAGAGAACAAATGATGAAAATAATTCAAACTTTTCTAATTATAAAAATATTATTTGGTTGCATAAGGTGTGAAACCTCATAAAGTTGCTTAGATTAAGGTTTTAAAGCAGCTTGTATTACTTATCTTGGAAAATGTACTAGTTATTATTCAGACTGTGCATAAATGTGCTCCAGTTAGATGTCTTGTCCATAATAATAATGTTGTCATGAATCCTTTTGCATACTCAATACTGCAGGATCTTGCATGAATAATAGCAGTACTAGTAACTCAGGCAACTCTAATAGCAGTACTAGTAACTCAGACAACTCTAATAACGGTACTGCAGCTATAATAGTAGTTCCAATATTCTTTGCAGCTTTTATTATAGGTTTTATTGTTTGTTATTGTTATAAAAAAAAAAAAAAGATAGTAGGAATAATTAGAAAATTAAAAACATGCAGATATAAATAAGAACAATCTATATAATAACTAATTTAATATGCATATGGCAAACTTAAATCAATAGCAAATACCCTAAATGTAGATGAATCAACCAGTATATTACAATAATTAATAATGTATAAATGCTGCATAGCCAATTTAACCTGCTTAATATGGTTAGTTATAGCCACCAAATAATTATCCAAATTAACAATAAGTATTTGAAGTTAATTAGAAGTAAATGTTTATGGTCCCTTAGCCTTAATAATAAATTCCTGGTATATACGAAGCATAATTAAGAGATTATTATCCCCAGGAGCAAACTGAAGCGGGAGTGCCTTTATAAGTTAAGAATCCAATGACTATTAACAATCAAACTACATCTCTTTGAATAATTTTTAATAAAGATTGGATGAGTTTGGTATATTAAATTAATCCAAAATAAATGATAATAATTTGTAGACTTTATATTAGATGAACAAAGAAATAATTTGAATTCAAAAGAATTTAATTAATTAAAATTGAAAATTAAACTCATACTTCTAAATAAATAAGCAAGATATTATCAAATATTACTCTATCTTTTATTAAAACCTCATTATTTTTATAAAAATGTATTTACTTTTTAGTGTATTACTATTTTTAGTAAATTTAATAATTTATTTATTTAATTTTACAGTACTTTACACTTTCATAATACTAAATCATTAACAAATAAATAAATAAATACTTTTTTGAATATGGCCAATATTGAAATTAATTAATTAATTGATTATTGGGGTTACTCATAAAATTAAAATTTTATTTAATAAAAAAATATCTATCTATATATCTTGCATATTTAAATTAAAAGTAAAAATTTATCAAACATAAGTATAAATTAAAGGCTAATCTTTAAATTCAGGTTAATAAATTTAAGTTAAATAATAGAAGTAAGTTTTATTTGGAATAAATATATAATTATTTCTTTCAATTTAAATACATTTTTTAAATGTATTTATTTCAACATAAACTTATTGTTTGAAATTAATGTATGAATTTATACAAAAAATAGACTTTTAATAAATTATATATATATATTTGTACCCTAGGGTACTGCCCGTCTTAGGGGTTTGTGCCATACAATATTACAACTTTCTATTAATTATGAGAAGTTTTTTATGAAATTATAAATTATTTTAGAATTAAAACACAATTTTATATATATAAATAAATAAATGAAATTAGAATACCTAATCTAAATAAATTTATTTAAAAAATATAAAATTACCAAATTCGAGAATGTCACAATTTGATATAAGTTATTATTATAAAAATTTTGATTATAATTTATTCAATAATAAATTACTTTCTTACGTAGATTGTTTAGTTACAAAAAAAAATCAATAAAAAAGCAGAGAACATATGATGAAAATAATCCAAATTTTATTAATTATAAAAATATTATTTGTTTGCATAAGGTGTGATACCGCACAAAGTTGCTTATAATAAGGTTAAGGTTACAAGTTTTGTCTTAATTAACTCGGAAAATGTACTAAAGTTTAATCTAGCTGTGCAAAAATTTGCTCCAGTAATAACTCTTGTCCATAATAATGTTGTCATGAAGGCTATTGCATACTCAATACTGCAGGATCTTGCATGTCTAATAGTAGTTAAAGTTACACATACAGCTCTAGTAGCGGTACTAGTTCTAATATAGCTGCAATAGTAGTTCCAATAGTCTTTGGAGTTGTTATTATAATTTCTATTGCTTGTTTTTGCTATTAAAGAAGAAAAAGATAGTAGGCATAATTATTAATTTAACAAAAGGCAGCTTTAAATAACAACAATCTATAAAATAACTAATTTAATATGCAAATGGCAAACTAAAACTAATAACAAATACCCTAAACGTACATGAATCAACCAGTATATTACAATAATTAATCATTTTTAAATGCTGCATAACCAATTTAACCTGCTTAATATGGTTAGTTATAGCAGCCAAATAATATATAATATTATTATCCAAATTAACAATAAGCATTTGCTGTTAATCAGCAGTAAATGTTTATGGCCCCTTAGCCTTAATAATAAATTCCTGGTATATATGAAGCATAATTAGGAAATTATTATCCCCATAATCAACCTGTAATGGGGGTGCCTTAATAAATTTAGAATCCAATGACTAATAACAATCAAACTACGTATCTTTGAATAATTGTTAATACAGACTGGATGAGTTTGGTATATTAAATTAACCCAAAATAAATGATAATTAATAAATACACTTTAAATTAGATGAACAAATAAATACCTTGAATTAAAAAGAAATTAATTGATTATAATTGAAAATTAAACTCATAATTGTTAATAAATAAGCAAGATATTATTAAATACTACTTTTATCTTTTATTAAAACCTCATTATTTATATAAAAATTTATTTACTTTTTAGTGTATTAATATTTTTATTAAATTTAATAATTTATTTATTTAATTTTACAGTACTTTACACTTTCATAATACTAAATCATTAACAAATAAATAAATACTTTTTTGAATATGGCCAATATTGAAATAAATTAATTAATTATTTAGTTACTCTTAAAATTAAAATTATATTTAATAAAAGCATATCTATATATCTTGCATAATTAAATTAAAAGTAAAATTTTATCAAAGATAAGTATAATTAAAGTCTATTCTTCAAATTCTGGTTAATGAATTTAGTTTAGATAATAGAAGTAAGTTTTATTTGGAATAAATATTTAATTGTTTCTTTCGATTAAAATACATTTTTTAAATGTATTTATTTCAACATAAACTTATTGTTGGAGATTAATACGTGAATTTAAACAAAAAATTGAGTTTTAGTAATTTTTATAATATTTTTTTATTATTTCCTCCATGATTAATAAGGTAAATAAGTTTTTTCTTTTTATTTTTTCAATAATAAAATAAGTTTTTAATTTTATTTTTAGAAAATAAATGAAAGGTGAGTGAATTGAATTTTGACAGAGATTAGAATTTAAATCTAGCATAAAAAAGTAATTAATAGTTTTTTTAAATTACATTAGTGATTGAATATGAGTTATAGGTGAAGATAGTTAATGAAAATGATTATTAAACTAAAAGAATAAAATTGAACAAAAAAAAAGTAACAAATTATGAATTATAAATAAAATTATAAAAAATTATATATTTATAATAAATGAATTAAAAAAACCTATGCTATTTGATATAATTACAAAAAATATTTTTTAGAGAAGAGTAAAAAAATAAAATTTTAATTGAGAGTTGAGAAAATTATTAAAGATAAATAAAGTAAAAAATATAAAAATTTACATTTTTAATTTATATTTAAATATTAATTATTTTATTTAATTTAGTTTGATAAAAAGAATAAACTTTAAAAAAATAAATACCTATAGAAGGTGTTGACTTTAAATTATCCTTTTTATTTAAATTTTAATGATAATATTAGAATAAATTAAAATTCTATTTAAATAACTCATTTTTTACTTTTTTGTATTTTGTTAGAATTTAATTCTTTAGGTCTAATTTTAATTTTGATTTTTAAATATTTTCATAATATTTAATCCTGTTTACTATTAACTTAAAGAAACACATATTTTTACCTTAAAAAGTAAAATAAATAACAAGCAATCCATTTATATTTTTCTATTATCTTTTTTTGTTATTCAATTAAATTTAATATTTTATAAATCATAAAATACTCAACCTGCTTTTAGGTATTAGAAATCCTGTTGAACAAATTTTATGTTTTTATTAATTTTTAATTTTATTGATTAACTTAAAATAATAATATATTAATATAATACTTTAATTGTTAGTTATACATAATAACAAATTCTTTTTCAATTTTAAAATATTTTTAAAAATATTGATGAAAATGATTAAAATTACTAATATTAATAAAAAATAAAACATTTTCTTCTTTATCTAAAACAATTATTTCATTAAAATTAAAAAATCAAAAGTAAGAAAATGGTAATTTGCATAAAAAATGAATTCATATACTTATAACTATTATTAAAAATTGATAAAAATATTTTAAATTAAATATTTCTTCAAAATTTTTCTTGCAATGAAATAAAATAGTAAATTCAAAGTTGTAAGAAAAATTAAAAAGCTAGAAATTTAAAAATTAGATTTTTTTTTTTTGATTTGGTCGAAATAGACTTACTACTGGCTTAACAATAAATTAAAAATTTACCATAAAAATAAGTAAGAAAAGATAAATAAAAAATTTTATAACTTATAATTTGTATTTAATTTTTAACATTTTACTTAAAATAATATTTTAATTTAAAAATCAAATTACAAATGATAAAAATTTTAATTCAAATTTTCACATATTTATATATTTTATTTAATTTTCAATATTATTGATAAAAGAATGTCATTCCAATAAAAATAGTTTATGATATTTAGAAAATATATTTAAAAGAGTAAACAGATAATATCATTTTAAAATGAAAATCAAAAAAAAATGTTGATTAAAATTTATAATTTTTGACTATTTTATCAAATTTTTTGATAGATTTTTTTAATGTTTTTGCATTTTTCTTTAATTTATTTTGATTTTTAAATATCGAAATTTAGTTATTTATTGAATTCTTCTTGCATTTTTGTCTATTAGGTTGTGGGTATATGTATGTGACATTTATCTTTTTGAATAATGTTTATCAAATTAGATTTTTATAGAAACTTAATAGTAATTAATTAACTTATGTGTAATATTAAAAAGTAAATAATAATGAGCAATTTAATAAATATACTCATTTTGCTTTTAAGCTTTATATTAGTACAAGCAAGTTAATAATCAGTTTCACAATGCCTTCCTTAAAACAGCTTTGGATGTCTAGATAAGTTTGGATATTGTGCATCAAGTAATTATTCATGTGCTGACTACTGTACTTCAAACAATGACTGCCATTTAACTTGTTGCTATTAAAATTATTGCATTATAGGAAATAAGTGCTTTGATAATAATAACCCATCAAGTAGTACTGGAATATTCCTTGCTATTTTTTTTTCTGTATTTTTTGGGACATTCTTTCTGATTATAATTATAATTTGCTGCGTAAGAAGGAGTATAATAAGGAGACGCAATAGAGGTCTTTAAGGCTAAACAAATCAAGCTGCAATTAATAATTAATTTTAAATGAACAATGAAATGATGAGATAAAATGCATAAATGCAATAAATGTATTTTAACTAATAACCTTAGTAAATGGGATTCGCCTAACCTTATAACTACAATAATAATTTCCAAGCCGCTCCCGTTTTCGATAACTAGATACCCTAAATGCAACCATATAACTTGAATTAAATGTATTATCCACAATAGTATATGTAACCATAATAATAATTTTAGCCGTTGATGGTTACTCCTAGCTAGTAAGTGCAGCCATAGCAAGCTTACACATAACCACCACCAGAAAGTAAAAATAAACAACAATTAGTAACTTACATTTGAGGATATTTACAAAAATATCATGCTTTTTTATAAAAGGACTGGTTAGTTGTTTGTCCTATATTAAAAAATATATAGATAAATAGAGTTTAAATTAATTAATTTTAAAAATCATTCAACCAACAAAACAAACAATAAATGAATATAAAACTTCAATAAAATTATGTATATCTATCTATCTATCTATCTATCTATCTATCTATCTATCTATCTATCTATCTATCTATCTATCTATCTATCTTCATAGTATTTTTATATTATCTTAATATTGTATTAGAATTTATTTTATTAAATAGCAAATATTAAAAAAATTTTTTTTTTTTCAATTGTTTATTTAATTAAATTTATTTTTTCATTTTTTATTAGTAAAGTAGAAGTTTTATTTTTATCTTTTAGGCATATTTAAAAATTTTATTCAATTTATTATAAAATTAGTAAATATAAATACTAACAAGTATTTAGGATTCGTCATTTAATTTTATGTTATCTAATTAACAAGAAATTAAACTATTGTTATAATTTATTTTTAGATAAATTTATATTATTTATAAAATTAAAGATTCAAGTTATTAAATATTTTATTTACTACTTATTTGATTTGCATCTATTTGTAATTATAACTTAATGTTTAGATAAATTGAAAAGTTACAATTGAATTGTTATCTAATTTATTTATAGATTAATTTACCATAATTTTGTTACAATTGTACAAGCCAATATCGGGGATACCCCTTAAAATTTGAGTGTTTACTATTAATTTAAAGAAACAGATATTTTTACTTCAAAAAAGTAAAACAAATAACAAACAGTGTATTTATATTTTTAATTAAAAATAATCTTTTTTTGTTATCCATCTTACTAAAGTTAAATATTTTATAAATGATAAAAAATACTCTATCAGTTTTTATAGAATCTATGTATTAGAAATCCTGTTAATAAAATTAATTTTTTAATTTTTAACTATCTCTTATGATACTATTATATTAATTTAACACTTTAAATAATTTATTGTACAGAATAATAGATTATATTTAAATGTTAAAATATTTTTTTTAATATTAATGAAAATGATTAATTTAAATAATATTAATTAAAAATAAAATATTCCTTTTTTAGCTAAAATAATTATTTGATTAAATAATCAAAAATAAGAAAATTATAATTCTTTTAATTACATAAAGTGAATGAATTAATCAACTTATTTATGATTATTACTCTGTATTATTTATTGATAAAAATATTTTAAAATAAATATTTCTGGTTAAAAATTTTCCTTCCTATCTATGAAGTAAAAGAGTAAATTCAAAGTAGTAAGAAAAATTAAAAAGCTAGAAATTAAAAAAATTTGATTTTTTTTTGATTTGATCGAAATTAGATTTCTTGCTTAAAAATAAATTAAAAATTTACCATAAAAAATTTAGTATGAAAGAAAAATAATAAATTTTATAATTTATTTATAATTTACATTTAATTTCCAAAGAAAATAGCAATTGATTGATTGCGATAAAAATACAAATTCTAAATTAGATCTTTTCTCAAATTAATATATTTTAGGTTTAGTTTTCAAGATTATCGATATTAAGAAAACCATTTCCAATAAAAATAGTTTATAATATTTAGGAAATATATTTAAAAAGTAAACCAATAATATCATTTTAAAATAGGATTCAAAAAAATATTAATTTAAATTTATGACTTCAGACTATTTTATCAAATGCTTGGTAGATTTTTTTTAGCATTTATTTATACTTTTGATTATGAAATATTAAAATTAGGTTATTTATTGATTTCTTCTGTCTTTTTTGTCTATTAGGTTCTATATATATGCATATGACCTTTGTCATAATCCCTATTAAAATACATTCCTAAAGAAACTTAATAGTAATTAATAATTAACTAACTTATTTGCAATATTAAAAAGTAAATAATTATGAGCTATTTAATAAATATACCCATTTTGCTTTTAAGCATTATATTAGTGTAAGCAAATTAAAAATCAGTTTCACAATGCCTTCCTAAAAACAATTATGGATGTCTAGATATACTAGGAGATTGTGCATAAAGTACATTTTCGTGTGCTGATTACTGTTCTTCAAACAGTGACTGCCATCTAAATTGTTGCTACTAAAATTATTGCATTGCTGGAAGTAAGTGCATTGATAATAGCTCACCAAGTAATAATAGTGCAATATTCCTCGCTATCTTTTTACCTGTATTTTTTGGGACTTTTTTTTTGATTATTATAATTATTTGCATTGTAAGAAAGTGTATAATAAGTAACCGCAACAAAGGTGTAGTAGCCTAAACGAATTAAGCTGCTATTAATAATTAATTTTAAATGAACTAAGAAATGCTGAGATAAAATGCATAAATGCAATAAATGTATTATAACTAATAACCTTAGTAAGTGGGAGCCATCTAACCTTATAACTACCAAAATAATTTCCAACCAGCTTTCGATAACTAGATACCCTAAATGCAACCTTATAATATGAATTAAATGTATTATCCACAATAGTAGTATATGTAACCATAACAATAATTTTAACCAACATCAGTTAATCCTAGCTAGTAAATGCAGCCACAGCAAGCATACACACAAAAACCACCAGAAAACAATAATAAATAACAATTAGTAACTTATATTTGAGGATATTTACAATTAATAATAATTAAAATATCATGTTTTTGTAAAAGGACTAGTTATTTGTTCTAAATTAAAAAAGATATAGATAAATAGAGTTAAATTAATTAATTTTAAAAATCATTCAACAAAACAAACAATAAATGAATATATAAATTCAATAAAATTAAGTATATCTATCTATCTATCTTCATAGTATTTTTATATTATTTTAAATTTTTTTAGAATTTATTTTATTTATTTATTTATTTATTGATTAATACCAATTTATTAAGTAGCAAATATTTTAAAAATTGTAACAATTTTAATTTATTTATTTAATAAACTAATTTTTCTTTTTCATTTTTTTTACTCCTAACAGATGTTTTTATTTTAATTTTTGAGCTATTTTTAATTATTTTATTCAATTTATTTTAAAATGTGTTGTAAATAAATAGAAATAATTATTAAGAGTTAATAATTTTAATTTTGTATTACTTATTCGTAACAAGCAATTAAACAAATATAATATTTTTTCAGTAAATTTTAATAAAAGTAAAGATTCAAGTTGTCAAATATTTTATTTACTGTTTTTTTAAATTTGCTTCTGTTTATTTAGCATTTTTAATTATAATTTAATGTTTAGATAAGGTGTAAAGTTATAATTCAATTGCTATCTAACTTATTTATAGACTAATTTATATATATTCTTAATAATTATGAATATTTAAATATTTTCTTATATGTATAGTACCCTAGGGTACTGCATAATGATATTATGGTTCGTGATTTTTCAAATGCAGGAACAGCTATATTTAAAAAAATAAAGATTCAAACTGCTATATTTTATTTAGTATTTTTTTTAATGTGTAATTTATTTAGTAATTGTAATTATAATTTAATGTTTAAATTAATTGAAAAGTTATAATTGAATTACTAACTAACTTTATTGTCTAATATATAATTTCTTTATAATTATTAATATCAAAATATTTTCTTATTTAAATTTTTTGATAAAACTTTAAGTTTGGGTTTTGTATTGTATTTATTATAAACTGATTTTAATTTTGTAATGAATTTGAATTTGATTTTTCTAATTTATATTTTATTGAGATTTTGATTTTGATTTTAGTTTTTATATAAAAAATTCTTACATCAGATATCTTAAGATTTATTATTTTATATTTAAATATTTATTTACTTTAATTAATATAATTAAGTTAAGAAATAATTTTTAGAATGCTTTTTCTTAAAAATTGCTAAAATGTACTGACGATAATTAAATCACTAATTAATTTAATTAAAAAAATGACTGTATAAATTAAAATAAACTATTTAAATAATAAATTTTCAAAATGATTTTAAAATAAATAAAATTTAAAAATTAGGCTAATAATAATTAAAGCTCCAAATTTATGTTTTTTATAAGCCACTAGCCGTTTGATTTAAGTAAACTTTTTTTAAAAAAAGTCAAAATATAGTTTGTATTTACCAAAAACTTTAAATTTTAATTTTAAATTTTATTTAAAACAGTATCAATATTTAAACATTTATTTGATTAAATTAAATATTTTAAATGTTATTTGATTAAAATAAAATAAAATTAATTTATTTTAAACTATTTAGTTTTACAAATATTAATTTTTGTTTTTAATTATTAATTTTGAAGACAAATTAATAATTTAAAATGTTAATCGTTTCTTTTATTGTATGATTGATTTTTAAATTAAAAAAAATAATTTAAAATTATAGAAATAATAGTTTAACTTTTAATTAATTAATTATGTTACACCACAAACAAAGATTTAATTTTTGAAAGCGGTAAATTAATTTCAAAAATTTAACATAAAGTATTTACGAAACAACTATAATTTGGTGATTAATTGCAAATAATTAAAAAGGCGCAAATAAGTTAAAAATATGAAAGTGAACCGAGTTTTTCAGAATTATTTGATGTTATAGTTGACACATCAATATTTCAAAGTTAGGCTTCCACAAATTAATTTAATACTATTATTTATCTTATTTTTTGTGAGAATTCCATTTATTTATTTATATATAAAACAAATTAAATTATTAAATTAAAAAGAAAATTAATATCTTATTATAAAAGCTATCAATTTATTCAGACATAGACCGATTTTTAGTTAATTATTAGATTTTTTTAAATAAGAAATGGATTTTTTAGGTGTAATTCAATGGGTAATGGATGTTTAGTAATATCCTGATTCTTATAAGGACGAAATAGAGAAGCTAAAGACTGAATGCTTCAATCTAAGTACACTTATAAAGACAATCGGAGAAGATTAGATTCCATAATTGTATTAGAATTAAATAAAGAAACACTTAGAAGAAGCTGAAACACTTTTAAAAAATGTTAACCACAAAGTAGGCATAATGCAGAGCGTGTTTAGTATGCTTTCTGGGTAGCAAACTATACAAAAGCTGAAAGAAGCTAAGGATAATATTCATAATACTATTATTAATTTGAATGCATGGATAAGTAGCATTATGTATTCTACAAATAATATGGGTTCAATTTCAGATTTGAGAGTCTCTAAAGTAAAGAAATTTAATAGCAACGACAGCGAAAAAGATTTAAAAAATGATAATACAGCAGCTTCAACTGCTTCTAGTTTACAAGTACCAGCAACATTAGTCGATTAGTTAGATCCTACTTATTAATAAGAAAGTGAAGATGAAGGTGAAAACATTTTTGGAAATTCAAAAAAGCTTAACATTGATATAACGCTAGATAAAAATGCCAACATCTATGATTTATTTGAAGAGTTTAAAATAAACACTAAATAAAGTTTTAGTTTGAAGTTAGATCCTAAAGTGTTTTTCACTTTTGAGAGAATAACTTATATCAAATTAGCTGATGACAACAAAGATGTAAATAGAATATCAAGAGAGCATGCCGATTTAGAATTAATAGAAATAGAATAAACGGAAGATTCTCATTCATAAACAGTTACTTTATAAGTTCCCATGAGTGCTGCTGAAAAGTAGTAGCAAAAAGAGAAGTAAAATCATCAATCTTAATCTGAAAATAAAACAAACACAAAAGAAGACGATTAGTTTGCAACTTGTGTTGAAGGTTTTAGTGATGGTGAAGGAGATGAAATGTTTGGAAAAGGAAATAAAGAAACGCCTGCAAAAAAATAAAAGCACTACTATGTTTCTATAGCATGTAAAGGACCTAATGGTATCTTTGTTTATAGAAAAAGAGAGAATTAGCAGATACAAGATGAGTTATCAAAGAAAAAGCTTATCAAAGATATGAAACTGATAGAAGCTGGATAATGGGTGAAAGTTGCTAAAGGAGAAAAAGCCTTGCTATTTAATAGCGACTCTTTTGCTATCCTTAAATGTGATAAAATTACTATAAGCTATACAATAAAAATAGAATGAGTGATAAATGCATAGTTTATTTATTTATTTCAGACTTTAATGATTAAAATAATCCTACTTATTTATTCTATTGAATTTATTTGTGAGATCAAATTATACATTATGATCATAAATTTAAATTTACTTATTTTTATTGAATGGTTTTAATTCAATTTTTTAAATTATTTTATTATCAATCATATAATAAATTTTCTTTTAATATATATATTTTTTTATTCTACTTTTCAAAACAAACTGTATAAAAAGAAAGTTACTAATTTTATTAATTTCATTTTTTTATTATTTTTTTTTGAGACTTCCTCTAAGTTTTTAGAATAAGTTTTCTCTAAATCAATTTTTTATTTAAAAATAAAAAGAATAAATTAATAAAACTTTTATTTTATATTTAACGATTAATTTATTAGATAATTCTAATTAATATATTTTATTTAATTATCTATTTCTCAATTAGCACTTACTTTTAATCAAAACTTTGATTCAAATAAATTGTACAAACACAAACATTATTCATTTTTTTTATTTAGATTATATTAGTGCAAAACTATTTAAAAAAACTGTGAGGGACTGAATATAAATCATTTTAATAAAAATAAGTCAGTCATAAAATGATATCTGGTTTATTTCTTGAAACTTTTATTTTTTACTTAATTAAAATAGTCCCTCTCTCATCAATATTTTTTAAATTAATTGATTTTACATCTAATTTTATCACTGAAAACTCACAAAAAACTATTAGAATTTTACTATTGCTCTTATTTTAACTTACTTAGTATAAATTAATCATCACAATATATTAGAATCGTAACGACTAAATAAATAAATGACTTAAAATTATAAATTAAATTTTAAAAACAATTTTTAGAAAAAATAATGAAAAAAACATTAAATTAAAATTAATTAGTAAAATCAAATTCTTTGATAGGATATGTATGGTAGTAATTTGTTCGATTACTTTTAATTATTAATTAATTAATTAACTAACTAACTATCCAGATTTTTTTTTACATCTAAAATTATTTTTTGTCTTTAAAAATAGATATTAAGTAAATCAAATCATTTTTTTCCCTTTTGAGCTGCTGGTGCAGGTGGTTGTTACTGTTAAGCTTTTGTTTTTTCTTCTTTTTAAGGCTACTTTTTATTTTCATCCTTTTCTTATACTTTCTTTTTTTCTTAAGGTTCTTCTTTCACTTTATCTTTACTGATAACTTTTTTATCATCTACTTTAGGATCTTTTTAAAGGGTTTATTTTCCAGGCTGTTATTTTTGGTTTTAATCTTCATTTTTTTCTTTTGTTTTAGAATTAGCTTCTTTCAAAAATTGAGAATCTTTAGTGGATTTATTATTGCCTTTGTCTATTGAATCATTTCTATTGTTTTCTCCTTTTTTAGGACTTGATTTAGGGCTGTTTTCTTAAGTTCTATTTAGGGGAGAGCCTTTAATAATAATACAACAAAAAGAACAATTAATCTATAATTATTAAATTCATATTATATTTACCTGTTCTTTAGTAAAGTTTCTTTAAATTGTCTTGTTTCTTTTTTTTCTCATATTTCAAAATTTCTTAAGCAGCATACTCAAATATATTACCAGTTGGAAGACCATTTTTACAAAGCTACCTTAAGAAATCTTTAATTTAGAATTTAATTAATATGAAATTAAAATAAAGTAAATAAGCTAATAAATATACAATCATAAGCATCAACTAATCCAGTTTCAAATAAAATATTCTATTTTTAAGGTGGCTTTTCTTCTGGAATCGGTACTATTCCCTTTAATTGATTAGACTCTCCTAATAAATGTTTACAATTATTTAATTAATTATATGTTTTCTAGCTGTAAATTTTTTAAAGAGTAATACCTCCTGCAGCAATTCCTGATTTATTCGAAATGCTACTTTTGCTTTTAGATTTTTCGTTTGGAAGTTCTTATTGAGAAATAATAATTGAAGGATTTGAATCTTTGGGTGTATTTGGTTGGTTTAACTACGACTAAGATGTTGCATTCTAATTATTTTTTTGTGACAAAACAACTGAGGGTGTTTAATCGTCATTTTTTTGAGATTTTTAAACTGCAGATGCGTCTACAGATTGTTTTTTCTTATTTCCTTCATCGATACTGCTTTTAGAAGGTTGCTTTTGTTGTTATGCTTCATTTTAAGCTTGATTTTATAAATTTGTTTTTGATTACTATTAAGGCTGATTTGCATTTTATTTCTAATTTAAATCCTTTTAGCTTTTTTATGCGTTTTACCCTTAATCCTTTTAAGGCTAATTATTGGGCTACTCTGCTTTTTTATCTTTGGATTCTGTAACTATTATTTACTCTCCAACCTTAGAAGGTTTCTTTGACATATCTGTTATAAAACTCTAATTTTATTGATGAAATTAAGGAAATAGATATAACTATACACTATATATATATATATAACTATCAATTATAATAAATAAACAAAGAATTTTAATAGAGTATTGGTTGCTAAATTAAAGTAATAATTAATTAATTAATTAACAAATTTTGAAACCCCAAAACTGCAAATTATAATAAATAAGATACATTTGATTTATATATTAAATCATTTACTATGTCTGACCAACAATCATTATAATTTATTTATCACATAAAAAGTGATTTTAAATAACTTACTAAACTTAAATCAATCTAAAATGTTTTTTTTTGTCAAATTTAATAATTAATTTAAATTTATAAAAAAATATTTATTTTTAAAATTAATTTAAAAGAAAACAGTTATAAATCTAAAAAATCAATCAATCAATCAATCAAAATGATTTGAATGCATTCAAGTATAGAAAAATTGAATAATTCTAAATCAATATTAATTTATTTTACATAAATAAAATTTAAAGTTGGCTTAAATCTATTTTTATTTACTTTTAAAAATTATTTTAGTATTAAGCTTCTTATTTTTCAGTTTCTATTTCTTTATTTCTTTATTTATTTTTAATTTTTTAATTTTATTTTTTATTTTTCTGTTATGGATGTTCTTTTTATCTTTCTTTTATTAAGATTTAATTTTTTATTTCAAATTTCAAATTTAATTTATTAATTTCTTTTTATTTCTTTTATCTTTTTTTATCTCTTTCTTTTCTTTTTTTTAAAGCAAGCAAGCAAACTCGAAACTGTGCATTCCTCAAAAGATCTCAATCTAACTGTTCTTCATTTCTTCTTAAAAATATTTTTTTATATATAATTTAACATTTAAAATAGTAGAAAGAAAGGCATTTTGTTTGGCCAGATGACATTTTGAAATACTAATTGCTCTAATAGACTGATATCTTTGATGCGATAAATTTTTTATATGTTAAAAACTATGCTATTTGGCAATAAGACAATTAAAAAATCATCTAAACATTCCCTGATTGATTGTTTACTTAGCTGTGTAGCTAATTAGATGATTCTTTTAATGTTTATTGAAGTTGGAGATTTAAAAACTTTAGGTTTTGCATCATTAAATAGGCAAAAGATATATTTCCATTATTGAGCAACAAATGCAAGAAATAGTATTTTCTACTCTTTTCTTGCTTTTAATTCTTCAATTTCTTAATTGTTTAATTAATTTAATTAATTATTCCAAAAAATGTGTTTGTTTATTTTTCTTTAAGAAATTAATTTTGAATTTAAGTTTAAAAAATTATTAAAAATATCAAACAATAATATTTGTATTTTGGATATTATGTAAATCTTTTTCTTTTCATATTTCAGATTAAGATATGGTATAAATAAAAAATCAAAATAATAAGAAAGAATATCACTAATTTTTATTAGGAATTGTTAATTTCTTTCAAAATATTTAATTTCTTAATTAAGAATAAATATTTTTTCTTTGCTTTAATTAAAAATGAATTGATGATATAAAAAGGTGGGGAAAAATTATAAATAGATTAATTTTCACAAAAAGTGCGTATAAAAGAAAACCAAATAGCTAAGAAAATTATAATTAATTTCTTTGATAAAACAAATCAAGTTCTTTAAAAAAAAAATCTAAAAGAAAACATATTTAAGATGCTTGACTATCTTTATGAAATAATTTGAGGGCTGCCTTATATGGCAGAAAATAAATTTTTGAATCCCAAAATATCGATTAGAAGATATCTCCTTCAAAATAGAAATTCAGCAAGCCCGTGCTGCTTTTCTATTTTATGGATCGCAACGATTTAAATATCGTATAAATAATAAGGAGATATATAAATTTTATTAATTTCTAGATAGTTATTTAAACAATAGTATCCATCATAGTACTAAGCACACTTAAATACTTTGATTTAGATTTAATTCTCTTCCCAAATTTATAAAAAGTATTTTTTTAAAATAGGAAATTAAAAAATTCTACTGAAGACTCTCTGCTGCTCGCTAATAAAACATTCTACAAAATCTCAGACTCGCTATTAAAAAGAAAAAAAAAGAAACAAATAAAAAAGATAAAATATAAATTTAAAAAGCAAAAAGAAAATTAAATCTAAAAAATAAAATCAAATAAATAAATAAAAAAATGATAAATAAATATAAAGTAAATTAGAAAAATAGAAATAATAATTAAAATTAAAAGAAAAAATAATCAAATTAACATTAAATCAGTAAGCCCTACATTTTTAATTTTAGAATCTGCTTTTTGATAACAAAATTTCAATCATCGCTAATTGATTTAATATTTTAAATACCTTAAAATCATTTTATAAGTTAAATATGCATTTTTATATTTTTGAAATGAAATATTTAATAATAATTTTTAATAAATTTTGATTTTAGAGAGCTTTAAAACAAGTATTTTTTTCAATTTGTTTTTCATCAGAACAAATTGATGATGTAATCAACAAAATTGGATTAAAAAAAACATAATTTTATATTTTTATTCTTATCACGTTAGTTTTTGGAAAAAAATAGGAGAAAAAGATAAAGAAAATTGGAATTTTAATGATGAGAAAGTTTTGAAAACTTAATTATAACACTAAAATTTTTTAATTAATCTAGAAAATTTAGATATTTAAATAATTTACGAAATATTAGTAAAGTTTTTAAGTTTATTGCAGAAAATAAATGAATAATTAAAGGAAGAATCGTAGAAATTTAAATGAAAAAAAAGATAGGTTAGATTGTATGAGCATATTTAAAAATTCATTAATTAATAAATCATGTAAACTAATTCTTATTAAAAAAATATATTTAAAAATCAATATTTTTAAAAAGTAATTAATTAGATAAAAAGCTAGTCGTTTAGAGTATATTTGCCATGACGGATACCAAATAAAAGCTAATAGATGATTTCAAGAGCTATGATTTTGCTAATAATAAGGATTTTTAAAAGTTCCTCAAAGAATTGTAGCCTCCTGTTCCTGAATAAGCTATGGAGATGATAAAGAGACATTGGTATAAAAGATTCATCAATCAACAATTCGAACCAAATTATGATGGTACTCTACCTGATTTAGATGATTTAGAAGAAAAAGAAGAAGGACATACTCACAATGGCAAAAAATGTGAAGGCCATCATCATCATAAGGAAGAAAGTAAGTTCAAATCTACTTTAAAGAAAGTAGCTTATTCAGTTGAGAACTATCTGAAAGTAATATTCATGTTGACATTCTTTAATACTAGAGTTGTAGCTCAATATGCTTCTATAATTATTTGTATTTTAGCAATAATTCGTTAATTAAAACGCCCTCGCTATACCAAATAATATGTTTAGCAGTTAGCTTAAAACTAGTTTTCTCAAAATTTGGTTTACATGCTAGTCTTCGCATTTCATAGTGACTCACGTAATGTGTTTTTTTACTTCCCTTTAGCACTGCACTATTGGATTGGAATATGTGAGTATTTAAATATTTCAAAGAATAAATTATACTACAAAGCAGAGAAATTTATTACTTAAACACGTTAAAACAAAGATAGAATTATGCTTTTGAAAAGTTAATACGAAATCGTATATTTGTTAATACTTTTTGTTGAAATCTTTTTCGGACTAAGCAGCATCTTTTTAGTTATTTTCTACTACAATTTCTTGAAAATAAAGTACCTCATAAACACAAACACACAACTTGCCTTCTAAAAAGTAAACAACTCAATCAAGGCCCGTATTTCTAAGCCAGGAGTTCCTAAATTTGTAGGAAAATTATATGCTTAGGTTGAAAGATTATTTTCCTGGTTGGTAAAATACGAAAGTAAAACACCTGATAAAACAAATTAACGTGAAAACAGCTCTCCAAAATAAGAAGTTAAGGAAACTTAAGAAGATAAAAAATAAAATACAAGCGAAACTACAGCAACATCAACCGAAAATAAATCTGAAAATCAAGCCTAAGAATCAGCAAAAACAGAAGAACAAGAAAAAAAAGATTAATGATTTTTTAGACTTTTTTTAAAAGCAATTTTATTTTAAGATCAAAACAATTAATCATTTTATTTTCATTTTAGTTTTATAAAAATTCGTTTTTTAAAAAATGTAATTCTACTTTTATTGTTTTTGTTGAATAAAACCTTTCTCATAAAAAATTCATTTAAAATAGTAACTAAAAGTTCTTTAAACAAAATTTCATAAAAAATTCATTTAAAATAGTAACTAAAAGTTCTTTAAACAAAATTTCATAAAAAATTCATTTAAAATAGTAACTAAAAGTTCTTTTAACCAAATTTCATAAAAAAATAATTTAAAATAGTAACTAAAAGTTCTTTAAACCAAATCTCGTAAAAAATTCATGATTTTTGAATGGTATTTTTCAAGTTTTGATCATTTAAATCTTTTAGGATAATTTATATGGAAAAGCTATTTTAAATTAATTTAAAAGTTATTTTTTATTTTTTTAAATTGATTACATTTAATTTTGTTGAAAATAATTTTTATTAAATGATTTATTTAATGAAATAGATTTTTGCTTTTTATAAAAATAAATATTTTTTTGAAAGCTAATATCTTGCTTAGAATAATTATTGATTATATCATAATTATTTTTTATAACACAAACAAGTTTTAGACATTCATAAATTAAAATTTTAAATTAAATTAGAAAATAATTTCAAAGAAAGGCTTATTAAATTATTGTTATGAAAATAATTTATTAATACATTTCAATTATGATTTTACTTTTAATTTCCATTTTAATAAGAAATTTAATTGAAATTTTATAGAATAAAATAAATTAACAATTAATTTATTAGTTTATTATATAGCTATCACACATAAAAATTTATTATTTATTGCATTAAAAAATGAGTAATAGCTCAGACTTAACACAAGAGATTTAAGAAAATTAAATTCACTAAGCTTTAAGAACTTGCGATATCGCCGAAGTCAAAAAAGCTATCCATTTATAGAAAAACAGAATTAATGAGAAAGATGGAAAGTTAGGTTGGTCTCCTTTGTACAAAGCTGTTTTATAAGGAGACAACTAGATAGTAGAATTTTTATTATAAAATGGAGCAGATCCAAATATTAAAAATAAAGTATTATTTTAGCTACTAACAAAAGAAATAATATATTTTTTTTCAAAAAATAGCTTGAAGATACTCCTCTCCACTTATGCATTGAAAATAATTACTTTGAGATTTTTTCAAATCTACTTAAATACAAAGCTGATCCTAATATAAGAGGACCAGTAAGATAATTCTTTTTTGATGAAGTTTATTATATGTTTTTTTAATTTAGGAAGGAATGTCTCCTCTTCATATTGCTTGCTTTCTTTAAAAAGAATAATTTATACTTAAACTGCTTGCTTTTGGTGCTGACATCGATATTAAAACATCTGTAAATATTATATAAATGGCAAAATTAAATAATATTTTTTATTAACATAGAATGGAATAACTCCTCTCCATATCACCGCAGAATCAAACAACCCTAGAATAATTAAAATATTGTTAGACAGAAACCCTAAAATAAATTCTATGGATAAAGTATCATTTATTTATTTTTATATTATCAAATTTCGCATATTTGATCAAAAATTAATTTAAGATTTTAATTTTTTGAATTCAAATTAATTTAGGATGGTAAAACCGCTATCGATTATTGCACTGATAAAAATTGTAGAGAGATTCTAGAAGAATATGAAAGTAATTGCATGAATCCATTAAATGAATCAATCATTAGCTGCCAAAGTGAAGTTAGCTAAAATAAAAAAGTAGATACAAGTAACATAAGCACATTTAGCAACAAGTCGAAAAAAATAAACTTAATTAACACCTCTCAACTTCGTTAAAATTGGGATTTAAAGATTTAAGGCCTTAAACAAAACATCGATGAAATAAAAGACATAAAGATAGAAGTTAGTAAAACTCTAGAAGAACAAAAAATAAAACAAACTCAACGCAACAAGGTTCTTTCTGAGATAAAAAATAAAAAACATTAACAATAATACTAAAATTACGACTTAAATGACAAAGAAAATTGCTCTTCCATAATTAATTTCATGGTTAATGATAACACTTAATAAATTTATCTTGATGTTGATAATAATATTTAAAATTAAAAGCCTTTCTATTCTTCTAACTACGAACTGCCTTCTATTTAGGTAAGTACAGACTTGGAAAAAGATTAAAATCAATAAAAATATACAAATTATTAAAATGACTTAAAAGCTCAATACAATTAAACATAAGATGATCAATACCTAGATTATTCTAATGAAAATGCAATTAAGTATTAAATCAAAGAAAATAAAACTATTAGTATGTGGTTGAGGGAAATCAATTTAGAGTGTTTGTTGTAGAATTTCTTAGATAACAATGTCTATGATAACTAATCTTTACTTAAATTTTTGAATAATTCAAATAATTGGGATAAACTCTTGGTTACCCTCTTTGGAGTAGATAAATTTGGTCATCGTCTACGTATCATAACGAAACTTCATGAAGGTTAGTTAGTTAGTTAGCTCATATTAAATTTTAATTAATTTAAAAATTATAAATTAAATAGATTGTGGAGTAGAAAAAAGAAGTGGAATTTTTAGTCTTAAATATAATTTAGGAGGTATAGAGCTACCTACAATTTAAGCATGGCTATAATCTTTAAATTTAGATTTATACATAGATTTATTCTTGTTATCTGGTTTTGATGATTTAGAGAGCATGATGTTCTAAATGACAACTAGTAACCCTATAACAGACAATATGTTATTTAAGGAAGTTGGTATCTGTGATCATAACTCTAGGAAAAAAATTTTAGACTCTTTAAGCAGAGGTATATAAAAAAATATATATTTTTATTAATTTTTAACATTTAAAATATTTATTAACTAATATTCTAGATTCTCATAATGCCTAAATGGTTGCAGTGCCAAAAGGATTTTGTGGTGGATTTAATTTTGAAACGAGTTCTAATCCAAATAAATGCGAAAATAAATGTTCTATATTTTGATAAATTACAATTTTTTTAATTAAATTTTATTAATAAGCTATAAATTGCAAGTTTAAAGTTAATTAATATTATAATATATATATAAAATCCTTGTTTGCTTTGAACTTTTTAATGTAAATAAAACTTTAATAAATTTTGATTTTACCTTAAATCTTTGGAATAATAAATTATCTTTTTTTTTATCACTTAACAAACTATGATATTTATATACATATAAATAATAAAAACTGTTAGGCTAAATTATTGTATTACAAAATATTATTTAATAAAATATATTATTTTCTATTATTCAAATATTTTTAAATTAATTCATCTTTTTTTTTTTTCGGCACTTACTTTTTTATCATCATAAGAAAAGTATTATGAAGTCAACTAATCTTAATGATTTAAGGCATATGCTTTTTACTCTTAATTGTTATGATTTATTGATTTAATATTTACTTTTAATATAAATTAATTAGTGTAAGTTATTAAAATAAATTAAATACAATAAAAGTTTTAAATTAAAATATATATTTTAAATTAATAAATAAAAATCTTAATTGAATAAACTATAAAAAGATAATAATTCAAATAAAAAGCTAATTAAAAAAGTTATATTCTTTGAAATTCAATTTTATATTGAACAATATAAGAACATAAACTATTTTTACCTCATAGAAAGTGTCAAATTTAAGAGATTAGTGCACTTTGCTAATCCAGAGCATAAACCTGATGTACCTTGATTGCCTATTTCATTGTAACTTTTAAATATTGAAAATAAAATATATTATTAATTAGTTTGTTGGAAGGAAAAAATGAAGAAAAATATGAAACAATAAAAATAAATTAATTAATTATTATAAAAGCAAAATTTAAAAATGAACAACGAGCTAAAGAAGAAAAAAAACACAAGCAAAATAAAGAAGAAATTAAAATTAATTAAAATAAAAAGTTAATAAATAAATTAAAAGATTTTATTGTTTTAAATTTATTTTTTCATTAAAAATTTGACAATCTAAAACAAATAGAATGCTTTTACTTTAATTTAAGTGTCAAATTTGAGAGATTAGTGCTATTTGATAAACCGTAACCTAAGCATAATGCACCAGTTGCACCAATTCTATTTTCACTTTTTTAATATTAAAGAAAAATAATTAATTAGTGTATTAGAATGAAAAAATGAAGAAAAATATGAAATAATAAGAATTAAATTAATTAATTAATTATAAAAGCAAAAGTGAAAATGAAAACATGAGCTAAATTAATAAACAAAGAAAAAGAATTGCAAGAACAATAAAAAAGAAAAAAAATAATTCCAATAAAAAACTTTTCAATAAATTAATAAAGTATTTTTGTTTTAAATTCATTTTTATAAATAAAAATATATGAATCCAAAATAAATAAACTATTTTTACCTCAGATAAAGTGTCAAATTTGAGAGTTTAGTGCACTTTGCTAAATCTAAACCTAAATTTGATGTACCTTCATCACCAATTTAATTTTCACTTTTTAAATATTGAATAAAAAATAATTAATGAGTTAGAAGGAAAAAATGAAGAAAAAATATGAAACAATTGATTAATAATAAAATTAAAAATTGAAAATGAAAAAATGAGTTAAATTAACTAAAATAGAAGAAAAAAAAGCAAGCAAACTATAAAAAAAAGAAAAAATAAATAAAATATAATAAATAAATTAAAATATTAATATTGTTTTAAATACATTTTTATATTAAAAAATTTCACAATCCAAAATAAATAAACTGCTACCTAATATTAAGTTTCAAACTAGAGAGATTAGTACACTTTGCTAAATTAAAACTTAAGCCTGATGCACCTTCACCACCAATTTCATTCGAACTTTTTAAATATTGAAAAAAAATAATTGATGAGTTAGAAGGAAAAAATGAAGAAAAAATATGAAACAATTAATTAATAATAAAATTAAAAATTGAAAATGAAAAAATGAGTTAAATTAACAGAAAAGAAAAACTCAAGCAAAATAAAGAGTAAAAAAAAAAAAATCAAATATATAAATTAAATGAGTATGAATTCAGTTTTATATTAAAAAATATTACAATTCAAAACAAATAAACTGTTTTTACTTAAGAAAAAGTGTCAAAATTGAAAGATTAGTGCACTTTGCTAAAGCTAAACCTAATCCTAATGCACCTTCATCAGGAATTTAATTTTTACTTTTTAAATATTGAAGAAAAAATAATTAATTAATTAGTTAGTTAGTTAGTTAGAAGGAAAAATGAAGGAAGAATATTAAAAAGAATAAGAAATAATTTGATAAATTTAAGGCAAGTGTTGAAAATAAATAAAAAATTATTTATATCAACAAAGAAACAAAAAGCAAAAAGTAAAAAAGAAAAAGAAAAATAAATAATATCAAATAAAAGCTAATAAATAAATTAAAAGAATTAATTATATTGCTTTAAATTCATTTTTATATTAAAAAATATCACGATCCAAAATAAATAAATTGTATTTACATAAGATCAAGTGTTAAATTTGAGAGATTAATGCACTTTGATAAGCCAAAACCTAAGCCTTATACACCAATTTTGCCAATTTTATTGGAACTATTTTTGAATAGAAGAAAAATATAATTAATCAGTTTATATTAAAAAATATCACAATCGAAAACAAATAAATTATTTTTACTTAAGATAAAGTGTAATATTTGAGAGATTAGTGCACTTTCCTAAATTAAAACCTAATTCTGATACACCTTTATCACCAATTTAATTTTTACTTTTTAAATATTGAAGAAAAAAATATAATTAATTCATTATTAAAAAGGGAAAATGCAAAAATAAAAAGAGTTAGTTATACCGTTTTAAATTCATTTTTATAAAAAAAATATCAAAATCCAAAATTACTTAAGCTTTAGTGTCAAATTTGAGAGACTTGTGTTCTATGCTAAACCAAAACTTAAGCTTGATGAACCTTCATCGCCAATTTTATTTAAACTTTTAAAATATTAAAGAAAAAATATAAATTTAATTAGTTAATATGAAGGAAAAAATTAAAAATTAAAAAATAGATTGATTAATAATAAAATCAAAAGTTATAAATGAATTAAAATTGTTACAATTTTTTTAAATTCATTTTTACTTTAAAAATATTACAATTTAAACAAATAAACTGTTTTTACTTAAGATCAATTATCAAGTTTTAGAGATTAACGCACTATGCTAAAGCAGAACCTAAGCTTGATGCACCGATTGCACCAATTTAATTTTCACTTTTTAAATATTGAAGATAAAATAGATAATTAATTAGTTAGTTTGATGGAATAAATGAATAAGAAATATGAAATATTAAGAAATAAATAAATTAATTATAAAACAAAAGTTGAAAATTAAAAGATGAGTTAAATTAGCAAAGAAAGAAAGATTTTTACGTAAGACAAAGTGACAAATTTGAGAGATTAATGCACTTTGCCAAACCATAACTCAAACCTGATGAACCTTCATCGCCAATATAATTGTAACTTTTAAATATTGAAGAAAAAATAATTAATTAGTTAATTAGAAGGAAAAAATGAAGGAAAATATGAAATAATATTAAATGATATTATAATAAAGTAAAAATTAGAAAATGAAAAAATTTACAAAAAATGAAAGAAAAAAAACAAAATGAGTAATATATATTTTTTAAAATTGATTTTTACTTTAAAAAATATTACAATACAAAATTAAATAACTATTTTTACAAAAGATCAAGTGTCAAACTTGAGAGATTAGTGCATTTTGCTAAATCAGAACCTAAGCCTGATGCCTCTTTATCACTCATTAATTTGAATCTTTTTAAATATTGAAGAAAGAATATGATATTTAGTAAGTTAGAAGGAAAAAATGAATAAAAAATACGAAATAATAAAAAATAAATAATTATTTTACAAAATAAAAATAGAAAGTTAAAATTAAGTTAAAAAAATAAAAAATATTTGGATGAATGAAATGAATGAGTAAATATAAGAATTTCTTTTAGAAAAATATTATTAATAATAACTTGAAAATATAAAAATTATTAATAATAATACATTAATAAATTAAATATACCTCAGAACAAGATCAAGAATCTAATGAGATTAAAATGAAGAATTTTAAAACTTTTTTATTAATAAAAATAAATTTAAAGAATATCCATAAAAAAATAAATAACTACTTCTTGTATATTTTTAAAACATGTTTTCTATTATGTCATTTTTTTTCTTCAAAGACAATTTAATAGTAATTTTTGGAAATTGAATTAATTAATAATAGGTATATAAAATATTTAATTTAGTTTTATTTCAAATTAATTTGTATAAAAAGAATCAATAAATTAAAATAATTTTCAAATATGAATTTATAAATTTGATTTTATAAAAAATATCACAAAAAAGTTTGTGTAACTAACAATCATTGTTAAATCTTAATATTTCTATTGAAAATATAAACTTAAAAATATAGTATGATTTTGAGATGGAAGTCATATATTGAAAATATTCTATTAATTACAATATTTATGTTTAATAAATAATTTTTATTAAGTAGATTTGTTTGTTTTAGTTCTGTAATGAGGGAGATATTTATATGTATTAAAATATGTTTAAAATATTATAATCTTTCTTATAATTTTAACTATTCTCAAATCCTATTAGTTTTTTTTGAAATACATATAATTTAGGTTGTCTGAACCAAATAAGCTCATTTATAAATATAATTAAATACACTTTTAATAAATAGATTATGCATTTTTGTTTTTTTGTTAATTAAGATAATTTTTTTAAAATAAACTAAATATCAATCATAAATTAGGATATTTATTAGCTAACATAAAAAATTTAATAGTCAATACATTTAATGAATTTATTCATTTTCAGAATGTAAATAGGAAATTGGAGGTGGGATTAACCCTGGACTGGACCTGAGATTAATTTTTTAACATGAATTGCAACACATATTTTCCTTATTTTAAAAATCATTTTTTTATTATTAATTAGTAATACAAATAAATAGTTTTACAGATAATTATATTAAATTTTAAAAGCCTTTAGTTATTAACACTAAAATATTAAATTTTTTATTTAATATTCTAAATTTGAGCGCTATTTTTAAAATTGTGTGCATGCATTTGATTGAATGGAAAATATAGTTTTTAAACAATATATTAATAATTATAAAGAGGGAACGAATAGATAAAAATTGTTTGCAAATCTAATTATTTATTTATTAATTAATTAATTTTGTAATTATTTAGTATCTATCAATTTAATATATTAATTAGTAATAATTTAAAAGCATTAAGTAATGAATCAGTACAAAGAATTTTCTAACTAAAACTATATAGTAAACAAATTAAATAGATAGCATAGCATGATTTGATTTTAAATTAGCCTTATTATTTTCTTAACAAAATAGGAATTAAGATTTTCAAATAAAAATGCGAGAGAGCTCAGCTAAGATGAGGCTATGATTAGATATAAAAGAAATGTAAATCATAATTGATTAATAATATAGAATGTGCAATATTTATAATAAATAATTAAGAACTACATTCTTGGCCGCATATTTAGTTATGACATTGACTCTGATGGATATTCGGAGGCTGTAAACTTTGATTCTCATTCATTAAAAAATGTTTCAGAAGGTAAAAATAAATAAAAAAATATATTTTAGCTTATTGAAAATGTAAACATGTCAAAACATTTAAATAAATAAATAAATTAAAATAGAATAAGTTGAAACAGTATAAAAAGAATTAGAGGAAGTAAAAGAAAGACATAGAGAAAGTTTTGAAGAATTCAAAATAAAGCAACAATAATTTAAAAAATATTTAGAATAGTAAATTGTTTTATTTGAATTGAATTGAATTTAAAATATTAGTTTAGAAGTGTTTGTTTTAATTACTTAGATTAAACTCACTAAAAAATAGGGCTCACCACTTTAAAGATAATGAAGGAATGGATGATTTTATTTAGGAGTTGATGGATAAATAATTATTAAATATAGATCATCCCTTTTTCAAAAAAAATTCACCCTTTTACTTGTAAACTGATAATAAATTTGTAAAAGAAGTAACACTTCCTGAACATAAAAGCGCATTTAGAGAAACTCTCGATGAAACATAGTTTGCAAAATTTGAATGATAAAATGAATAAATAATCAATCATTTTTATAATAGTTTAGATGTACCAATTATATATTTATATTTCATTGTTATATTTTATTATTTATCTTTAATTGATATGAGTAAATTTACTTTAAATTTCAATCATTTGTTTCAACTAAACAAAATTCATTTCAAATTAAACAATTCTAATCATTTTTATATAAAATGTTTTGCTATAGAAATAAATACATAAATAAAATATTTATTTTATATTTTTCATAAATTTAAAATTTCTTGGTTTATTTTGAAAAAGAGAATTATTTTTAATTGTTTCTTTAGATTATTTACATAGATAGGTATTTATTTGGTTTATAGTCAACTATTGGCAAGCTAAATTTTCTTAATTTTCTATTCTCAAGATTTCTTAAATTTTAATTTGATTATAAATATTCTTATTAAATTTAGCTAGTATTTGTAATAGTAGTAGTATTTGAAGTAGTAAATTTATATATAATTTTTTTATTGTTAGTAAGTAAGTATATATACTTTTAAGCCAAAATCTGTTTCAAATTCCAAACTTTTGTCAGTTAAATTTTAATTAGATCAAAGTATTTGGCTATTTAGTTTACTCTTTTTTAATAAACTTTAAATAGTTAGCTCATTTTCTAATTGGCGGCTTTTGTATTAAAACTCAATATATTTAGTATTTTGATTAAGAAATAACTAGTCTTGGGTCCATGTATATTTTTTATCGTCAGAATTGATAATCTCTTAGCTTCCTTTATCTTAGAATATAAAAAGCAGCGACTAAGAGAAAGTTGTAGGTTGCAAATAAGGACTTTTAATTTAGTAAATAATTAATTTGAAATCTTTTTTAAATTATTTTACTTTTGATATTCTATCAGCTCTCTGTCGAAATTCTTATTATCAAGTATATGGATTTTGACCTTTCCCATTATATCTACAAGAAAGCACTATTTGTTTAACAAAAAATGAATAAATAGTAAATAATGAAAAAAAATTTATACTTTAATTGAAGTAGATTAGTTTATCATAGATCCTTCTATGATTTTTTTTGCGTTGGAGTAGCTATTAAATTCTAATAGACATATATTTGAAATACCATTTTATATAGGATTTAATAGCGATAAATCCCTAAAATAGTACATTTATTTGACTTCTATTGAATTTATAAGAAAATATAATATATTATTTATTTAATTTGAGATTATTATTAATTAAAATACTCTTTATTTTTGGAAATATGTTGTTTATATCGTTGTTAGTGATACATTCTTTGCTTGAATTATAGAGAAGAATGAATTTTAGATACACTTTCCCTGTTGGTACCAGTTGTTTTTCAAGTGTGCAAATGAGATTTTCATAAGTCTTTAAGTCGCCTTAGTAGTTTTCTTTTTCTTTTAGCAGCAATTCTAATGCTAATTGTGTCTTACCTTGCTTGTGGTAAACTGTAGCAAGATCTTTAAGAGCAGAGTCTCTTTTCTAATTAAACTCTAGACACTTAGTGTAATAATAAACTGCCTTATCTAAATCCTAATCATTCAGCTCACACTTCTTAGCTTCTAAGTAAAGATTGATGTTCTCGCTAGGATATTAGCAGGCATTGCCACTCTAATTATTTTGGTCTTTCTTGCTAAGATCTACCACTTCTTTAGGAGAAAGATTGGCCTTTTCATTAAATTCATTTGATAGTTGGCTGCTAAATAGATTGGTTGGGTTTATCTCAAGAAGTCCTTACATAGTTGCCTGACAAATAGGATTTATCTTCATCCTAATAGGAGTTTTATGAATCTAAGTCATAGAAGTATAAATATTTTCGTCTTGTTAAAAATCTTCTAACTCAGTATGAGCAGTATGTTCATTAACCAACCTGTCTTGTTTGATATAAGATGGATGCACAAATCCAGAGTATTTTATAGGATATCTAAAATTTTAGCATGTCTGAGAAGGACTTTTGTTCCCTTAGCTCATATATTAGTGGGTGATTTCTCTAAAGTAATTACTATACATTCCTCTACACCAATCCTGTAATTATTTATTTTTTATTTTTTATTATTTAATAATTTTCAATATTAAAATGATACAAATAATTTGTTGAAAATATTTAATATGTGATTATATGGTGAATCTAAAATTTCGAATTCAATATGAGTAAGTAACAAACAACCCTATATATACATTCATAAGAATACATTAATAAATAGATAGACGAATAATTTCTTACTAAAAATTAGTTAAACAAAATAATCATTTTTGATAATAAAGGAATGTATCTTCTTTTATTATTTTTTTGTTATTAGCTTGCTAAGTAGAACTATTTCAATTTTTTCTTTTTACTTTCAAAAGAGTTTTTACATAAGTTTTATTAAAATAATTTATTCTTTAAAATGTTTAATATTAAAAAAATGTATTCATTATTATTTTTAAGTTATTCTTAAAATTGTTTTATGATTATTTTTTTTACACTTTAAATGGGTGTGAACTTCTAACATTTGATAAGAATTTGGAAACCTTTTTTGATTCTTAAAATTGATAAATTATTTTTGTTTTTAATGAAATAAATGTAAATAATAGTTAAAATATTTAAAGACTTTTATTCAATATAAAATAGAAAAAAAAAGCAAATTTAATTTCTATTTTTTAGTGATGATTTTTTTAAAAGATGAAATGAAAATTCAAGAAATTAAGAAACATAAAAATGATTATTAAATTTTTATTTATTTCTTTGAATTGCTGTTTAATATGTAAATTCGAACTAATCATAATAAATTACTTAAATTAACATAATATTTTATTGAATTAATATAAAATTTTAATTTCTAAAAATATAAATTAGTCCAATAGTTTAATCCTTTTACCCAATATATTTTTTTATGGAAAAAATTTAATTTATTTATGGTTATTATTAATTTGTTAAATAAAAGAATCTTTTTAAATTGATAAAAAGCTCTATATAATATGAATAATGAAAAACTATTTATCAATCAATCGAATAATAGGTAAAGAAGATGATTGCAATTAATATTGCTGCTTGATTTTAAAAATAGATTTTAAATACCACATTCTTTCTTATAATCTTGAGGAATCAACAAACAAATACTTCTTTTTAACTAAATTTTTAATATTTATTGATATTTATTTTTATTCATATTATTTTCATGAATTTAATTATTTTATCCTTGTTCAAACTGAAATTAATTAGCTCTTTTGTTGTTGATTAGGAAAGTTTTACAAATCATTAATAAGGGTTTATAAGCTTAAATGAAGGTCTTTGAAATATTCTATAAGTAACTCTTTAAGATCTTCAGTCAAAGTTTCTTTTATTAATACGTCATGAATTAAGTTAAAATCACAATTATCTTATTTGAGATCTTTTGAAATTTACAGTAAATTTTCATAGTCTTCGTTATGATAAGAGTAATAAATAATTATAAATGCCTCATTAAAAATTAATTCGTTTAATTACTTGAAAAATTCATAAACTTGATCATTTAGCCAATCTAAGCTATCTTCTATTTTAAATATATTTTTTAAATAATTAAAATAATCTATCATTTATTCTTTTGTAAGCACTTAGCATGAAATTGTTTAATGATTTCTGCATAAGTACCCTTCAGTGAACATGACATTCTATAATACAGAAATAAAATTCTCATTTTAAAAGATATTTAAAATTTAATATTTTTCATCAATATCATCAATCATTTCAAAATCATCAGGCAAATCAGGTTCTTGAATGGCTTTAGGAGGTCTTCCTTTTGGGGGTTTTTTTTCATTTGATTTATTTTAATTACAAGATTTTATAGTTTTCTACAAAGCTTCTTTAGTTTCTTAATCATGAGCTAATTTCATATGTGTTTTGAGAGAAGATATTGAGGAGCATTTTCTATTGCATTGTTTGCATATGGGCTTTTCAGTAACTTATTAATTCTCTTAGATTGAATGATGAGAAAATTTAATATGAGTATATAAGGCAGGAAATGAAGCGTATTTCTTATCTTTGCACATTGGGCATACAATTTATTTTTCATCTTTTAACTCACTTACGCTTCTTCTTTTAGTCTTTTTGATGGTAAATATGTTTTATTTTTCCTTGCTCAAACTATCAGAAGATTCAACAGAATCTGTTTGGTGAATTTTTTGATTTTAATTTGAGTTCTTTGTTTATTTTACCATTTTTATCTATAATTTTAAAGAAGTAGTTTGGCAAATTAGTTAATCAATTATTAAATATTGCAATCTAGAAAATATATCAAACAAAAAGTTATCATAATCTTATCTATCTATCAATCTATCTATACTTCAAACCTTTTATATTTCACAAAGGAACTTTTTATACGAGTAAATAAAAATCTTATATAAAATTTAATAATATTTTTCTATTTTAAGTAGATTAAAGATCCCTGATGAGATCAACCTGATTAGCAAAATACCTCCTTAGTGATAGTTATTCTAATAAAATTTATTTTCTTGCTAACAAATTCTTTGTTGTTTATTTGATGAAAGTTAATAAATTACAAAAAGCAAATAAGTTTTTCATTTAACTTATTCAAAATAAACTAATAAAAAGCCCATATTAAATTATTTTATTATTTTAAGAAATAATTTCTAAATTCAATTTTAGATTTTTATTTTATAAATTTATTTTCTTGAATTTAATATTTATATATTTTATGGGCTTTTTTTGTTTAGCTTTTAAATAAATAATATTTATAATATTAAATATAATTTGATTAAACATAGATTCATTTAAAGAAATCAAATTCATTAAATTTATTTTATAATTAATAAAAAATAATTTCCTTCAACTTACTTTGAAAACCAAAATTATTTATTTGTTTATTTATTTTTTAAAAAAAATAATTTTTGGAATTAATCAATTTTTTAATAAATTTAATACTAAAATATTAAATATTTTTTTTCTGATGTTCAAAATAATTTTTATTTAGATTAAAACGGCTAGAAATTATATTTAAATTTATCAACTTAAACTCTTAAAATGTATTTATATGAATGAAAATTGTATTATTATTATTTTAAGAAACAATCTCTAAATTAAATTATATTTTAGGTTTTATTTTTATTTTAAAAATTTATTTTCTTGAATTTAATATTTAAATATTTTATGAGTTTTTTTTGTTTAGCTTTTAAATAAATAATATTTATAATATTAAATATAATTTGATTTATAATAGATAGATTCACTTAAGAAATCAAATTCATTTTATAATTAATCAAAAATAATTTCATTCAACTTACTTTGAAAACCAAAATTATTTATTTTTTTATTTTTTTTAAAAAATATTTTTTTGAATTAATCAATTTTTTTTTCTGATTTTCAAAATAATTTTTATTTAGATTAAAACGGCTAGAAATTATATTTAAATTTATCAACTTAAAATGTATTTATATGAATGAAAATTGTGTTTTTAATCTTTCTAATAAAAAGTGTATTAATACTTTAATTTAAATATAATTACATTATTTAATTTTGAAAAGATATTTTTTTTTAAATGATTGTTTTTTGATAAGCAAATATTAATAAAATCTTTGAATATTAAAGCAAATAGATAGGGATGTATGTATATGTATGTATAGTAATCATTTTATTATTTAAGGCTTATTTTAAATGGATTAAACATTTAGTTATGATAGAAATGTATTAATATATCATAATCCTACTTGTTTTGATATTATCCAAACCAATAACTCATTATTTGTTGCAGTTGCATGGCTCATAGGTATCTTTTCTAATTACTAATCCACATTCAGGACAAGTATATACTTTATCTTTGCATCTATTACAGCAAAAAGGAATTAGACCAGGAATTACTGCTACACAACACCAAATAAAACAACAAAGATAAGTACCAGTTCCTGTTTTGTAAGTAAGAACTGGAGCATTCTCCTCTTTTTTACAATGGGAGCAATAAGCGGAAACAGGCTGATAATCTTTATGATTATCATGTCTTGCGGTTTAGATTTCAGGAGCTTTTAGACTGTTATTAGGTTATGGTTCAGACATTTATTTAGGTTTGTTTTGACTTAGTTAGATATTATTAGTGTTCTGATGTAATAATTAATTTTTTTTACTTTATAAAAATCTGGTTTTAGACAAATAAACACATAAATAAATAAGCATTTCAAACTGTTTTTAAAAAGTAAATCTGATTAAAAACGGATATTAATGTCTATTCATTAGAATAGTATTCTTTATTTATTGTAAAAATTTTTATATTTCTTTCTAAAATATTTAAAATTTAAAAATTTACTATTTTATAATTTAAATATCAAATTTAAACATTTAAAAGCCTATTCATTACCTTCAATAGTAATTATTAAGATTTTATTAACGTGTCTTTAATGAATCTATTTTAATATTAAGCGTTAGAGCATATTTTATATTGGTTTTTTTTTGTACCTAATCTTTTTTATTTTTTATTTAAAATATTTTAACTAATAAAATTTAGAAATTTATTTATTAAGTTTATAATTTAAAATTTAATTGAAACAATTTATAATTATACAATTTATAATAAAGTATAGAAAATATATGCTCATAAAATATAATTATCCTCTAAAGTTAAGATTAATTATTAATTAGATAAATGGTTTATAAATATTAAAATTCATCAATAATTAAATTTTTGATAAATACATGTTCCTGCATTTGAAATATCCCTAATCTTTAATTATATCATTATTAATTAGTAATATTTCATAAAATTATTATAATATTAATTAAAATTTTTATGTTTTATATCTTAATTATTCATTTTCTAAATATTAATTTTTAAAAGTTTTCTAAAATTAACTAAAATACAAACCATATTTATCCATTTAAATCCTTGTATAATCTAAAAAATTTTTTAATTTAGATAAATTAGAGTCTATATTTAACCATGATATTATATTTTAATAAAAAATTATTATTGAAAAAATCAATTTTATTTACTTTATTTTTTAAATTATAAGATAAAATGTTTTCAATAATGTTGAAAAATAAAATTGGATAATTTAAATTAATTAATTTATTTCAAATTGTTTATTGGAAGAAATAGAAATAAAATTTAAAATATTGAAATTTACTATTATTGGTGGAGGTGTGAACTTCTTATAAAAGAATATATGTATGTGCTTTGTTAATAAATCTACTCTCTTTTAAATTATCAATATAAATTTACTTATTTTAATTTTATTTGCTTTTTAGCTTAAATTGTTCATGAAGTTATTTAATTGTAAAATAAATTAGTTTTTAAAATTTATTTATAACACATGCAAATCAAATGAATAAACTGAGAATTTATATATATTACAATAAATAATAGAATTGGATAGAGGTGGATATATAGATATATAGATAGATATATGGATGAATTTGTATTAATTGTTTAGAGAAGTTAAGATATTTTGTATTGCAGACCTGCTTTTTATTTATTTATTTATTATACTAAATGTTGGTAATTCCTAATTAATTTTTATATTTATTTGAGTTACTTTTTGAACTAGGAAATTAAGAATTGTATTACAATTATTTGTAAATAATTTTGGTAGGTTTTGGCTTACTTAAAATATTTACAAATAATTTATAAATTTCAATCATCATTGACTTTGAACTTTTTTAAAATTTTTATGCTATTTATCAAGCTCTATGTTTTAGAAGGTATTTGCTTATTCTATACTGTCTCAGATTCTAAGGAATTTAAAGAAGATTCAGCAGGGTTTTTAAAGTTTTAAGAAGATAACTAAGGAGGTTTTTTTATAATTTTCTTGGTTTCATTTCTTTTTTTCCAATTTAAAGTAACTTAGCTTTCATCTACAAACTTAATATTTTCCATTTACTAAGCTTCTTTATCAAGATATACACAAATTTAGATATACTTTTTTTTGATATCCAAAAATCTTCTGCTTTCAGCTACTTCTAGATTATCAAAATCATCATTAAATTCAAATCTAATAACATAATGGATAGTGTTTTCTGTAAAAGTTTAAATGCCTTTTTTGACAACATAAAAATCCTTGAGACTGTGTAAATATCTGCCTTCAAGATGTCCTCTAAAGAATATGTTTTTATATTCTACATAAATAAGATCTTCGTTTTTATTTATCCTCAATTTTTCTTTCTTAGCAACGATGAGCATGATCATTCCGCTAATAAGTGTTAATAAACTAATAATCATCTTTGTAAAATATGTCAAGCCATCTATTTCATCAAGAAAAATATGCTTGTGCATCATTACTAACCCAATTATAGTAATTCCAATAACACTAAAAAGAAAACCTAAAGACCACAATCCAAGTGGAAACCTTTAGCAAACTAAAAAGGAAGCTTTATTTAAATCCTTAATAGTCTAAGCTTAAAACTAACGCCAAAAAGTTTACTTTTCATTCTTTCCGCATTCAAGTTTTTTCTTAGCCATCATCAGCATAAAAACTTTGCCAATTATCATCTTGTTTTAAATACTATGTGCTAACTATTCTATTAAAAAATTGTATTTTGTTTGCTTTAAAATTTATGTATTCTTTTACTTAATTATTATCTGACTGTAAAAAGTAATTAATTGTTTAGTGCTTTTAATGCTCCTTTTAAAAATCAAATAGAACATTAAATTTGTTTTGAAAAATAGAACATTTGCTTAAATTTCTACAGAAAAATAAGTGATGTGTCATTATTATATAAAATATGAATGAATGCTTGAGACATTTTTATAAATTTTAAACTGCATTCAAATGTACAAAAAGATGCATCTTATATGATGCAAATGTAAGTTATAATTTATAGTACTTTTGATAAAATATAATTTATATTTACTAAAAATGATAAAAATAGTTATTAAAAATTCAATGTCTGAAATAAAAACTATTCATTACAAAATTTTTTTTAGTTATAGAAAAAATAAATTTAATATCAGCATTAAAAAGTTATATTGGAACTTTGTAAAGCCATCTAAATTTCTAATAAATAAATAAATAACTCCATCTGATAATCTAATGGACTACTTATTAAAAAATGGTATCTATTTGGTATACACATAATAAACTAAAGTACCATATCTTTTAAATATTACTAATTTGTAAATGAGTTTTCATGACTAGTTTACAATAATTAAATTATTATATTTATATTACGTATTAATATTACTATAAATAAAAATTCCTTCATATTTTGATTGTATTCATTCTAACTAATTAATGCAATAATTAATTAATTAATAATTAAGCATATTTTTATTTAATAAGCTTGATAAAAGTTTTGCTTTAAAATTATTTTATCAATAGCAACCTTCACTTTTGACAAAAAATTTAATCTTTGATATTTATTTTAAATAAAAATATAGCTACCTTAAGTACTCTTCTATAATGAGAGTCTAAAAATAAATAAATTGTTTCTAAATTTTACTTTTGAAATTTTTTCCACCTTATTCTCAAATTATTCTTATAGACGATTATAGACGAGAGCCTACAGTAAATAATTTAGAATAAATATTACTATAAATGAATATAATTTAGATAAATACTAAAATTTATTTCATTCTAATATACACAATTTTTAATAAAGTAAATTTCGTATAAATAAATTTATTAATATTATTTTTCAAATTATCAGCTTTTCTTTCATAGCTTTAAAATAAAATTGATGCTATTAGAATTTTTTATAATTATGATTGAAAAAATAAGGTCTTAATTAGCTAAATTTATTTGAATGAAAACAAACTATTATTAAAAATATTATTTTAAGAAAGTCAAATATTAATTTTTTTAACTTTTAAGGTGTTTTAACAAGCAAAAAAAATTTATAATAAAGATATTTCTCTTAATAAAATATATTAAATGCAAACATTGATTAAATATTTATGAAAGGTTGAGTAAAAAAGTACCTTTTAAATTTAGTTTTGGTTAGTATATTTAAAGTCTTTTATTGGATAAAGATTTTATGAAAGTTATTAGAATTTGAAAGCTGATATGATAAAAAATATTGTGCAAATACTTTCTGATATTGTTTCTTTGTAAGATATTTTTAATTAATTTTTTGATTGATTAATTAATTATTCATAAGATATTTATATTAAAAGGAGATATTTATAAAATGGAAATAGAGGCTTAAAGGTCTGACAGAAGCTTGAAGCTAATTTATGGTGAAGAAGTTTACAATAAAATTATCTAATCAAATGTTTTAATTGGAGGAGCAGGTGGTGTTGGATGTGAAATAATTAAATCATTAAGTAAAACAGGATTTAGGAAATTTACAATGATCGATTTAGATACAATAGAGCTAACCAATTTAAATAGGCAATTCTATTTCAGAAAACATCATGTAGGAAAAGCTAAATCTGCTTGCGCTAAAGAAGGAGTACTATTAATTGAACCAAATATCTTGTAAGTAGATGCTATTTTAGGAAATATTTATGATCCAAAGTTTGATGATTTATTTTATAAATAATTTGATATTGCATTTTGTGCTTTTGATAACTAAGGAGCTAGAAGGCACTTTGGTAAGATGTGTACAGTGAATAACATTCCTATGGTAGAGGCTGGAACTTCTGCATTTAATGGTAATAATTAATTTTAACAATAAATTGAAAATTATTGTATTTTTCAAAGTCTACTCAATATTTTAACCCTTAAAAATTTAAAGAATATATTTTTCAAGTAAATTAGGAGTAAAATATAATTTTATTGCTTTGAAAATTTCAAATAAAATAAGAATTTTAATGTTTTAAAAAATTTATTCAAACAGGATAGACATAGACTAGAATAAAAGATTTATTTGAATGCAGAAATTGCACTCCAGAAGTCAAACAATAAACTAGCTTTAATGTTTGCTCAATTAGAACTAGACCTTCTGAACCTATTCACTGCATAGTTTGGGCTTCTAATATGTTTAATTTGATATTTGGGAACCAAGATGATTCAAATTTGTTGGAAAACTATATTTAAGATATTTTCAAAGAGGGAATCAAGAATGTCTAAGACCCAAAAGAAAAAGCTCTTCAGTTATTTGAAAAGATTTTCAACGAAGACATTTAAAAATGTGATGAAAAAGAAAGATTCCCAATTTCTTTTGAGCAATCTTTATAAATTGACAACAAAGAAGATGCTGTTTACTTTGATGAAAGAAATAATCGCAAATTGTTAGAAGACGAAAAAATCTTCACTATTAAGGAGTATGCACAGAAATTTATTTAAGCGTTTTTAGATGTATTTCATCATAGAAAAGAAGCTTTAGGAGAACTAAAATTTGATAAAGATGATTAACTGGCTTTGAAATTTGTCGCTGCAATCACTAATTTGCGTACATTTAATTTCCTTAATAAGGAAAATGAAAAGAATAAGTTGAGATATCTCTCAGAGCATAAAATAAAATAAATGGTTGGAAATATTATCCCTGCAATAGGTATTTATTTAATTTAAAAATATAAATAAATTATTAAATATCAATTAAACTATAGCATCAACAAACGCTATCGTTTCTGCTATCCAAGTAAATGAAGCAATTAAAATAATGAAAGGTTATGCCAAAACTAAGCCTTAACTATTCAGCGAGTATTTAGTCCAAAATGGTGATCAAAGCAAAATAACTCCAGCACAGTTATCTGTAAATTATCCATATTAAATAAGCACATTTTTTTAAACTATAAATTTAATTTAAAAGCTTCCACAATTATCTTGTCCTGTTTGCTCTCCAGCTAATTGCTACATAAACATAAAAGCAAATTGCACTCAAATAACTTTTGGATAGCTCAAATAAATTTTTGAAGAATAGTACTTAGCATATAATTAAATTATCAAAATAGATGATAAAGTATATTATGACCCTCATTAGATTAGTTTGAGAAAGATATTTGACAACTTACTACTAAAGAAAATTAGCGAACTTCCAAATTATAATTAAGACTACACTAAATTTAAGCTATTTAGCATTGATAATTAGATCACTTGGGAGTTCAATTTAATGCATGATAGCTCTTTATAAGGATAACAAGTAGTTTGTGATCAAAATAGTGACCCTACTAGAATAAAGTAGCAACAAATTCAATATATAAAACTAAAGCATGAGCAAACTTTTAAAGAAAAAATAGATATATTTAAGAGATATAAGTATATTTGAATTCATTCAAAAAGCAAACACTAATTACTTTATATTTTTTCAATTAAAAAGTATTTTTAAATTTAAATAGTTTTATTAGTAAATAAAATCGTATTAATTTCAATTGTAAACAATATCCTCTATATATTTATTGATAATTTTATTAAATTAAAAATTTTTAATAAAATTCATTTTAATCTCAGCTTTTTTATTTTTTAAGTAAACATTTTTACTAATATTTGAGATAAATGGGTTAAATTAAAATATTGTTGTGACTAATATTATGAATCAATAAGGAGCTATTTAATAGTTAATTTAGTATCAGTTAATGTTTGAAAATGGTTTTTTAAATTATTGAAAATATTTGATGAAAACTGACAGAATTACTAATTTAATAAAAGTTTATTTATTTTTGTTTTATTCTGTTCTGTGATATTACTTTTTATTAATACAATTAATTGGAAAAGAGAGAAGAATATGAAATAAATTTGTATTATCCTTTAAGCGAGTATCTTATTTATTTTTATAAAGATAAATTAAAATTTTTATATTATTGGATTAAGAACTTTAATCAAACAAATTAAATATAAAATAATCAAACTTTTTTGATGATAATTTGAAATATTATTTAGTAAAAAAATTGATGAAACTGATAGAATTATTAATTTAAGACAAGTATATATTTATGAATGTATTTATTTATTTTATTTGCAATATTATTATTTAGATTTATTTATTTATAAACATAAATGGAATAGTAAATATTAAATAAATTTCTCTTTAAATTTGGAAATTTATTAGTTGATTTATTTATTTGGTTATAGTATAAATATTTATTTATTTAACGATTTTGTTTGTTTGTTTATTTATTTATTTTTAGTTAGTTACTATTTTTATACCTTAATTAATTAAGATTATTTTAAAATTTAATTTAGTTATTACAGATAAATAACCTTTAGGAAAATGCTACTTATTTATTAATTTCTATTTATTTTTCAATAAGGGTAGATTTCTTATTTAGATGCATCGTAGAAAATCTTTTCATCATCTTGTAATTCTATAATGGCTCTGTCTAAAATAGGCGAACTGGTAATAATCTTAGACAAGTCTTAATTACCTTAAATGTGTTTCCATAATTGATCCTTGGTAATACTTTTATCCTTAGCAAGCTTAGATACTATTTTGAAGATAGCCTTTTTCTATTCATCAGTAATTTTAATTGAAGCAATTATTTATTAGCTGAAAACCTTATCAACATCATCATCGTCATCGATTCTTATTTTCTTCATTTGATTTTTGATTTCTCTTTTATCTTGTTTTTCCTTTAAGGGGGTAGTAGATTTTTATGCTTGTTATTCAGCAGCAATAGCTTTAGAAGCACTTCTGCTTTCTCTTTTGTTTTCAGTGACCTGGACTGGAGGTTGAACAGTTGTGTTAGTCTACTTTTTAACTGATTTTGGTTAGGTTTCCTTTTTATTGCCATTTTGTCTTCTATCTTATTTGTAATCTTCGTCTTCTTCATAAAATTCTTCTTCCTCAGGTCTAATTGCATCTTCTTTATTGAAAAGAGCATAGTTAAGAAGAGAAGTAGCAAGTCTGCAATCAGAAATTTCAATATTTTTAGATAAACGAAGTTTAGCAGATGCAGTTGCCAATCTGATAACAGTTTCAAGAGTTCTTGTTGTTACTGGAAGAACCTTAACACCACCGTTAGTAGTAGAATCCTAGAAGTTCTTTTATCTCAATTAATTGTAATACAAGTTAATATATTCGATGGACTCATCAGATAATTTGGGAGAGTTAAATGTCTTTTTGGCATAAGCAATGTATTTTTTTAAGAAATTTTAGTTTAATATTTCTTTCTTTTTATCTCCATGTAAAACTTTGTTATATTTTTCAAAGATAGCTTTGTTTTCGTTGGCGTCTCCTGCTACAGTGGGTTCTATTATGTATTCATCATTTTCGTCACCTTAGAATTGGGATAGCTAGTTTATAATTTCGTAGTTTTCGGGACGATAACGATGGTTACGAGTAACACGTTCAGCAATAAGACGATCAATATCGGGATCCTTTTCATCAAGGACGATGAATAACAAATCAAAACGAGAAAGAAGAGAATCAGGTAAACCAATATTCTTAGTGGGAGTCTAGTCTCTATGATATTCTCCGTAAATGGGATTAGCAGCAGCAAGGACAGAACAACGAGCATTTAAACTGCAGTGAATACCTGCTTTTGCAATAGTAACAGTTTATTATTCCATAACTTCGTGGATAGCAACTCTATCTTCTTCACTCATCTTATCAAATTCATCAATACAGACAACACCCTTATCAGCTAACACCATTGCACCAGCTTCCAAATGTCTTTCGCCTATTTACAAAAATAATTTATTAACAAAAATATATTTTTGATTGATAATTTTTAAATAGAATTTTTTTGCAAATTTTTTTGAATCTTTGCTTTTTCCTTTTTATTCTATTTTAGATTTTTGATAAGAAATTTAAAGATGAATATATACCTGTTTCTCTATCGGTTTTAACAGCAGCAGTAAGACCAACACCTGAAGAACCACGACCAGTAGTGTTTAAAGCTAATGGGGCAGTAGCAAGCATGTAACGAAGAACTTGGGATTTTGCAGTTGAAGGATCACCAATCATCATGATATTTATATCACCTCTTAAGTGAGTACCTTGTCCAACAGTTTTTTCAGTACCACCAAGTAATTAGAGCAACAATGCCTTTTTGATTTATTGGTGTCCATAAATAGAAGGAGCAATTGAGTTAACAAAAATATCAACGAGATCTTTTCTCTTTGAGATTTTCTTAATATATTAAAGATCTTCAGTTGTCAATTAAACATCATCATTTTCTTATGAAAGTTAGCCAATGCTTGTGCAAACTAAGACACTTCTCATAATACCAGTTGATTTGGTTTATTCACTTTTAATGCATTTATAAACACCATAAATTCTAACTCTATCTCCAGGTTTAACTGATCCAACTAAATCTTCTTCAAGCACAACATCAATGCTACGAGGTAATAAACCCTTTTTATTTTAAGTACATGGTAAGCATATATATAAAATTCAAACAAATTCAAAACAAAATCTATCTTAAAATTTAAATTCAAATAAAAAATTACATTAGGGGCATTTTCAGGAAGTTCCTAAACAATAATAGTCTAGAAGTCTTTGAATTTAGAATAGCCATACTCTAAGCTTAAGGGATGTTGTTCATGACTTTTGGGAATTGTATTATTTGGATTAAGAGATGTTGTGGCACCTAAATCATAAACATCTTCGTAATCTTTAATAGGACCACCTTGCAATATTTCTTCACAATAATGGACACTTCTAATTAACTTTGATCTATTGACTGACATTCTAGTTACAATACCATCGATGCAAACTAATTTATTTATGAGTGAACAGTTCAAACCTCTAGGAGTTACATGGTTTCTACCCATATTTCCATTAAAAGCAATTTGATAAACTTTAACTTTTTCAGTGATATCTTACATCTTTTTCCTATTATGAACAAAAAAAAGTTAGAAATTCAGATTCATTATTTCTTTTTTGAATGCATCAAGGTTTAAAGAAAACAAAAATGAATAAATCAAATCTTCTATAAAATTAGTAAACACATTTAAAAGTAAATAAAAACTAATAAAATTACTTTTTCACAAGCCCGTCATGGTCAATATTATCGATAATTTTATTGAGAGTTCCTCTAAGGGCAGAGATTGCCTTTTAAGGGTAACTAATGATATCATCAGCTATTTAAGGGTTGTGATTCTAACGAATATCATCTAAATTGATCACTAAACGTGTCTCATTATTGGTTAACATTCTATTAATGGCATCTGTATTAGTGGAGTTTGCTAAATATTGTCCAAAGAAGTTCTGGTGCTCTTACCAGCGAGTGTCAATTTGATTAGTATTTTCTATTTCCATCTTTATTTATTACAATTTATATCTTGCTATTGATTTTATATGTCTTTAATAAGATATTTCTTTGTTTTTTCTTTTTAAAATCTTTAATTTTTTAATTAATTTATTGTCTAATTATTATCTTATTTATTAATTTAGATTTTTTGTGTGTGCTTTGTAACATACATATCTTTTTTAATTAAATGCAATCATTCTCCTTAATTTTATTATTGATAACTTACTATTTATTTTGGAGGCAAATGATGTCTATACGGCGGGTTTTTAACTAAATATTCTATATATTTGGAGGTAATTTATCAAAATTCAAATTATTTGAGGAAATATTAAATTTTTGAATTTGCAGTATTGTCACTAAATTATTACCAAATCCTACTTATCCTATTCATATTAATTAACGATAATCTTAATTTTAATTTAAATATCTTTTCTCCATTTCATAAGACTTTATCTTGTAAAGACACGATCTAACCTAGCAAAACATAAATTTAAATTATAATTTAAAATTTTTAAAAAAATTACATTTGAATACTACATTTATAGTTGATTTTCAAAATAAATTACTTTATTAAATATTAAAGCGCAAAATAATTAAATAATTAGTGTATTGTTAATTAATTTATACAAATTTTTAATTTTCAAAATACAAGATATTTTTATAATAAAATAATGAAATAATCTATTTTTTTTTATTTTTAATTGTATCTTTTTAGTGATTTTTTATTCAACCAAATTAAAAAAAATTTAATTCATTTAATCTTAATCTTAATTTTTAAGTTTATAAAATATATAGATTTGACAGCTAGTAGTTAGTTAGTATTTAGTAATGAGTAGATAAAATTAATCATAAGAAGAAATTTTGAGAACTTAGGCAGATGAGAGAATTAAAGAGTTTTCAAATATTCTAAAAGATATGGCTGAAGGCTCATCAAATGTAGCTAATAAGATTATAAGCATTTGTGAGTAGCTTTATTACTTGGAAAAGTTTTTCTAAAAAATAAAACAGCCAAAAAGTGATGAGATTAGCTGCTAATCTAATTTTACATTGTTTTAAAATTTTATGATGTAAAAGAGCAAAGAAAATGAAGAAAGAACATAAAATTGCAAAACTTTGTTTGAGCTCAAACTCGATTTCAGCTTTTCTAATATAACTGATAGCTCTTGTGAGGGTTTAGGGATAGCTCTTACTTACTTTAATAAACTTAAGTCTTTATAGCTAGGTTTTGAAAAATGCAAGATAAAAGATCTTGGTATAATTGGTATAGCTAAGGGAATATCATATTGTTAAAATATTTCTTAACTTTAATTGAATTTTTGCAAAAATAATATTGGTTAAATTGGCGCGATAGGTTTTTGCTAAGAGATATAGTAGTGTGAGAAGCTTATAAAATTACAATTGGATTTTAACCAAAATACTATTGGTGAAGAAGGAGGATTACAACTAGGTGCTTGCTTATCTAAATTAAATAATTTAATGATCTTAAATCTTGCATTAAGCAATAACAGTATAGGAGATATAGGTGTAGAGGGATTAGGAGAAGGAATTTAAACTCTTCAATAACTTCTGCTTTTGGAAGTAAATTTAGAAAATAATTAAATAGGAAATAATGGAGCCTTTAGTTTTGGTAAAGGATTAGAAAGCACCTCTTCAAAAATATAAAAATTATTACTTAATTTAAGTTAAAACTCTATTAGAGAGTAAGGAGCTGTTCAAATTGGAGTAGGAATATCAAACAGAAGTAACATCATATCTTGTATAGTTGATTTAAGTTATAATGAAATAGGAGATGAAGGAGCTATCTCTACTATCTAGTTTCTAGTTCAATCCAAAAACATTTAATTTTGTCAATTAGGATTAATTTCTAATAAAATTGGGGATAATTCAGCTATTGAAATTGGAAAGAGTTTATCAAATTTAGCTAGTTTAAAGCATCTGGACTTAGATTTATAAGGCAACAATATTTGCAACGAAGGATGCAAGTAAATTGGTATTGGGTTATCTAATTGTACTTCAATTTAAAGCTTAAAGCTAAACTTTTAGTCTAATTAAATAGAGGATAATGGGATTTCTGGTTTCGGATTAGGAATTTCCACAAGAAATAAGCTTTAAACAATTTATATTAATTTTTCTAATAATAGAATAACTTCGTAATCCCTGTCTGATTTGAAATTTAATAATTGCACTTAGCTTGTAAGTCTTACAATCAATATGGAATAAAATTAGATAGATAACTTAGAATCATTTATAATTAACATTCAAGATTGTGAATATTTATAAAATCTAAGTATTTTCTTCCAAAAAAACATGATTAATGGAATAGGTTTATAAATGTTAGGAGAATGTCTTTCTAATTTCTTAGATCTTTAATAATTAGCAATATCATTAGAAAATAATTAAATAGAAGACTAGTCTATGGAGGGCTTAGGAATTGGTTTAAAAACTCTTTAAAATATTAAAGAGTTATCTTTAGGGCTATCTTTTAATAAATGTGGTGACAAAATCTGTAGCTCATTAGCAAACGGAATAAAGAATATGAAGTAACTAAGTAAAATATAAATAGGAATGAGTTATAACTAAATTACAGATAGTGGTTATAGCTAAATAATTAGCTCTATCTCAAATTGCGAGCAACTGGAATCAGTTTCATTAGATTTTACTAATAATGATATAGGAAATAAAGGAATTGAATTATTTTCTTTTTATATTTCAAAATGCTAAATGATAAATAGTTTAGTTATTGCATTATCTAAAAATAAGATCAGTGATGAAGGTGTTATAAATTTTACAAACTACCTAAATTTATGCACTCATTTAGATAAAATTTATTTAAATTTCACTGATAATAAAATTACGAATCTAGGAGGATCTAAACTTATTATGCAGATTTCAAAATGTGAAAATATCAAAGAAGTAGACTTGCTTTTAGAGAACAATCAAATTGATAATATTGAAATAGGATATTTATATTTAAATATAAATGATCCAAGATCGATATCAGTAGATATAGCATCTGAAGAAAACTGGAAGTATTGGATTTAAAAGTCGAATCATTAACTTTTTAATTTCATTGCGTTTAATAAACTATTTAGCAAGATATTGCTGAATTCTTTTTAGCAATCTTATCTAGATTTGATTTAATGATAAATTAGTTATTATCTAAAATTCATAATCAATTTTGCAATAAGTTTTATTATTAACTTAGATAGAATTACAGTGAGGAATAAATGTAAAAATAGAAAATATTTAATAAAATTTAATGAAAATTTCAAAATAGATTATTTTAATTTTAAATTAGAATTAACAAGATAATTTATTTGAGTTAAAAAATAAATATTTTTTTCAATAAAATCAACTATTCTGCTTTAAAATATTATCTCCTTTTACAAATTAATATAAATTTATTTCTTTTCTTCTTTAATCAATTTAGTCTCTCTATTCTTGTGATTTCTAATTAAAATCTGTTAGTAGCTACTTTTACTATTTCATTCTTAATATTTTTAATTAAATTTAGTTGTATATTTAAGATTCTTTCATCTTCTCATTTATTTTACTAAGAATTCATTTATTTTAAAATTAATTTTAATTTAAAAAAAATATTAAATTTACCTTTTTATTTATTTGCTTTCATTTTGAATCTTTTAGCATTCCTCTAAAATATAGTTTATGTTGTCTCTAAACTTTTAATGATCTTTTTCTATAATGCTATCTGGTTATATTTACTGTTTTTGACTGAGAAAAGAGCCCTCAGTGTATAGTCTTTTACATTAATTAAAATAAACTGGATTCGTTTATTAAAATATTTTTTCAGAGTTTTTTCTGCTTAATTCCAATTTTTCCCTAAATAATTTTTAACAAATTCATTTAAATGGATATATGGAATTATTATACATATTTGTAGATGTGGTGTAAATGGAGTTAGTTCTACTATTTTTTAAGCTTTAAAAATATGGAGAAGACTTTGTTGATTACTCTAAAGAATTGTTTCTTGATGTTTCAAATCCTATTTTTTTTAAAGGCATTTATTTTTCATTGCTATTTCTTGTTGATTGTGATCCATCAATAAATTTCTTCTCATAAGATTTAAAAAAATTAGTGTTATTTAATTATAAATTAAATTCTTTTATCTTTTTTTTATTTTCTTGTGGCTAATTAAAATACTAGTTAGCTATTTGCAAATTTTATTGAGGTTTAACTTCTAATTTATTAATTTGTCTTAAATTTTAATCATTATAAAAATCATTGTCATAATTATTTTAAAAATCTTCATTTTATTCTTCTTTAAAGTCATTTTTAATTAAAAATTTATTTATTGAAGTAATTTAATTCATTCTTGGACTTTCTTCAACTTTTTAACAATCTTAAAATAACATTAATTATTTTTTGTCTTATAGAATTTCAATTTAACTATTTTATTATTCAACAACAATAGATTCTTAATGCTTAATCTTTTACTAAGGTTTTTTAAGATTGTTGCTAATAGTGTCTGCAATTTTCCTCTAAGTTTACAGCTAATTTTCATAATTCACTTGAGTTTTTATGTAATTTTTAAGTAGATCATCTTATTTCAATGATATTTTCTTTCTGCTAAACACTCCCTGGAATCGCGAATAATCTTCTTAAGGATCAGCAAGAGATTTAAAATATTCATCGAGTTTATTAACACTTTCTTAGACTGTTTGATATTTTTTTTCTGTTTTAATTTTATTTTCTATTTAATCCAACTAAGAGGTTTTGAGTATTTTTATATAATAAGGTTCACTCCACAGTTCATTAGTATACATCAATCCTCTTTTATTCTATTTTTTCTTTACATGTTAAATTTACCCTGAATTAGCCTTCAAGATATCAAAATCATTTTATTATTTTTGCTAATCATTTTAATGAAATGCTTAATATGTCATTTTTCTTTCTTGCATTTGAGGTTAAAGTCTTAGTAGCTAAACTTCTTTAAACATTTGTCCATAATAACGCATAATTTCTTATTTTTTGAGATGCTTAATGCGAGTTTAGTTATAATTAATTTGTTAAACATCTTTATTCTTGGGGCTAAGTGTTTATTATAGCAATTGGTTATTTATTTGTCTGTAAAGATTAGACTTTCTAGGACTGCTTTAGAGTGAGCTAAATTAGCAGCTTAGTTTTATCTATTAAGTGTGTTATTTTTGGGATAAATCATATTCTCTAGCTAAATTATTGTTAATAGTAGAAGTAATTGGCAAAAAACTATCTTAAGATAAATTTTGTTAAGCTAATTAGTGTTATTCTTTTTAGAAATCTTCTTATGTTTGTAAGCTCATGCTCGAGCTGAGTTAATCTTTATTTTGAGATTAACTCAGTCTTTATATTATCGGTTAGTTAGCTTCATGGTTAGACTCTTTCATATGATTATCAGTACAAATTAAGCCTGTTTTTAATTCACAGCTATCATGTCTTTTGCTAATACTTTCTAGAATACTTTTTCTTTGTGCAGGTATCATAAAATTCTAATTATTAACAGGACTGTTAATATATAAAGATTTCCTATGAATCGAAAATTTCCTATCAGCCATAATTTAGGTTAAATTAAATTCAAAATAGTCCTTGGTTGAGTAAAAGCTCTTAAAATTTAATAGAATATACCAATAAGAAATTCAATTAAATGCTTATAAAATTCTAATTTTTTTTAGCTTTTTGAATAATATGAAAAACTTCCAAAAATTATTCATTTAAATTAAATTTTTATTTTAAAAATCTAAAATTATTTTTTAACTGCAGTAACTTAAAAATAATAAATTTCAAGTAGTCATGTTTTAATCTTACAGGAAGGAAAAGGATATAATAAGAAAAAACATAATTTAATTCTTTAGACATATTATCTTGTTAAAATAAAATAAGCTCTTTAACACATATATTTTTAAAATAAATAATTAAATATGAATAAATTTTATTATTTTGTACATTTAAAGATTAAAGAAAGTAAAAATCTTTTCATTCAATCAATATTTTATAATATAAAAATATTTAAAAAGAATAGAATATTAGGTACTCGCTACTTTCTGTTTATAAGATTTTCAATGATAAAAATACTATTCTAAAGATTCATCTAATTAAAAAAAAATCTTTAATCCCAACAATTTAAATAAATAAATAAATAAATAAATAATTTTTTTGAAACTCTCTTTTTTATTTTTGTTTAATTTCATAAGAAAGAAACTTTTAAATTTTAAGTATTGATTTATTTTAATCATTTGAAATGCTAAAAGCATTTATAAAATGTATTTTTTTCTGTATTTAATGATTTTAAGGGTTTTTTATAATTTTTATTAAATCAAAAAAAATCAAAAATTTTTTCAAATATAAATCTATGTATGAACTTAAGATAATGTTAAAATGATTATTGATAGATATTTTTTTAAATATTTAAATGATTAAAAAGTAAATTTGCATATCTTAAATTAAAATTTCTGATGATAATATTTTATTTATTACTTACATTTTCAAAATAACTAAATTAAAAATTTTCAGAAATAATTTTAGAATTATTATGAAAGTAGAAATACTATTCAGTCAATTATATCATGCATGGCTTAATATATACTAAAAAGAAGGATATTTATTTAATTATTTTTTATAAAATTCTTATTTTTATTTAGATTAATTTTCAAAGAGTTGCAATTATAATAATCAATAGCAAAATTGTATTCAAAGTCTCTAAAAGAGAAGTTTTTTATTATTAGACTGTTCTCCAATCCAATTTTATTTATTATAAACACTATCCTTTAACAGGTTATGAACCATCTGAGCACTCATAACAAATTTTAAAACTTCCATTCATTGAGCACTTACTGCAGTTAGTTTAGCATTTAAAACACTATTAATATAAAATACCACTTTTTGAGTATGTCATTAAAGAATATCCTTAAAAGCATTCTTAGCACTAATTTTAATTGCTGCAGACTCTACAGTTTTCAAGTGTGCACTTTTAACATTAACCTAATTTATCAGGGTAAAACATATTTTTGTTCTTAAAATCACTAACGCAGTTGACACATTTTAGTTATTTTGTATCCGTTTAGCACGCTTACTCACAATTAGGAGGATTTTGAATACATTATTTATTACCATAATCATAAAAATATCCCTTATTACATTTATCACAAGTATCAGCTTTTGAACAATTTAAACAATTATTAATGCATTAAACACAATTTTAACTTGAATCTAAGAAAAAAGATGGTTTGCACATTTTACAAGTGCTTATTGTGTCTTATTAGCAGCAATTAGGAATACCATTACTCTAACAACTGTAGCATTAATTACTGTAAACAAAATAATCATTTTAGCACATAAGACAAGAATAAGCATCTTTACATTACAAGCAAAATTCGCCACATTATATACATTAGTTATTGATCGCATCTAAGTAATAACCAGGAGAACATTCTATGATAGTTAATTTATCTAATAATTTGCAGGTATGTACTGATTTGCCAAAAACTTCTTTACAATTTTTGCATTAGCCTGAATTAAGATAGAATCCATCCAAACAAGAAAGACATTAATCATTTTGGCACAATCTACAGCCATTAATTGAATACTTACAAAGAGGGCCTGTACCATCAATATCTGTAAATTGAGCATAGAATTTGCATTAGTCTTAATAAGGTTAATCAGCCGAAATCTAAGCTACTGCTAAAGCTAATAGTAAAATAATCATTTGCAATTTTATAATTTTTTTAATTAGTAAATTTATGATTAGAAAGCAATATACTAAATCAAGTTTGGTGAGATTTATAAAAATTGGAGACTATATTTTACTTGATAAAGATACTGATTACATTAATTTTTTTTTTTTCACTCAAATTTTTATCTGACCATTTTTTATCAAATGTTTCTTTCTTCTTTTAAATTTAAGTTGTCAAGTAAAATTTAACAATTATAAATTTATTTAATATTTTACTTAATTTCAATTAAAAAATATTTTTTCGATCTTTACAAAAATAATTTTTATTATAAAATGTTAATTTAATATTTTTATTTTTCTTTAAAAAATTTAAAAAAGTTAAGATGAATAAACTACAATTATTTGAACAAATTCTATCTTATAAAATATTAAAATTTGATTTCCTCCATTAAATTAATTTATTTTTAAGATTAATCTTTTCATAATTAAATTTATAGTAGAATAAAATATAATTTAAGTTCTACAACATTATTTATTAAGCTAATTTATTACTCTAAAAATTTTAAATAATTCTATTCAATTTCATTTTTAAAATAAATTTAATTGAAAGCTTTATAACTAAATATTAATATTTTAATAAATAATTTTACGACAACAACAATAATAATTTTGTTTCAAAATATTTATAATAATTTTATCTTTAATTATTAATATATTAAAATAGATTTATTAAATTTAATTGCAGACTGTATTTATTTGTTATCGTTTTTAAAAATTACATATTTTAAACATATAAGATATTTTTATATCCAAAAAAGTAAAAATCTTAACAGGTTAGTTGGCATAATTGCTTTAGAAATTTAACTCTACCTTATAAACTTCTATGAATAATTGAGAATTTGAACTTTCTTATCTTTATTAAAAATTTGAATAAAGAAATGAAAATTAGCAAAAAATATGCTTAGTAAATATCTTTTACTTTTGACTAAAATCTAAAACGAAGATTACTATTTATCAGAAATATTGAAAGAAAAAATTTTTAGATTTAATTAACTTAAAAAGTAGAAGTTAATGAACAGCCAATTATTTTATTTAAATATAAAAAAATCAAATGAAATTTATAAATGAGTGAATTTGAGCATTTCTTATATCAATACTTCAAAAAATTTATCTGTTTAAGTAATTTTATAAAAAATGAATTAAATTAATTAAAATATATCAAAATATCTAAGAAATAGTTAAAAAAACTAAAATAATTTATTTATATGATATCAAAATAATTCTAAAGTTTGAAATTTATCATTGAATAAATATATTCTTAAGAGGTAAATATATATTGATTGCATGCATTAAAAAAAATATTTTATATTTTAAATGACAAACAATGATAAAGAATAATAATCTAAGTTATAATTTATATCACATTTTTATAATTATATCTTGTTACTAAGCCTACTTATTAAATATATCAACTTTATTTAATTTTTTCTCTTTACTTTTCTGGCTATTATGTCTTTTATGTTAATAGTTGTTAGGAAATCCTCTTGCTTATGCTGATGCAGTTAATTAAAGGCACAAAAATCCAAAAGCCATTTGGAATAATGTATAAGAAAATAAATTCTACATAATTTTTTACAGGCAAGCAATGAGGTAATCCATATTAAAAGTAAAGAACTGTTTTCCAAAAAGTGAAAGCATTAACAAGAATAGCTAAGAAAGTACCACCAAGTTATGTTTTTTGGCATTTTGAAAAGAGCAGACATAAAGCAACCACATTTATGAAACATTCATAGAGATTAAGTATAGATTAATTAAAAACAAATTAGTCACTTAAATCAGAATAAAGCTTGTCAATCTCAATGTACAGTGCATATGGTTTCCAAAATACGTGGAGATCTCCTCCTGGGAATGTACGTGGTCTTAAGAGGACAAAAGAAGCATCCCATATACAGATAACTGTAGATAAAAAGAGCCAAAGCTTTGTGAAAGTTGGAACAAAGTTAAATGTAGTCATTTACTTCAAATTTTTGTTTTTTGCTAATTTAATTATTATTTTTTTAAGAAATTATTTAGGTCATCAAAAAAAGCATCTAATTTTTCAAATTAAATCTTTGATTTATAATAAAAAGATATTTTTTAGGTATCCTCTCTCTCTCATATAATATTATTTATTTTATGATTCCAACAAAAACTTACGTATAAGCTTTGACTGTATCCACTATTTTTCAATTTATTAATTAATCTTTATAATATTATTTTGACTGTATCTTTTTTAATTACCTCAATTTGATTAATAATTAATATTTGTAAACATGAATAGTATTTTTCTCATTTTTGTTAATAAGCTACTCTCTAAAAGGATCAAAACAAAATTGAGTAAAAAAGAATATTCAAGAAATTATTAATATTTTTTAACAAATTAAAATGATTAAACTTCTAAAATTAAACATTTATTTTATTTTTAGAAATATTTAGCTGCCTATCTTAGATATAAATAAAATACAAATCTTTTATCTTCATAGTTGTAAATTTCGAAGAAATTCACCAATTTATAAAAGAATTTTTAATAATATTATTTGATGAGAAGTAAGTAATCAAAATCGAATTTAGTTTTTATTTTGAAAGATTGTTAATTAAAAAAAATAATTACTTTAATATTAAATAAATTAAAGATAGAAAAAAACTGTTTAGAATAGATTATTTAATATAGAATGTAAAAATATTTAAATCATTAGATATTCTATCTATCTTTCTTTCATTAAAAAATTTTTAAAATATGAAAATGAAATTATTTTTATAAAATTTTTAAAATTATTAATTTAGAAAAATAATAGTTTATTTTAATAAATGAAATAGTTTTGAAATAATTAATTCTAAGCAAATAATAGAAAATTTAAAATGAGCATCTACTAATTTAATTTAAATTAATATTATTTTATTGAGCTAAAAATAAATTTACTTAAATAAACTAGAAAAATGTAAGATTCTAAAACTCAAATAAGGATATTTATTAGTATTGTTAATACGATTACTAAAAAGGTCGTTAAAATTTCTCCATTCTAAGGTTAAATAGGATTCCATGTAAATGATAATTATTACAAGCATTAGCCATTGACTGGCTAGGTTCCATCAGCACATTAATAGCAAACTTTTATATTTCCTTACATTTAGCATCTGCTGCAGTTTGTTTAGCATTTATAACATTATTAATAATTATTACCATTTAAAGTATATGACATCAAAGTATATCCTTAAATACACTATTGACATTAATATAGATTACTACAAATACTGCAATTCTACAATTAGCAAATTTAGCATTAGCCGTTTTTATTTGGGTAAAACATATTATTATGAACCATATCGCTTACACAGTTAACACATTTAAGTTGATTTGAAACTAGGTTTTAGGTTATACATGCTTGCTAGCAATTTAAAGGATTTGGAACGCATAAATTTTGATTTAAATCATAAAAATACCCATCTTTACATTAATCACATTAGTTTCCTCTGGAACATATTAAGCAATTTTGAATACATTATAAGCATTAATTGCTAGATGCCAAATAATAAGATTATATACACGTTTAGCAGTTGTTAGAAAAATCTTAATAGCAACAGCCTTAGATACTATTATTAGTCTAACATGGTATACATTAATACTAAAATAAATAATAATTACTTTAGCAGAGGTTGCAAGTATAACTATCTGTACATTACTAACAATTACTTCCACAAGGAGAACATTGTTAAGTTTATGTGTTTAAATAATAACCTGAAACACATGAATTAATATAAATTGCATTTTAGCCATTAAAAGTGCATGTTGCTACAGTTTATCCAAATATATCGCTGCAAGATTAACATTAATTTAAAGAATTCAAATAAAATCCGTCTAAACATTTAACGCAAGTTCCACCACTACACAATCTACAGCCGTTTAATGTATACTTACAAAGTTGACCTGTCCCATTGACATCAAGTGTATCAGCATACGCTTAACAATAACTGAAAACTGCTTAGGCTTATAGTATCTAAATTTGTAGTAAAATTGTTAAAAAAGCTATAATCATGATTTTATTGCTAATCTCTATTTTAATTATTACAATATATGTTAAGTTAGTTAATGCTTTGATATTACTTTGATATTAATTCAATATCTTAAATTTAATTTTAAAATTCAGGTAAAAAATTGATTCATTTATTAATTAAAGAATAGCTCCATTTATAAAAAAGTTTCCCTTTAAAAGTTTTTCATTTTAAGTGAATTTTTTATTTAAGAAAATATTTTACTAAATAGTTTTTTTAAAGTAATAATTTATTTTTAAATCATATTATTAATTTGTCTATTTAATATGCTTAATTTAGTTTAAAAAGAATAAAAATTAAAAAATTTTAACAATAATTTTAGACGAAAATGTAAAAATAAATAATTAGAAATAATTTAAGTATGAATTAAAATTTGTTTTAGAATATCTTTTTGATGTTTTTCTTAAGAGTTAAATGAAATATTAATTAAATACTTTATATTCATTCACTATTATCAAGTATTCATACAAAAAAATTAAAAATAAATTACTTTAATTATAATTTTATGTTTAATTAAAATTGAGTGATACCAGTTCAAATTTAATATATTGTTTTATATTTATATGATTCATTAATTGAATATATTTTCAAACTCTTTTTAAACTTTTTATTTTATCCATTTATATTATAGTTCCTACATCAGATTGACTTTCTCTTTTTAATAAGTAAGATTTATAGGGAAAAACTTGTTTCATTTTATTATTTTTAAAACTTATTTTAGATTATAATATTGAAATTTATAATGTGAGTAAAATGAAATGTTAATTAAATACTTTAGATTGATTATTAAAATGAAAAATTCATACAAAAAAAAAAATAAATAAATTACTTTAATTAAAATTTTGTATTAATTAATAACATTGATACTAGTTAAAATTTAATATATTGTTATATATTTATATGATTTATTGATTGCTTCTATTTTCAAACTCTTTTTAAACTTTCAGTTTTCTCCATTTATATTACAGTTCCTATATCAGATTGACTTTCTCTTTTTAGTAAGTAAGATTTATAAGGAAGAGCTTGTTTCCTTTTATAGTATAAATACCCTACAATAACTAAACCTATCAATAAGACAAAGCATACAACAAGTAAGCCAATTAAAATTGCTTAGTTATTCGATTCTTAAGTTATGTAAACAGCTGTTTTATATTTTTTAATTAAAATTTATATATAATAATAATAAAATTTTACCTTCCAAGCACTCAGAATCTAATGGTCCGACACATCCTTTTGTGCATGTAGGATTGCATGGCTTACATACTGATTGATCTGCTAATTATAAAGGATAAGCCATTTTAGGGCAAGTAGTAGAACAGACTCCGTTTCCAATATTGAAATGCTCTGGATAACATTTAGTGCAGTTAGTAGGTGATTCAGAACACTCCATACATACTCTCTTATCACATTCCTAGCACTTGTTTTCGTTTTTATTTAAGAAATAACCAACTGGGCATTCTTTAGTGCAAACTCCTTAATATTATATAAAACCTTCTTAGCATTAAACACAAAGTCCGATATTATCTCCACATACAGCACAATTAGGCTAAAGACAAACTAGACAGCTTTAAGTTACTAAATTTTTGTTTGTTCCTTTAGGGCAATCGCTCATACATTAATTTTTATATAAGAAATATCCTTCATTGCATGAAGTACATTTAGATTTATTGTCAATGCAATTTTAACATTTCTTTGTATCACAATCTAAGCACTTACTGATGCTCTAAACATAAGCTCCATATTTTCCAGGAGGGCATTCTTAAAGACATTTGTTACCTTCCAAAAACATTGGATATTCGCAGTCAGTGCAGTTTGTTGAAGAGCCAGAACATTTTTCACAATCCTCATGGCAAGGTAGGCATTTGTTATTTTGATCAAAATAGTATCCTTTATCAGGACACTCTTCTTCACAGCTATGGTTAATAAGATATAGATCTCCTTTGCATTTTGTACACTTAGTATCATATTAAATACACTCTTCACATTTATTCAGATCGCAAGGCTTACATACATTTTATTTGTCAGCAAAAAATCCTGGTTTACAGTCTTTGTAGCACTTCTCTTCAAACAGAACTTAACCCTATTTGCATTCTGTGCATTAAGTTGGGGAATTATAGCACTCTTTACAAAGTTCTTGATTGCATTATCTGCAAACTCTTTTCTCATCAGGATACCAACCACTTGGACATTTACTAAAACACTATTTATCATAGAGGAACTAACCTTCTGGGCAGTCAGTGCATTGTGTAGGTGATTCAGAGCACTCTTTGCATTTACTCAAATCGCAACTTAGACATTTGTTATTTTGTAAATGCTTGAAGTAACCTGCTTGACATTTTTAACACTAAAATACCGAAGGACCAAAACAAGAAAACTTGTTGTCACATAGTTAGCTACAAGATTGGCATGAATCACGTGAGGGTGAATATTCCCCTCCTTTGCATTTTTTGCAAGACGAACCAAAATAATCTTATGAATAAGATGTGGTACAGGTATAACATCTATTTGAATTGTTAGGTTCAGAGCATGTTAAGCAACCTTAAGAACACTATTAACAAGACCCATTTATAAAACTATATCCAATTTCACAACTTTACTAAGTTAATTAAGTATTTTTTTTCTTGCACTAACCAAAAATGAGTTCGTAGCCTTCATCACATTCAAAGCATTTAAAATTAGTATTATTATCAACACAAGATTTGCAATTTTTAGGACATTCATCACAGTATTCGTCTTAATTTTCTTTACACATTTTGCACTGAGCATTATAAACTGTGTATAATCCTTAACACACATTGCATTCTTCGCTTGAGTAACAAAAACCACAGTTATTTCCGCATTTTTAACAAGAATTTTTGTATGCAACCTAATTAATACCACAGTTATCTCTACATTTTTAGCCATCACTGAAATAAAAATCATAGCATTTCAAGCATACAGTATTATCTTTGCATTGTTTACATCCGAATGGGCATTTTAAGCAAATATTTGGATTGTTGATATCTTTATAGTATCCTTCCCCACAATCTTTAGAACAGAAAAACTCCATTTTTGAAGTATTACATTAAGTGACACAAGAAGCTCCATCAAATAATTCATTTTCCTCACAATATTCAAACTTAATTTTGTAAGTAGTAAATCCTTAAGTCAACCTTTTCCAAACTAAAGAAAACTGATTTAGACTCTAGCTCCAAAAGAAAATTGTACTATAACTGTATTGATAAGTATCGTCTATTTTATTTACTACTTTAACTTACTCTTCTTTTGAGTCATTTACTTAAAATACTGTTACTTTTTTTATAGCTTTTAGAGTAGAGGGGAAAATTAGACCAGTTTTATATCTGACTGTTTGAGTTGTACTTTAAACATTAAGCTGAATAGTGAACTCTTAAAGATCTAATTTTTTTCCAGTATTATCAATAAACTCTATATATTTAATTTAATCACCAAGCAGCTAAGAATATTAATTCAAGTTTAAGTCTTACTTTGCTTTACCATCAAATGAAATTTTAGCTAAAATGTTGCTATTATTATCAGTTGTAACAATGTTTTTTATTTGATAGTAAGTTGGAAGTGAATTTGTTTAGTAAACTTGAACGGGAGCCCATTTAATTTTTGAGTACATGATGTTTTGAGTTTCAGTGTTTAAATCATCAATTTCTACTATATTATATTCCTCTCTGCTCGAGTAAGTAACTAAATTCATCATAGGTAAGTTAAATAAAGGCAAGTAGTCAATAATCTTATTATTTATTTTGAAAAATTTAATATAAACATTAAATAGAGTTTCTGAGGAAATTCTAGCAAAATATTTAATTTAAGGCTACTTTAATTTATCAGAAGTAGTTAATAAAAAGCTATTAAATTTCACCGCAAGAGTATACTCAAGGTTAATGTCTTATTATTTTGAATTACTACTAAATATAGCTAAATGATCAACTTCATTATTTCCGTCAAAGAATGAATTTGAAATAGAAAATTTAGTATTTACAATCGATTTACTCAGATCGAGGGTTGTAGCAAAAAATATTGTATCGTCTTGATAAAATTTGTCTAAAGATTTAGAAACTTAAAAAACTTTATTTCTATAAACAATACTTTTATCTTTGATTTAAAGGTAAGAATTTTCTTAATTTAAGAATTAAATCTCTGTATTAAAAGATCTAAAGTTAGAAAGGGTTAAGTAGTTTACATCTTAAGCATTAATCACAATTTTACTATTTATGAAAGAATTCTTGTTAAATTGTCTGCTTTTCACACTGATTTAAAGATCCTTTGAGCTTACAATGTTATTATCCACAAAAGAATTTTGATCTGTGCTGTCTATTTGCACATTCAGCTGTTAACACTTATAAAAGATATTCCTTTGAAATCCGCCTTCTGTTTTAATAGTTCTAGTAATTGATTTATCTTGATTTTCTATTTTTATCAAAGAACTTTATATTTAACCACCCTTTAAAAAAAGACCTCTAGGATTCAGCAAAGTTACTCCTTAAAACTTCTCAACACTTCCAATCAAGCAAGAGCTATAATTAAAAATATAATAATAAAATTTAGTATTTTTATCTCAAATAAAATTATTTAAATTAATCAATGAAAAATATCAAACTCAGATCTAAAAAGCTAATTAAATTAAAAATAAAAAGCTTACTTTTTAAATATTACTCCTGATATCACAGGTAAATCACTGAAGAGAATAGGTCTAATCACTAGTTCTCTTTGTATTTCTACATTCAAGTTATCTTCTTAAATAGGTTCTCTAAGAATCAAAGTCTCCTCTAATACATCTTAGATATTTAACAGTTATTCTGTTTAGGAGAAACTATTAACTAATACATAATTTTATTTAGCAAGAATATCGACAGGCTTACCCTAAAATTAGATTTATGTTTAAGCCTTGTAAATATCAAACAAATTGTATGTCTACATAAATCTAGATTGAATGTTAATTTTCCCAATACTTTGAGTATTAGCTGGTTCTTAACATTCCTAAGTGCTAACATCTTCAAAAATAATTAAATTATTAATGATAGCCGCATCTTTTCCTATTTCTAAAGAACCTTTTTGACCTAATATAAGATCTTTATACTTAATGTTCATAGATAAACTGTCTTTGATAGAAAGAGTTCCTTCAATTATAATTGTGTTCAAGGTTATATTTTCAATAGAAGTATCTTCTAACAAGCAAGTTTATCCCAATGGAATAATTAAAGTTGCATCCGCCTTATTTAAAAACTAGCTGCACGCCTGAACAAAGACTGAAAAAGAAAAACCTTATTAATAAAATATTATTTATTTAAAAAAATAATTGAGAAGAAATAGAATTAAAAGCTTACAAATTAATGTGGAAAATAATATTTGATTCATACTCTCTTTTTGTTTTAGATTGAAACTATTTTTTTATTTAACTATTTTATTTATTATTAATATATTGATATATCAAAATCATGTTTTTAAAGTAGATATACATATCTAGTATTAACTTTGTTTGCGCTTTTTGCAGATATTATAATTGTAAATTATCAGATTTTATTAGAATTAATATTAATTTACTTAATTAAAGATATTCAAAGAAGTTTGATAAATTAAATATCAATTTTTTAATATTACTATTTATTAAAACTATCAAAATAAATGTATCATATCTGTTATAAAAAAATGAAGGAATTAGTTAATTAATAACGATTCCTTAGCTAATAATAAAATTCAATACTAATATATTAAAAATATAATAATAAAAATAAAAAAATAAGTTTAAAAATATGAGTATTCCTTAATTTTGGTAAAGTATTCTTTTAAACTTTAATTTTTGTAATTTTATTTATTTAGTAAACAAATAGATTTTATTAGAACTATTTCTTTTTTTAGATTAATATCAGCTGATTAGTAATATGTAAATAAATAAATATCTAGTAAATTGTAATAATTAATAAGAAGAAAGACTATATATTCTTGTTTACAAAAGATATATATTACCTTAATTTAATTATTATATTACTAAATATAATTACTTAAAATTTTCATAAATATATTTTTAATTGCTTCATGTAACTAATATCTGTAAATACTTATTTTTTCAATAGTAAAATACTATGATTCTAGAAAGATTTTAAATCTTTTATTGTTGTTGTTAAATGCACATAACAAATTAATCTAAATTTATATGCTGATTGATCAATGTATTTTTCTAAAATTAGTTTATTTATACTAATATAGTCTATTTTTATAATATAGAATACAAATTAAGAAGCATATTAAATGTTAAATAACTAATTCTTTCTCAGTAAAAATATTTGGAGCTTTTTATTTAATTTTTTAAATGTTTTTTTAATTTCATCTTAATTTTGAAGTTATATTTTAACATTATTTGAAATATAAACTTGATTAATTCTTATTTTTGGTGTAATGCATTCATAAATTTAGTTATAGTAATCTAAAATATTATATTATTATTGACAGGTTAGACCAAACTTACTTTTAATGATTAATACTAGTAAAGAGTAAAGTTTAAATCAAATTGTTTAAGAAAATTAAATGATGATTTATCTGTTTTTCTTGTTTTTCTGGAAATTATTTCTATTTAGATATTAGATAATATCATATTTTTCAAAAATAAAAATAGTAATTTTATAGAGCAAAATTTATAGTAATACTTAATAAATATTATTAAAGTATTTATATTTTTATACCTTTTTAAAAATTAGATATTCTTTATCTCATGTTATTTGTTCACGTTAAGCTGTTTTCTACTCATTTGTATTATTATAATATTAAATATATAATTTTCCTCCTTTAAAAAACTCTTGTTATTTTAATTATTATACATTAACAGCTAATTTTATATCTTGAGATCTATGGGATTTTTTTAATTTTCTCTTCTTTCAGCTACAAAATCTCAGAATAGAATATTATTTTTTCATACTTAGATTTGCATTCAAAATAACTACTCTTATTAACCTAAAATACAAATAATTTAGATTAAGATTTTATTTTTCAAAGATGCTCCATATCTAAAAATAAAAAGAAAAACAATTTCATTCACTACAATTTAAGAATTGATAAATTAATAAAATATTATATTATCTTTAGATTTAATATCTGGTTCTAATAATTTGAGAAGGTGTTTCAAACAACAAAATTAAAATTAATTGATGATTCAATTTGAAATAAATATTTATCATAATAAAACTTATAAAATTAAAAGTAAGCTATTTATTTTATTATTTATAAATTGAAATAAATTCATTTGTTGTTAATTATTTACTAAAATAATTAAAAATATTTGAAAACTAAAAAATAAATAACTTAAAAATCTTAACATAATGTAATTGTAAACTTTATTAATATTACCATATCTATCTATTCTTTTTTGTATTAAATTTATTTCATAATTTCTCAAAATAATTTTATCTATTATAAAATTCAATTTCAGAATAATAAATAGTAAAAAAAAAACAAATGATTTATTAATAAAAAATGGATTAAAAATTACTTTATTTTAAATAAATTAAAATTCGATGAGAGCTAGCAATCTACAAAAACTATTACCATAAATCAAGAACTAAATTATTTAATAATTTTAATTTTTGAAAATATTATACTAATGTCTACTATCAAGGATGAAGATATTATTTCCTAAAGGTATTAATTTATTATTGGGATAGTTAAATGATCTACTTAATTGTTAACTATTAAAATATGAATTTAAAATTGAAAATTAAGAATGAATAATTGATATACTTATATCAATATTAATAGCAAAAAAACTGTATCAACTAACTCAAATTTATCTAAAGATTTAGAAACTTAAAAAAATTTTTTTTTTCTTTATTTAAGAATGAAATAGCTGTATTATGTATCTAAAGTTAGAAATAATTTATATAGTAAACACTAATAATCTTAATATTATTAAAAGAATTCAATCTAAGCTATTTGCTTTTCACTGTTATGAAAAGATTTTCAGAATTTATAATAATATTTTTTTTCAAAAAAATCTTCATATTATAGCTGTCTATTTGAACATTTAATATAAACGATTGTAAAAGATATTTTTTTGAAATCCGCCTTCTATTTTAATAATTGTAGTATTTGATTTATTTTAATTGAATTGATTTTTGATTTTTATCAAAAATTTTTATATTTATCTTCCCTTTAACAAAAACTTCTAGTATTCAATAAAATCTCTTTATAAAGTCTCTCACTCAAAATTCCCTGTAAAACATGAACTATTTAAATAGAAAATTATTTTATTTAGTTAGTATTTTTAAGTAAATATATTTATTTAATAATTTTTAAGATTGTGTAGATCAATTTATGGTGAACTTAGTAATAGTAAAGTAAAATTTGAATAAAATTTAAAATAAAATGATTGATTACTTCTTAAATATTGCTATTCATAAATTAATTAAGTATTTAACTAAAATAAATAGGTTTAATTACTAATTCTCCTTATATTTATCTGGTAAGTTAGAATTATTTTTAAAAAATTTAGAGATAAATTAAATTAAAATTTATTTCAAACAAAACAAATAACTTATCAATTTATTTAGAAGAAGATTGTATGAAATTTAACATTCTATGGAGAAAACTTTAATTTTTTTTTAATTAAAAAATAAATGAGAGTATATTTTGAAAAATAATTTGAGAAAAATGTTAATTTTACTTTCAAACTTATGATTTTATTATCTCATTTTTGTGAAATTATTTAGTTAATTATGATAAATAAATAAAATTTAAGATATTAAATATATTATAACACAAAAGGTTCAAAAATGTTCACTACTTATATAAAAAACAACTTTCTATTAAATCAATTTAGTAATTAATAAAATTTTTATTATAAAATTAAAATAGAGATATAATTTAATTAGTTTTTAAGAAAACTTTATTGATTTGTTCTTTAATAAATATTAAACTTATTTCATATTCAATTAAAAAAATATTATTTATAAATAAATAATTTATTTTAGTTAATTGATCAAATTATTTATAAAATTAACTAAATAAAAAGGAATTAAAACATATTTAAATTCAAAATAAAAATATAAAACATATCATTTTAAAATAATTAAAAAAATATATAAATCTAGAATATTCAGATCTATTTATTTATTTTTGATCTACAATAAGGAATTATCTTTCATTTTTAAAACTTATTTCAATTTCATTCAAACTTATTATTTAATAAAAATATATTGTAATTTAAAAAAAAATATTTAAAAGGATTTATGTTAAATAGAATAAATATTACAATTTGAACTATAAAATCTAAATTGTCCAAACATTTATGAAAACTACTATTTTAGAGCTTCTTATTCATTATTGTAAATGCGAATACTATTCCTAATTACACAAATAAATATTCTTTATTTAAAAATTTTTTTAAATTAATTATTAATATTCTTTAGGTATTTTAATTATTGGTTTTTTTAAAAAGAAAAAATAAATATTAAGAAAGTTACTTTAAATCTAACTTAAATTCATAAATGCTTTGCATATTTTTGACAAAATTACAAATTATGTTAAATCCATAAGGAGTAATATAACTTCGCCTAATAAATTTAAAAAAAATAAATAGTGATTAGAATTGTAATAATATTTTCAAAATATAAATAATAAAATTTTTCTATAATAAAAACTATTCTGCTAGCTAAATAACTATTTTCAACAAATTATTTATTTATTTGTTTTTTAAATTAATTTAAACTAAAAAATAAATTACTCGATTTTTAGAATTAAATATTTTAATTGTTTTAGATTTTCTAGTTATGTTGCAAAAAAGACTAACATATCATCATAGATAGTATATCCCCTATTTAAATTTATTTTTGATATTTTAAAAACTAATTTAATAAATATATTTACGGTAAATTAAGTTCTAGTCTCTAAATATTTTAACATTTTTTTATGCTTTTTACAAAAAATTTAACTCCATCGCTTTTAATGTGATTGTTTCTTTTAAATAAATAAATAAGATAAATTTCGAAATATCCAATGAATATTGGCGAATTAATAAATAAAATCTATTTTTTTAATGGTGAAAGTGATTTTCTTTTCAAAATTACTCAAAGCTAAGACTTAGATTGATCAAACTTTTATATTTTTAAATTAAATTAGATAGTCTCATGAGTCCATTATTTTTTATCAAATTATTACTAAAAAATATAAAAATTTTTTTATTTATTTAATTAATCAATTTTAAAATTTACTCAAATTAAAGAGTAAGAGATTAAACATTTTAATATCCTTCCATTGCGTGTACAATACTTTTTAATCCAACAGTATTAATATTATTATTTCTTTTAATTATAAGAAGAATCTTAAAATATTAAATGGTTCAGTAATTAAGATTACTCTGCATTAAGATT